CTTGGGCAACCCCCAAGTGTACCCCAGTGTTTTTTTAAAAAAAAAACAGGTCCAAGAGGCATAGCCCACTGTTTCAAGATGGCCTGTATTAAAAAAAAAAAACGGGGACAAGAGGCATCGACCCAAGTAGGAAAAGCCCCGAAAAAAAAAATAGGAACCACGTTTCACAATGCGCCCAAAGAGACCGACCCAACTTTGCGGGCAGTCCAGAGGCAGCTGACACAAATGCACTCTTACCAGTCAGGTGCCTGCATCATCATGGCGGCATCCCCTGGCAATGTATCAAGGCCACACCCAAATGGCTTTGAACTTCTCCCGCTCGACAGAGCCAACTTTTCCAGTGATATGCTCCTGCCTTCCACTTTGCCGAGACCATCCTACTGAGAGGCAACTCTAGTTTTTGTGCACAAAGCATGCTAGACAGCGGCAGCGGAAAGTCCCTACCATAGGGCCATCAGAAACACCTGATGTGGCACGCGCGAAACTTTTCCATAGAAAAGGTGCGTAGGAAAAAAACACACACACACACCACACACACACACACACACGGGGCAGAGCCGGGAAACCCTGAAAGGCAAGAGGAAGAAAAAAGCGGACACACGACGAGCAAACGGCCAAAAGCAGCGCAGGGGGGGAGGGGAACAGACGGACCTCCGGAACCAACCTACACGGCGAAACGGACCTGACCAAAACAGCGCACACACCTAAACCCCACGACACATTACGGAGAGGCTCGCGGGGAAAATTAGGGACCAAATGGGGGACTAGTTGATGACAGACAAGAAAACCAAAACAATTAATTAAAGACAGGACTCAGTTCCTAACTACCTAGATGTCGTGCGTTATTCCCTTGCCGGGACCGTGGTCAAGTCTTGCTCCAATTGGCATAAACGGCTTTCAAGTTCCAGTGAATTAGGTGCACAATATGTTTCACCTCACCAGAGAACCATCAAAAGAAAGAAGACCACACCTAGAAGTCGTGTACCTGCCTGCGCTCTGTCTCTTGTAATGTAACTGTACGTAAAAGCTGCTGCGAAAAAAAGAGGTTTCTGGATGTTCGGCACGGCTGCGAAGTTGAAGAACTGCGTTGGCGAGGAGACCCTGGGACAGCCGGATCGGCGAGACTTTGTGAAAAGGTGCACAACGGTAAGGCCAACTGTTGCACTTTACTTAAACGAATTACCAGATTAAAATGTGTAAATTCGAAGTTCAAGTCAGTCGACACTCACCCCAAACAGGGTTGCCTCAATTGGCCCTATGGCACCATGTCGGAGTCACCATAGGAATCACACTAGATAAGAATGGATCATTATATGATCCGGCAGGAACTGAATCCTGTAACGTGCAGATCCAAAAAATAAGGATCGCCATCTTGATAACAGAAATTAAGTACCAGATTGCGACAACCGTGAAGTGAAAATACAGCTGTGCGGTTCTAGGCTTGGCCGCGTGCCATGTCAGTCAAAATTGCAACGAAAAAATGCAGGTACGTCCAGCTGGCCAAGCTGGATATCCCATTTCACTGGTAGCTTCGTTGGACACAGTCCCAGTCAAATGCTGTGTCCCCCTGCATTATGTAAAAAGGGAGAAGAGGGAAGAAAAAAGAAGAAGGAAGTTTTACATCTATCCAGATGTTACACACACACATATATATATGTGATATGTGTGTGTATATACATGTGTGTATATACATGTGTGTATATCTAGTTATACATGCATATACGTACATAAACAGCCTAAATGCATCACAACTTCCAGCTTTGGTTCCACACTAGGTGCCATACTGATGATGTCCATCCGGCTGGCTGCATCCCTGGTGGTTTGTCTTTGCGGCCTTGCGGCTGGCACCAGCGATAGCTTCCGCTCGGAGGTCCCGGTGGCCCCGGTGACTGGGAGGAGGTGAGTTGGCCCAGAAAGTGGGTGACCCGTATGGGAACATCAAGATGAATAGAGATATGGTTGTGACTGAAAAATTTCAAAACAGATTATATTCCATTTGTTCTTCAGGAAAATGATGACAAACCTTTGGGTTTTGAAGATTTTGTTTATTTTAAGACCAGGCCAGAAAATTTTTAGGTGGAGATTCATTTCTGATATTGGGATATATCAATAGTATTGATGTTATTCCATATTCCAATACGTCCATATCCACATATTCATACCAAAATTTGATGGGGATGTGGATATATGATATATTGGGACTGGAATACTAACTATAGCAATCTTGGGGCAATACTGGTTGAAACCAAATGAATAGGAACTACAGATTTAAGTCCAATCGCCTTGGGGTTGAATAAAGTCCGATTCCGCAACCTCTCCTGGTTGCGCAACTAGGATTGCGCAACTCTTCAGTCGGATTGCGCAATTAGGATTGCGCACCTTGGCTTGCGCAACTCCGCTTGCGCAACTATGCGCAACTTGGCTTGCACAACTCCCAAGATTGCGCAACTCCAAGATGATAAAAATATTCCCACCCCCATGGAACTTCAAACTGACTTGCAGTCTCCACAAGGTTAAGATGATATCAAAATTCCCACCCCCATGGAACTTCAAACTGACTTGGGGTCTCCACAAGGCTAAGATGACATCAAAATTCCCACCCCCATGGAACTTCAAATTGACTTGGAGCCTCCACAAGGTTAAGATGATATCAAAATTCCTACCCCCATGGAACTTCGCCCTGGCAAAAAAATGGAACTTCAAACTGACTTGGAGTGCACCCCCATGGAACTTCAAACTGACTTGGAGTCTCCACAAGGCTAAGATGACATCAAAATTCCCACCCCCATGGAACTTCAAACTGAATTGGTGTCCCCACAAGGTTAAGATGATATCAAAATTCCCACCCCCATGGACCAAACTGACTTGGAGTGTCCACAAGGTTAAGATGATATCGAAATTCCCACCATCATGGAACTTCAAACTGACTTGGAGCGTCCACAAGGTTAAAATGATATCAATTCCCACCCCCATGGAACTTCAAACTGACTGGGAGTGTCCACAAGGCTAAGATGATATCGAAATTCCCACCCCCATGGATCTTCAAACTGACTGGGAGTGTCCACAAGGCTAAGATGATATAAAAATTCCCACCCCCATGGAACTTCAAACTGACTGGGAGTGTCCACAAGGCAATGATATCAAAATTCTCACCCCCCATGGAACTTCAAACTGGCTTGGAGCCTCCACAAAGTTTCTGATGATATCAAAATCTCCACCTAAAGATTCACTATATCTCTCTCCAGACTTTCACAGTACCAGTTTCACAATCTCCCCCAAGATTTTCACAATTTGTCTTCAGAGTTTCACAATCTCAGTGTCACAATCCATCCCCAGAGGTTCACAATCCGTCTGCTGAGTTTCACAATGCCAGTTTCACAATCTATCCCCAGAGTTTCACAATCCGCCTTCAAAGTTGCACAGTCCCAGTTTCACAATCCGTCCCAGGAGTTTCACAATCCGCCTTCAAAGTTGCACAATCCCAGTTACACAATCCGTCCCCAGAGTTTCACAATCCGCCCTCAGAGTTGCACAGTCCCAGTTTCACAACCCGTCCGCAGAGTTTCACAATCCGTCTGCGGAGTTTCACAGAATCCTACTTTGCAGTTTCACAATCCGATTTTTAAGTGTCACAATACAAGTTTCACAATCCGTGCGGCGAGTTTCACAATCCGACGGGCAAGTTTCACAATCCAAGTTGCAATCGGTAAGTTTCACAATCCGACCGGGAAGTTTCACAATCCGACGTTGACCCTCGGGGTTGAACATGGAGCAAACTTAGCTGGCTGTAGATCTTGGAACTAAGGAACCAGGGATACTTTCTATCTCTGGACTGCGTGGGGGGTCAAGGAACCCATTTGCCCTTGAAGATCGATGGGCAGGTAAGATATCCTAAGTGAGATCTTACAGCTGAAAGCGACGGGCAGGTTTGGCGGCGTCAGTTTTTTTAATAGCAGATATGGGAAAAAACTGGAAGGAGGGTCTCCAATGTCAATGACAAAAACCACGAGGGGGATGCTTCAACCACCAAGAAAAAAAAGATCTTCAAGCAGTTTAACACACATGAGCATCATATTGTTGGAAGTCTGTTTTGCCAACTTTTGAACTTCCGTGCAGGCAGAGGGAAAGACAAGTTGCTTGGCGAACTCTCCAGGGTATGTTTGCTGAGCGTGTGATTTGGCCCGCCTGAACGTGGCCCAAGATGAACCAGTGTATTAGCGTTCCTGTACAAAACAGACACATTTGATTACTAATATGCATGCATACAGGGCCTTAATACCATATAATGCCACAATCTACGCCTTTCCACTGGGGTTAGAACATGTTAGAAGTCCTTTCCAGATCTCTTTCTTGGTTCCCCAGTGAACATCCGGCTTGGCCGTTTCTCTCGGCGCTTCGTCCCAGGTATTTTCCTCCGAGTGCCGTTTTTCTTCGTGACCCAGGCCCTCTTGAACGATCTCTTCCTTGGCCTTGGTGCGGAAGCTTAGTGCTGCATCCTGGAAATGGGTCATCAATGAGTTTGCAAATACACACACAGTGTAATACCTGTAATACACATACACATAGATGTACTTATATATATATATACATATATATATATATACATACATACATACACACACCACATACAAAAAACAATATATATATATAATTATATTTACAATTACATATTTATACATGATAGGAGAGAAAATACACATTTTATTGAAATATAATCATAGAGCACATCAATGCGCGCGCACGACCCCAGGCTTGCAGCTGGCTCGTCGAATCTGTGGGGACCCAGGAACGTGACGAATCGGGGGGCGGTTTTCTGGGACGCCCCGATCAATATGGAAGACAATGCAATGGTCAATACAGTTATAATTGCTAGCTATATAGTTGCCAGTTATGTGTATAGTTGCTAATTTCATAGCATTATAAACGATGTTATACGGCTTATACTAGTTATACATTTTTATACTAGATAGCGGATATTTAACGCATGTTTCAACATGATGATGAAAAATTGGACATGCAAAACTGAGTTTCCATTAAAACATTCTGCAAGTGCCTCCCTTGCAGGAAACCTGCCGTGGGACCCTACTAAAGATGAGTCGATCCACCATGATACGCCGCTTGACACAGTATACAATTCAGTATACACAGTGCCACCGGGATGGTGGTGACCAGATCCCAAGTACAGTCAGCAACCTGCAGTCGCAAACGCGATGTTCGAATTTGATTTATGATGTCATTTCCATCTTCGGAAATAGGCGCTCAATCGTCACGCACACACCGCACACACCAACCCCGACAATATGTACAGAAATCCCTGTCATCCTTTTCCAGGGTACACATGGTGAGCCATTGTCCAGCTGTGGGGCTGAGGCGAATAGCGTGGCCGGCCATTGAACTGCCGAAGGAACTGCAAAAATACAAATCCAAAACTGGCCAACCCTTTTTTCTGAACCATGTGACTGGTCGCCAGCGTTGCAGCGTGCCTGCAAAAAGCATGAAAAAGCCGAAGCTGAGCGATGTTGGCAGAAGAGCTGCTGATGTAGTGGTACTCTTTTCTTCTTGGTGGGCATTCCCATTTGCTTCCAAGCTGGTTTTCACAGCAATTTTTGATCAATTCACCTCTGTCCATGACTCTCATGGCATGTGTTCAAAATCTGCTCTTTGAACACTTCACCCCTTCCAATCTATTCCTGGAGAGCCTATGACGAAGGAACTTTCCCAGGACATGCCAAAATTTCACCTCGGCCAAGGTAAAGACGCATGCATGCGATTGGGCATGGGCAGCTCTGCTCCATCAGCCTCTGGCGCGAATGTGACGAATTGTCCATCAAGGGATGCCAAGGGTCAAACAACTATAACAACTGATGGGGTAGACCATCGATGACCATCGTGAATCGTAGATATGATAGGTTCATGCATTGATGCATTGTTGTGATAGCCACACATGGAATGACTTCGTATCCTCCAGAAAGGACTTTTCTTGTTTGGACGGGGTAGATGTTCCGCACGTGTGCGTGGAAACAGGAGGAAGGGTGTTTGCTCAATGACTTGCAACATGGAAGTCTGTTGCCTCAAAATTTGCCCCAAATCCCATGTATCATGAGTTTCATCAATTTTCATCCCACAGAAATCTTGCCATTTTGGATATTTTGAGACGCCACCGATATTGCTTGGTGAGTATTTCAAAATCTGTATCCAACGGAGCAACATCAGCATCCCATTCTACCAAGGCATTGGCGCGCTTCTGGGTGTGTGGTTCATGTCGCTGTGCATGGACAAGCGATCCTTGTCCTTGTTGGGCTTCACCCTTGATGGAGCCTTCTTTGTGGATAGCATCATTGGCTTGGCTGTGGGCATCACAATCGTTTCGCGGCTTGGTGGCAGGGCCGTTTTTGGGATCCAGATGCTCCAGATGCTCATATCGCAAACCCCAGAAAGGTAGACACGTCAAGTGCTACCAAAATTGAACGTAACTGCCTACTTCCTATTTTTTTTAAAGGGTCTCTGTGTCTCTCTCTCTCTCTCTCTACCTCCCTCCCTCCCTCCCTCCCTCCCTCTAGAGGCCTTTATTATGGGCATGTAATATTCATTACACACTCATACCCACCCATGGTCAGAACTGACGGTTTTTTTCATTGGCTGATTTGCATGATCGGATGCCAACCTAGTATCGGGTCTTTTTTCCCGGCGTGAAGTTATGACAGCATCAGGTCAATGATTCAGGTCTTGTTAACAGCTCTCAGTGGTGTGCCAAGGTTCATGTTCGGAGTGGAACTTCTGGCTGGTTGGGTTGTCTTCTTGCAGTTCTTTGACGCTCAGCTGGGTAGGTTGCCATCTGAGCTCCCCAAGTTGTGGCTACTTCTCGCCCACTTACAGGGATGCCACGGGATGACTCGCCAGCTGAGGAAGTCTTCGATCCTTCCGAGAACTTTTGGCTGTGTATCTTCTGGGATGTAGTTTTCCATTTGACACTTGCTTGCAACAGCTAAAACACAGACCTGGAATGACTTGGAAGACTTGGCAAGACTGTGATCTGTTGTCAAGTGTCATGCCAGAATTGATAGACCACCAGTTGATCACTCTGGGTGCGAATCTTCAAGAATATTTTGTCATCATTTTGGTGTGATTCTTCTGCAACTGGTGATCCTGGGGTATCTGGGGTATCTGGGGTATCTGGGGTATCTGGGGTATCTGGATGTATCTGGGGTATCTGGATGTATCTGGGGTATCTGGGGTATTTGGTGATGGGCTCTCAACTCAGGAATGTGGCTATCAACGAGGAGCTCACGAATGAATCGTAACAGTTCTTCGAAAGCTTGCGATTGTGCGACAGCTTAATGTGTCTTATCTATAAGAATAATACCTACACGTAGATTGGATAAGGTAGATGTCTGCAGATGGATGATTGTTTTCTCTATGTGTTCTCTATAGTCCACTCACTATTTTTCACTTTTTTTAAATACTTTTTGTCCTGTTTTCATGTGTCCAACGGCATCAGGAGCTGCCGGTGCGAGGTTGGCTCTTGCGTCCTGGCTTTTGGTCAAAATTGCTGTATTTGGAATGATGCTGTGATATATACGTACAAATATTTGATGTAATTACCGTGAGGGGCACGACGGATGATGAACCAATATGAACCATGTGATTTCTGAGGTTTTCCCCATGATTTTTTTAAAGGACGGATGCCCTTCAACTCCCATGGCAGGGGTTGAGGTTCCCGCCAGGTACAATCTGGCAGAAGCTGGCGCGGTATATCTGGACCTCTCCGCCATCGCGGCCTTTCTCTTTGCCATGGTGTTGGAGTCGGTGCCCTGCGGTGTCCATTCCGACTCGAGTCAAACGAAGTTTTCGCCCATTTCCCCCCAAACCATTAGAATCCATTAGGCTAGATTCATTCGGCTAGATATGATAAGTTACATGACATAAATTGATATAAATTGTACATTTAGGACGCGAGTACCTAGGACCTATCTAGTCTATGTCTATATGGTTGGCAGCTGGGCCTGGCACCCTCGAGGTACTCTTTGTGGTGATGCACCTGCCATCCCCTGGTGGAACCAGACCTCTGAGCATGCGAACGGGATAGCACTTGGAGCTGGCTGGTATGACGTAAATACTCCCCCGAAAGCTTCGTTGATCTTGGTTTTGTATTGACTCACATTTCATCTATCTATTCAGTTTGAGACCCCACCATAATAAAGATGACACAAGGGAATTGCATATTCGGGGGATGGGATATAGTAGGGATAATATGGGATAATGTGGTATATATGGGATCAGGATAGTATATAGGCCGGCATGACGCTCCGCACAGCTGAGGCTCAACATTTTTGTTGGGGGCATGGCAGGCGGTCTCAACGTTCTTCTGACCGGTGGCCGCTTAGGCTGGAATCTGTGGCCCGAAGGGTTTATAGATTGTGGCAGTGTGAGCTCATACAAATCACCGTATTTTACACCTGGCAGGGCCAAGTGATTGTATGGTATATATATATAATATTATATATCGCAACATCATATAAACTTGGTTTTTGAAACCTAATTTTAAAGTTCCATATCAATTTGAGGCAGTGTACGCACTATTTTGCAGAGACGATCATAATCATAGCCCATTGTGGGGAGGTCAAACTTGACCCGCAGGCTTTGCCTTGGGATGGCACTTTGGTGCGGTCCCCAGGTGCTGCTGGGTTTCCCAGGGAGTCGTGATGTTGACCCGGCCATGGAGGTTGGAACATCTCCATGGGAAACGTCTTTGGACGCAGCACCAGTGGCATTCCGATTTCAGCTGCTTGGCGCGAGGAACCATGGCAACACCAATTTCAGAAACCATGCTTCAATTTTAGCCGAAACCCATCCCCAAGCGGAGTTTTTTTTTTAAGAAATAATAATTGAAATTGAATTGGAATTGGTTTTGCCGTTTTGCCCATCATTCATCCCAGTCTTTGTTTCGGGACCCTGGAAGAGGATGATGACCTGTCAGGCCACCTTCGTCTCGGTGGTGCCGCATCCCAGGAAGGAGCAGCTCCACGGTGGAGTCTTTGGGCCCGAGGGCGGGGTGATCTCTCCCGCGGCCTATTTTCTTGGAATCATTCTCCTGGTCAGAGGCTGAGAGAGAAACCCTGAGATCAACACTTGATGTGAACCACTAGAGAAAAAATGAGAAAAAACCCCAGCACTTTTGTGAGAGCTTTTTACCAAGAGAAACTAAGGCTCTCATCTATGGCTTGCCTGACTTTGGATCTCAGAACCTCTTAGTGCGATGAAGTGCCAGACAAAGGCACAAGTTCGGCACATTGGAGACCGACTCCGAGGGGAAAAAACTGCGGCACTTGCACTGTGTCTCCAACGGTTTTTCAAGTTTGTCTCATCAATTTTCCGTCTTGGACTTGAAGTCTTTGAGTCTGCGGAGCCATGCCTCTTGGACTTGCTCAGGCACGACTGGCCACTCCTGGATGCCTTATCCGACTCTGCCATTGCGCGCTGCCATGAGTTTGAGGGTCAGGCACTATCCTCAGCTATGCTCAGACACCAATAATTTGAGCGGTGTGATATATGCCAATCTGTGGCTATGGGTCAGGAGACGTCAGACGTTAAGATGCAGATTGGCTGCAGTGAAGCACTTGAAAAATGGGATCCCCATCCAAGGATTTGGCCATCACGGCATGGTCTTGGGCCAAATTGGAGGCCATTTTCCCAAAATCTCTGCGTTTGCTACACCGGCTACACTGAAATTTGTTGCTCATCATCTTCCATGAAAACGGTCATTGAAATGGCCAGTTGGGGGGCTCGCCATGGTCATGGCATGTCATGGCTTTCGGCCAGGTTCGGAATCCGCAACTGATGGGAGCCCTTTGCGGCTCCATTCTGGCTGCAATAGAAGACCTTGGGCCGCAGAATGTTGGGGTCTTGGTCAACTTGTCTGGCTTGGAGAGAAAACACGGGATGGTGCTCCCAAACAAGCATCCACAAAAAAAACAAACAAATACTAATAATTAGTAATGAATAGTACGTACGTTCATGATCTACGAACACAGATCTGCAAAAGAACGGTTGAAACATGTTGAAACCCGCAGATTTCTCGGTACTGCAGGTTGCGAACACTTTGTGGGCTTGGGCAGCCATCCGCTACAGAGAAGCACCAGCCCTCTCTTCCATGGCCGCGCTGGCCGTGAGACGTGGGGGACCCTGGTTGAATTGCCAGGTGGTTGTGGGTCAAAACCTTGGTACTGTGGTGAACCATAGACGGTAAGTAGGGCCGTAGGGGTTCATCCCCGCAAAATATGGTATAATAAGCTTTGATCCATAGCCAGGTGACTATTTGGGAATGGGGAACCCAGTAATTTTAGGGGTGTACCCCTTCAGAATCAGCACAAACACATGGTGAAGAGGCCGCGCAGATGAACAGACAATACACTTCAAGAAGATTCAGAGGACAGACATTTTGATATCGTCTTCATACAGTGGATGGAAGAAATCCTGCACCAGTTGATAGGTGGTTTATCTATGTTTATCTCATTATTTATAGGGTTTCAACCATCCAAGACGGTGCAGATTTCGGAACCATCCACGGTATGTCTTCATCAGCCAAGGCGTGGGTGAGTTCATCTCTCAAGAGTTGGCCAACTGCGTCAGGAGCCCTGGCCTTGCCATGTCGCAAGTCAATTCCCATATCTGGAACCCTATCTGGCGAATTTGTTGAGAGAGTCACAAATATGATTTTGGGAACTATCAAAATATCTCAACATATCTGGACACATCAACCATGTTTCCCTCTAAGAATGTCATCCACACCATTTTGTCAGCATGGTCCCCCCCGCAAAAAAACCGTGCCGAAGCGTGGTGCTTCCGAGGTCTGGGCGTTTGCGAAGCTGCACTTTCGTGACGAAGCTCTTCTAAAAGCAGCGGGGTGACTCAGGTGATTGGCTGCCAGTCCAAAAATGGGGGACGCCCCGATATCCATACCAGTAGCATTATTGAAGGGAGAAAATGGTGATCAACCATGATTTGGGTTTGCCCATGTTTGCTCAGAATTTTCAGAACTCAATTGTTGTTCCTTTTTTGTGAGTATCTTCTTGTATTAGTGCCAAGATACTGAGATGCCTGAACAAATTGCAGCGTGGCATGGTCACATTTGCGAAGACTTTAAGGCATCTGTTGAAGCCATTCGTCGGATGGCTGGGACCACAGAGTGCCGGCAGTTTTCTACAATTTACCCTCTGGTAAACTAACATAACTATGGAAAATCACCATTTCTAATGGGTAAATCCACTATAAATGGCCATTTTCAATAGCTATGTTAGTTTACCAGAGGGTAAGCCAGCATGAATTCAATGAATCACGGCAAACTGCGGATGCAAAAGGCTTGTTGTGTCTAGCATTCACCTCGCACTAAGGAGGAAAGCTCCGTCTGCCACCCAGCTTCCGATCGAATCCCCTTGGCCAATATCAAATTTACGTACTCATAGTCTATTCATTTGGGATCACTTATTGGTGGGATTAAGATTATGGTTGTGAAATGAGACAATTCCACACTGTTCCCACATTTGGAGGATAGGCAATTTTATTGGAACTCCTCATTCACTTTAAGATTTTAGGGCAATAACGATGGTTTCCATTGACCCTCAGTAAAATGCAACCTTTTTCGTCGTTCCCATGAAAATTCCACATTGTCATAGATTTTCTTCGTTATAGACCCTGACAGCTAGGGTTTGGAAGATTAGTTTCTACCAAGAAATTTGTTATTTTCAGGGTCCAACTGTCGATTTACCAGAGGGTAAGCCTCCACTTTGATGGTCAAACATCGCCTCATCCCCAGTGGCGCCAAGGAAGACTTCGACGCCATGTGTGTGGCGAGCATCTCTTGGGCCTTCGCGACGCTAGGTGACGACCAAAAATGTGGAGATTTGCCCTTTGGTCATTTGCTACATAGCGATGGAAAATGGTCCATTTATAGATGATATATATATATATATATTTATAGATTATATATATAATTATATATATATATATGTATGTATATAGTCGCTCTATATATATATATATTTATTTATTTGATTTATGATGATTTACTGAACTTAAGAATGGTGATTTTCCATAGCTATGTGTCAAATTACCATCGGGGGACATGATTGAGCCGGAAAGATTCGGGATACCATGCGGATACAATGGGATTTATGCTGGGATGTATAACCAACCATGTGATAATGGCTAGCTGCTAGCTGGAATATCACAGAACCAAATGGAGGTTTTAATGAGATAATCATCTATAGACAGGACTTTTCCATTGCCGGGTTTGAGTACCAGAGGGAAAAAGCGAGAAATACAACATCCTGCTAGAGTATAGTTGGTACATTATGTAAATTCTTTTTTTTAAAGACAAATCTTTGTTGGAGTTGTCTAATGTTACGATAAAAAGTAGGTCATAGGATATTCATTTGGTGTGTTCATGCTAGGACTTGCAATTATCACAGCTAGACTAGGTTGCAAAGCATAACGAAATGCGGGATTGTCCATGAATTGGCTTCATACCCCTATTTCATTGCTATTCTCATGGGGGTAATGTTGATTAACCAGCAGATTTGGGGGTTTGCCACAGCCAGGTTATTGGGATGGAAAATTGCTGGAGGTGATTGGCGCGGCAGTTGAGAAGCGAGTTTGGCGCTGCAAAACCCAGGATCCGAAGCAAAGGGTGGCCCACCACAGTTGGTGCATAGGCCCCAGGATGCCCCAGGCATATAGGCCTCATCCTGGGGCATCCCGGATGGCCAAGTTTGATTTGTGACTCTTATCATGCGAAAGTCGGAGCCCTGAGTTCTTGGATTTCTATGGATTTCTTGGATCTCAGGAGCTATCAAATTTGGCCTGGGCATTTGCCACCTTGACAGTGCGTGCAGTTCTGAGCTTCAGGGCAGTTCTAAGATGTTTGCAATCAAGGCGGGCCATGGACAGTGATAGCTTGGGGGTTTCCTTCCCCGGCTTAAGGAAACCAGACCAGCGTGTTGAACGTCATTGCAGCTGCTGCATGCCAGCGGATCAATGAGTTCGAGCTGCAACCTGGATCCGATCCAGCCATGTGGAGCTTTTGGATGCAGCTGTACCAATTAAATCCAATTGATGGGTGCGGCAACTTGTGGGGGTCTATTTTGGGGATGAACATGGGATAAACATCAACAACTACAGCAGCTATCTGAATATTCAATATTCACCTTGTTGCCATCATCGCAATGATCGCCACGGCATCCAAGGCAGCACATCACCAATACGACGTGAGCGCCCGGCACCAAGCCACACTTGGGTTTCTTTGACGGCCGCAGGACGCAGGACGCAGGTGTCGTTCACGCTGGCACTGAGGTTCGGACGCCTTGGGATACTGAACCAAGAACTCATGGGCGCTGTTTCAGGCGCGCACATCGTCCGAAACTGCCAAGTTGAGAACTTTCAAGCGGAAGATGGTTGCAATTGCACCTGCCAGGAATAGTCCGCATGAAAGCTCATCAGTTTGACGTGCGTTTCTCAGAAAAGTCTTTCTCCGGGACTGGGATGAGAGGCCGGATGAAAAGAGGCCCCAAAACGAGGCATATCCATTGATGGACCCTCCAGAAATGCCATTGTGCTCAGCCACTGCCATCCCTCAGGCCCAAAAAGTCAAGCATGTCAAGTGAAGATGACTTCCAATCCAATCCAAAGAGCCAAGATAGCCCATTCAGGGACAGAACAGAACCAACATTTTTGATTTATCTTTCGAGCCCTACTGCAGCACGCTGGAAGGTTGCGGTGTTCAGCACATTTTCGACATTTCTTTCTTTTCAGCCTTTGGTCATGCCGCAAGATGACCCTGGACCAGTGGCCTTGCCAAAGACATGGTATGAACCAGAGGAAGACAGGTGGCTGGCCAGAGTGGCTTGTGATGTACTGTGGCATCCTATGGTGTGGTTTCAGATAGCCTTTATATAATACAGGCAACACTAAAAACACCAACCTTGATGTGGAATCTGAACAATCGGCGGGGAGACTACTGTATGTCATGAAAGGACACTGCGACATGCTGCAGATACCTCCAATTGCACCCAGTCAAATTGATTACCAATCCAAACTACTGGTACCTTCAATTGAATCCCATTTTCCATGGGTTCCTCTGGTTCCAGTAGCTTCTGGTTTGTGTTACCAGTGGGAAATGGCCCTGGCCAGGCCCCAAACTTGGGCGGAGCCAAGTGCTGCCTTCCTGGGACGGCAGCAGGTCACGGCCGAAGAGATCGACGCCTGACCCACCATAAGTCTGGTTGAGAGGGCTGTCCCCATCCCATGTTGAAATGCAAACCCTGGCACCCTATTTATTCCAGAATAGTTGCTAGTAATTCTAGATTCTTTGAATATATATATATATAAAGCTGTATATAGATAGATACAAAGATAGAAATATTGATAGAAAGATGGATTTTCGTTTGCGCGTCAAGCAATGGTTTTTCCACAACAGCGCTAGCCTATAGGTCTCAACATGTCTCAACCCAGATAAAGGTTCCGTGCAGTTTCCCTGTTCCAGACATTCCAGCGTGGAGGTAGCGGTGTAGGTTCTGCAATATCTGCAATGGCGTTCATTGGCTGCTGTCACATTTTCCTATCACCTTCGCTGTTGGGGATAAAACCTGGGCTTATTCTTGAATAGAATTTACCATTCGGATCCATCCGGTCAAACACAGCAATGGCACATCATTTATGGATGATTTTCCCATTAAACCCTCCATCAAATTGATGGGGATTTTTCCATTGCCCAGTTTGACTACCAGAGGCTATAGGTGAAAGACCTCAGCCCAAGGCGCGCACGCGTGAGAGCTTCCGGGAGGTGTGCATTCGGCAGCACGGCTCGGTGGTGAGGGCCTGGAAGGTTATGGACCTGAACGGCGATTTGAGGTGCGCCACGGCATCCAAAAATGGGGGTTCACCTTCGCATGGCATTTTTCTCTGAAAATGATGAATCCTGGCGAGCATGTCTCACCCCGTGATAAGTTGAAGACTGGCTTGTTACAACTTGGTGCATGGAATTTGCAAGGTAAACCCTTGCCCACTGCCATTGATGTGTTGGATGCTTTTGGTTTGGACATGCATGTCTTAGCCCTACAAGAAGTTGGTGGCGTGGCTGTTGGTGAAGCTTTGGATTTGTCCGAGTCTCATGGCTACATGGTCTTAACTGCCAGGCCTAGTGGCTGCTTCCGAGCCTTGGCCCTTGCCCTTGATGAGGAATGCTCTTCAACTTGGAGTTCTGTTGCCGTTGGACACTCTCACCTTAGCGCCTTGATTCAATTGCCAGCTTTCGCCCAGCGGGTTTGTGTTGTCTCTGCGCACCTGCCACATAGTCGCCGCCCTTTGGATGATTTTCTGGCTGCCCTGGCCTCCTTGCAAACCACTCTCACGCCCTTGGCTCAAAGGGGTCATCCGCTCATTCTTATGGGGGATCTAAATGTTGACCTTGGCCTTGCGGAGGGGGACCGGTGGGTTGCCTTGCAAGCATGTCTTCAATCTGTTGGCTTGAACTTCTTCTCGTTGGATGGTGAGCCCACTTGGAAGGACCGTCGCTTGGATCATGTGGTCTGCAACCAACTAGTTGTTGAGCGTTGCTGTCTCATTGGGAATCCTGACTCCTGCGCATGGGCTTCTGTGTCCGTTAGGCCTGATGCTCAACATGCACTCTGTGTGGACCACGCCTTGGTCATGCATGAACTTTTGGTGTCCTTGCCTGTGCTTTCTCGTCCTTCCCGCTCTGCGTTGCGCCGCTCTGCCTTCTTGAGCCGCCCTTGCAAAATGCGTGTTTGCCATCCTTGGTTGCTGCAACAAAAAGTGTATGGTTTCTGTCATGCGGTGTCTGTTGGTGACCGCCCTGATCCACATCAGTTTCTGTCCCATTGTGCGGCTACTTGCTCCTCGCCTGCCCCGGCTCTGCGTTACTCTGACTCTCCTGCCCTTCGGGCCCTCTGTCGGGCGCGGAGCCTTTGTTGTTGTGCTGTGGAACGCAAGCGCCTTTCCTTTCAGATTCATGCCAGTCGCCAAGCTGAAAAGAAACTCTGGCAGCAGAACCTGCTTCAGGCAGCAGCCCTCGGAGACTGGCGGGCCCGTCGCCACCTCCAACAAAAGGCTCAGAAGGGGTCCTTGGTTGCACATAGTTTGCTTGCTCGTTTTGGCTGTCGGGAAAATGCTGTCTCGCATGTACAACACCACTTTGATGAAAGGTTTCGGTCTGATGGTGCTCCTTCCCTCTCCTTTCATGCTTTACCGGACACAGAACCTGACTTCGCCCCAGAGGAGGTTGCTTCGGCTGTGGGCAAGCTGAAGTCTGGTAAAACAACTGGGATGTCCAGGGTCAGTGCCGAATTACTCAAGCACTTGGTTGGTTTGTCCTATGGCCTTCTTGTCCTTACCGACTTGCTCAACATGGTCCTGAAAGACCCCGCCCAAGCCAACTTGCATCTTGCTGAAGGATGGGTCATTCTTCTGCCGAAAAAGAGTTGGGTACAGGATGCCACGGACTTCAGACCGATCGTTTGTGGTGAAGTCTTTGCCAAACTTGCCGCCAAATTGGCCACAGCCCGCGTTGTGTCCTCTTGGCCTGTGCCGCGTTCCTGCTTTGGCTGTGTTGCGAACAAAGGTGTGGCCGAAGCAATCTACGTCATTAAACATGCTGCCCAAGAATCGGCTGGCCTGGCTGAGCCCCCGGTCTTTGTTCAGCTCGATGTCTCGGCCTTTGATTCCCTCAACATCAACTCAGTCTTGCAGTACATGATTGATCACTGGTCGTCTGCTTCTGCCAAGAGTGCCGGCTTGCTTCGTTGGGTCCTTTTGCATTCCCGTTTGCGGTTTCAACTTTTTGATGCCTCGTGGTGGTGCTTGCAGGGTCGTGGTACCCAACAAGGGGGTAGTCACAGTCCTACCTTGTTTGGTCGTGTCCTTTCTGGCCGTTTCGACCAGCTCAGTCATCAGTGGTTGCTCTGTGGAGAACGTCCAGCCTTCGTCACCTCGCTTCTCGCGCTGTGGGCTTTGTGGTTTATTGATGACTCCATATTCATTCTCTGTCCCAGCTCCTTCGTTTGATGCCTGCTGTCGTTGACCTTCTGCAGAACCTGGGCTTATCCATCAATGTCTCGAAATCCTGTCTTCTTGCTTCGTCGTTGCCCCGTTGTTTGCCAGGATTCCTTGGAACCTTCCCTGTGCAGGCTACTTCTGTTTACTTGGGCATGCCGTTAAAGGTGGTCGAGACTGATGAACACATGGTTGATTACCTGTGCGCAAGGGCCACCACCGCGTATTTCACCAACAAAAGGTTGCTGACCCATTGTTCTGCTTGCCGCCCCCTGCGCCTGCGCCTGTTCACCTCTTTAGTCGCTGCTTCCATCAGATGGTGTCTGTGCGTTGTCTCTGTGAACCAGACCAATCTCCGAAAGCTCCGGATCCATCATGTCACTCTCCTTGCTTGGACGTTGGGTGCTCGTGCTCACAACTCTTGGTTTGTTGGCGAATGCATTGCCACTTTACGTCATGCTGTCAAGTTGTGGTCCAGAACTTATTCTGAAACTTGGGACGCCCTCCTAGCCAAGATGGTGTGGAGATGGGTTGGGCATGTTCTCCGCCTTCCTAGCACTGACCTTGTTAGGCAAAGCCTTACAGAGCTGCAACATTCTGATGTGACTGCACATGGGATCCGCCGATGTCGCACTGGGCCAAATAACAGTGGGCACCGAAATGTCATCCGGTATCTCAACCATTGTGGGCTTGATGCTGGTGCGGCAGCCTGCCGCCAGCAGTGGGCAGAGAGGGAGCATGGCTGGCTGGTTGCACACGGCTTGCCTGTTGCCGAGCTCTTTGGGGCCAATGTTTATGCTATCTCTAGCACCAAATACTTGTGGGAAAGACGTTGCTTACAAGGAACGTTCCATGGTCAACAGCTGATTGTCTGTGATATCACTGACTCGGCGGCTATCAGTGTACTGGAATTGGATCGGTGCTGTGGTTGGCGCTGCCACCGGGCACCAGTGGGCACTCAATCCATTCACGACATCCTGGAACTTTTTCTGGCAACAGGGTGGATTCGGCCCAGCACTTTTCACTTGAAGGTGCTTCTTTTTCATCAAGATTCACATGCTGAGAGGCTGCCCGATTTGCTATGATCTTTACCTATTCATTTTCATCCCTTTGACCCCTTATGTATAGTAACAGAAATTTGTACTTTACCTTTGCGGTGGCTTGGTGATATGACGCGCCTGGCTAACGAGCTTGTGTGCTGACCTGCCACGTCACCTTTTTAGCTCGCCTTCAGCTTGACTGCTGATCTCCTGAGATGGCGATGGAGAGAGAGAGAGAGATGACAATTTGGGGAAAATATGAGAAACAAAATGAAAACTGATGGGATTGAAACAATAATCGAAATTTAAAAGGCGTGCCATGGTCACAACATGGCATATCCGCAAAAAGGGATGGTCATCTCCTAGGGGGAGTGATGGATGTGATGGTCAAGCACTGTCATGTAGGGTTGTTTGCTCTATGCCAGAAACGCCCATATCGGGATGGGATGGGTTGAAGTTTGGCTACCCATTGGTTCCAAAAGCAGCAATTTTCAGCATTTGTCCCTTCAATGAAGTATTCAAAAATGATGAAAATCAACAGTCATAAAATATGTAAACAACTACTGCACACACGCAAACACACACACATACACATATAGATATAAGTATGCATATACAAAGTATACAATACATATGATCCCCCCAACTCCCAACTTTGGGCTGCATTTGAAACCCTGCAGGCTCACTTATTTTGAGTTCATGAGGGGTTGCAAACAGATGGATCTCATGAACGCTCGGCGCATTTGGTGTGCCTTGGGAAGAACTGGATTTATCATGTTGCAAGATATTGATGCCAAGCTGGGAGAACAACTTGGGTCATTGGCCGGTTTGCTTTGGTGCACCTTTGGAAGCGTCGAGCAAGCCTGGAGGACATGTTTCAACAAAACTTCCAAGCTCAGAATTGGGCATGATGAATTCAAGCAGGCCTGCCATGAAGTGAAGTTTAAGGGTGACAGCTGGCTGTGCTTTACGGAGCTTTGCTCAGAGAAGGCCAGCAATGGAATGTCCAGGAAGGAGTTCGGATTTTTGCACAGTTGGATCCAACCTGGGAAACCCGACAGAGGATTCATCGACAACCCTCCATCCCGCTGGGACTTGCCATCACAGCCATGGGCCCCTCCTCCCAGTGCGGTAAAGAAGGGCAGCCGCCGGAAGCGCTTCAAAGATTGCCTTCTGAGATCCTATGGCGGCCTGGCCATGGAAAAAATAATGGAACACTTTTGATGCAAAGGCTGTTGCAGAGTGGAAAGATCAAGTGAGAGGGAGAGAGAGATAGACAGAGACACAGACAGAGACAGAGACAGCTAGGCAGGTAGGTAGGCAGGCTGGCAGGTAGGTAATTAGGTAGGTGCTGCAGCCAGGTAGGTAGAAGCAGCGTGTATTGTTTGACAAAACTAAACAAGGAAGTGACATCCAAACTACATCATCAGAACGACTCTTCTACCGACGACATGTCAAAGCTGAGGCAACATAGTGAGGGCATGGCGGGAGGGACTGGATCGAGACCACAACGATCGGATGGACTACAGTGAGTTTAGTATCGCTGTCAAGGATGTGGGCTACCCAGGAAATGCCAAAGAGCTTTGGCAGGAGTTGGATCTGAACAAGAACGGGTATGTGAGTCTATGGGTGCCTTGAACGACTCACTTACATTCATCTACGTTTTGTTTCCCTTCCAATTACTTATTATGTTCTACCTAATGTTTTGGTGAGGCCGCTTCCTATGATTTCGCGGCTTTCAGTTTCAGCCTTTTCCAATCCATTTAAAGATGCGCACGAGGAACTTGACGAACCAACCGCCCTCTTGTTGAGAGAGTTTGTGGACACGGCACGTTCCAATTTCGGTTCTTGGGCAGCCTTTTGGCATTGCGCCCTGGACGTGCGAGGAGACGACCGGGTTTTGTATCCCGAGTTCAGGGATGGCTGTATCATGCTGGGCTGGAGGGAATCCGATCGTCTCTTCGAACTGTTGGACACGGACCGTGCCAGATATCTCAGCTGGTCTAGCTCCTCCTGGCTGGCGGGCGCCGAATTGGAGGAAGGCGGCTGCCAAGCACCCAGCAGATCCCGGGCCATTGCTGAGGATGGCGAGCCCACAGTGTTTACCAAGGCCACCAAGGCCCAGAGCCGGGCCAGGCATCAGAAGCTCCGGGAGCATCGGCATCGGGTGAAGTGCGAGGGACGAGCACGTGGAGAGATTCCAGGGAGCCATCCTGCAGCGGGCACCACCATCTACAGCCCAGGGGTTTCCTTGAATTCGTGGCTGGGTTCGGAGGCAGATTCAGAGGTGTGGTAGATTGTACAGTGTAAGGAGGTGTTTTTCGTTCTTGGGAGGGAAGTTATAGTTGTAAAGATTTGGGCAGCTGGAGCAGATAGACCCGTAAATCACAAGCAGGCTTTGGATGTTGTAACTGTCAAGTTTGTTGGGAACCAGTGGTTAAGGATATTTTCAAGAAAGCACGCTGAGGCATATCGCCGGCAGCAAAACCCCACCTATCCTGGAAATGCCAACGAAGACGGTATTCCAGAGCAGCTCACTTGCACTTGCACCCTCTAAAGATCATGGCACATGGGTACCAAGTCACAGAGGGATCTTTGATTTGGCATGGTTTGGCTGGTGGGTCAGCCTCCTAGACCCCGGTCAACCCTACCAATTGGCTTAATTAATGATAGATATCCTCTGCTAATCAAAGGTGGCAAGCTGGATCCCCATCAAAATGGAGGATTTTCCATGGCCAGGCACCTCTTTGGAGCTTGAAGATGACTTGCCTGACTGGCTGCTGATGGCAGAAGGGCGAATGAGGATTGGGATCAGCTGGGCAGCAAAACCTGTGTAGCTCTATGATATTTATACATTTATAATCATTTATATATTCTGATAAAATCTTATAAAAATGTATATTTATATACATCATATATTTATATACACACACACTGTAGCTTTGCGCACAGCTACAGTTCTGGCGAAATGTCAGCACATTTGTCAAAATGCACTGACCTTTCAAGTTGGACTGCCAGGATGCCGGAGCCCATGCCCAAGGCAGACTTGAGCTTCCCTTTGAAGCCCCAACAACCTGGAAAAGGAGGCGAGTGTGATGTTGGCGCCAGACATGGCTGGAAAGGGGGATTCCAGGAAACTGTGGGCCCGATGAGTCCACAGAATGGTTCACGCGATCGACCATTGCTGGTTAGTTTCATGATGTTTCAAGTTTTATTTCCAACTCGGCCTATTTGGGATGATGTTTCCAACCTACAAAAAGAACAGATGGCCTAACCACTACCACATTGGTTTCCTTGACTGCCACTTCAGCCAAGCTGCTTCGCCGCAGGTTGGCCGTGCTCGAAGCTGTATTTGACTGACGAGCTCTGGGGCGGAAGCAAAGACCTGGGCCGCTTGCTGCGGCCTCTGACGCGAAAGGCATGCTCCCAGCAGAATCTGGAAAGGCGCGATTTCATCAGATTATCAAGATATTTTTTGTGGCAATGATGGAAAGTTATACGTATAACAATTATCATTGATCATTCATATTGTAATAAATTCTTTTAGAGATCTCCATCCTAAATGCCCCGACAATGCACGTTTTTAGTGGATTTGCAACCCCGTTCAAACTGGTTCGGTAAGTGTAAGGGTATCTATTCAGAGTCCCGATTATTACTTCCAGGATCTTCTAGGGCTTTTGAGCTGTATGCCAATGGTCCCTGACAGATGGAAGAAGCTGGCAACAGATGAAGGGCCAAAGGGTGACAGCAAAACGATGTAGCGACACGTGGCGGTGAAGGTGCTACCCTTTGAGAAAACACGAGATGTTCCGAGCTTTGCGCGGCTGGAAGATTTGCAGTCCAATGCCAGCCTGAAACACGGTATATTCTGAAAATTTTAATTGCCAGAGTTAGAATTTAATAAACATGGCGATGCTGGCAATTTCCTCGAAGCCTCCAGCCTTTGGGCCACTGGCCGTTGACTTTGAAGGGTTTTAAACTCATCAAAGTCCTTTCTGGCGCATGAACTGGTGACTTGGTGGGGAGGATGGATTTGAATGCTTCAAACAACGATTTGTTGCGAATCGGTTGAATCTTTCTTGCCCTGCTTGCATTGCGTTCATCTACGCATCGCAGAAAGGACTTGCCAATTCCAGCCCAAAAGGGCAGAACATTTGAAGCTCGTGGTGAAACTGCCATGTCAATTTGATCTTTGCGTCCGAAAGAGATGCAATCGTGGAATGACAGAAAAGATTAGAAAAGAGAGAAGCACTTTCCATCACTTTCCCATTTGCTCTCCTTTTCTGGTGGTTGGGTTCTACTGCTATTACTTTCCTTCCTGCCCCCCTTTTTGGGGTGCTGATCCCCGTTTTTTGTTTTGTTTTTTGGTCACCTACACTGTCTACACTTCAGTATATTAGATTTGAGACTCATGTATTCCCATTGTATTTCCACTCTATTCCCATCATATTCCCCTTCTATTCCCACTACGTTCCCATGAGATCCTACTACATTCCCCTTCGCATACTGTATGTTCGAGTAAGATCCCCAATGTATATATAATTATATATATATATGCAGTATATACACTTATATATATATATTCCCATAATGATTGATTTGATACCCCCATTTGTGTTTGTAGACTCTGACTCCCGATGTTGGACGCTGGACCGCGCTCGCATCAAGGTCCAAGGTCTGTCCAACAGCGTGTGGTCCTTTGCGAAGGCGGTTGCACCAAGGGTTGAAGGGTTGAAGGGTTGATGATTCTAATAGAGTTATGACGCAAAATGCTTCATTTTACTGACTGGAAACCAGCAAATAGTTAAAAAACAAAAAACAAATAAAAAAACAACCAAGCAAAAAAACAAACCAAAAAAAAAACAAACCAAAAAAACAAACAAAAAACAAAACCAAAACAATTAAACACAATAAACAAAACAAAAAACAAACCAACAACAATAAACAGCGCACGGTTTGAAACTCAGAGAGACTTTGTGCTTCTCCCCAATCGCCGCAGCTTGTTGATACCACTTGCTCTCCACGTCCACAGTCTTGCTCTCCACAGTCTGCTCTCTTTGTGTTTTTTGTTTGTTGTTTTTTTGGAGAGCAAGTGGTATCAACAAGCTGCGGCGATTGGGGAGAAGCACAAAGTCTCTCTGAGTTTCAAACCGTGCGCTGTTTATTGTTTTTGGTTTGCTTTTTTTTTGGTTTGTTTTTTTTGGTTTGTTTTTTTGGTTGGTTGTTTTTTGTTTGTTTTTTGTTTGTTTTTTTTCCCCCATCATTTTAATTATTTTCCATTTTCCAATGAATGAAGGTCTCTCGACGTCATAGTCTATTTTCAGTTTATGAAGGGTCTATTAACATCTACTTTTTTTTTAGCTGACCATAAACGTGGAAGAACCTTTACTTTTGTATCCATAAACGTGGATCATTTTCCATAGGAAAACCCATGTTTTATAACTTCCACATCTATGTTAGTTCACTCTAGGGCAATAGGGGTAACTGTTAGCTATCTGATACTGTCAGGACAATGATGAGGGAATCTTTTTGGATGTCATGGGATGATAGCCAAGTAAGATGGCAATGACCTGTTGTTACCCTCTGGTAAACGTTAACAAAAAACTATGGATCGATCCACCATTTTTAGATGGGAAAATCAACTATTTCGACTGGGCCATTTTCAATAGCAAACTGTTGACATAACCAGAGGGTACCATTTGTAGATGATTTGCCCTGAGCACTGCATGTGTTCCAGCCAGCCATGTCTGATTTCTGCGAAAATTCCTCCCAGTTACTGTACACCCAGGTGAGGGTGGTTTGAGCATGACCCCCCACTGTCCCCGGCATTTCCACATTTGGCCAAATTTGGGGGGCCAATCCTTCCACTCCCTGCGAGGTGCTGTACAACGACGAAGCAACTCTTCAAACCATTGCGCCACTTGGCCGGATGGGGAAAGCGCTGGTCATATGGCAGAGCGCTGGTCATATGGCAGAACTGGTTTAATTTGGAAAAATCCAGGAACCGCCCTTCTTTTTTTTGGCTGATCAATTCATTTGTTCCTTGCCGATGTTCTCTGAGCAAAGCCTAGGGCAGCTGCGGTCACCAAAGCTGCTGAGCTAACTTCACAGGAGATGGGGTGCAGCTGGCCTTGGTTTACAGCCACGGAGAATCCAGGGATTCCAAGGTTTGGCATTGGGGATTTCAGATATTTTCACATATTTTCATGAACGATTTCAACAAAGATCGTGGTAAATCAACAACTTTGGCGCCGACTTGCTGCCCTTTGCTGTGCAGTCATTACTTGACGTTGATTTGCTGGTGGATTTGGGCAAGGCAGCAAAAGGGGCTGGAACAATTGAAACATCGTGGAAGGGCACAAAGTCAAGTGGTTGAATGGCCGGAGAGTTTCTCATTCATTGCTGGGGATTGAACATGGGTGCCCGAACCTCGAACTCGTGGCTGTTTGTTTCTGGCTTGCTGGATGGGCCAGGAACACATCGTGGACCTTCGCCAGACTGTCCATCTACAATGAACAGCTAGCAGCTTGTCAGCATTTGAAATGCAGCCGCAGGCCGCAAGTCCTGGTCAAAAACCGATGTTTGCCCTGCATTTCGTGAGGTTGATGCAATTGCGGCGCAGGGAGCCGGCACCTAAGTAGCCGTTTGAGCTTGGTATTCCTTGTGGTGATGCAAAGTGACACGACCCATCTGCTTTCCCGATCCGTGGCCGCTGGCTCGAAGTGTTGCTGCGCATATGGCAGCCGTGTTGTGATGCCTCCCAGACAGGACCCACGGAAAGCTCTGTAGCCTGCCATGCAGCACCACGGCGGCACGTATGCAAGCCCAGTGGCCACATCTGGCTATGCTCTGCACCCTGCGACTTGTCATGAACTCCTGGAGTGCTTTGGGGGTAGCATTGGGTGATTTCAAACATTACGGATGTACCTGGGATCATCAAGTGTCATGGGATTGCACAGAGAAGTGGCAAGGTTGTGTACCCGCGTAGACCATGTAGACCATTGGCTTCGCCGCATTGCAATAGACTTTGTAGCAGGCACAAATCACAATCCTCACAAGACCGTAGCCTTGCCTCACCGAGTCCCAGCAGCCCGCAGTGTATGTCTACCAGGCCGTGGGGACGGGGACTTATCCGTGACTCAAGAAGTGACAGGGACTACGGTGACTGTTCCGTGTCCTTTTTGATGGAACTTTTTTCCTGCAATCCATCGCCACAGATTTTTGCTAAAGGATTGAAAAGTAGATCATTCTCCGTGTAAGTCGTAGGTCAGATCCCATATCAATCATCATATACATAGCATATTTGAGCCACTTCAATTACGTTTCATTCTTAGTCTTGATGGTAACCTCCATCGGGGACAAAACAGCGATAAATCACCACATTTCCTCATCCCCTTGGGTCCCCTTGGGTCCCCTTCAGTTCCCTTCTGCAGGGGCAGAAGTATAGCGACTTCCACCAGCTCCAAGCAGCCATGCAGCAAGCTCCACTGCCGGTCGCGCCGGTCGCGCCGGCCAGTGCACCCTGGGGGGAGGCCTTGAAAGATTCGGCAGCCTTGGAAGCTGGGAGTAAAGCCAAGTATACATAAGGTGTACATAGATGTATACATACATACATACCTACCTACCTACCTACCTACATACATACATACATACATACATACCGTACCATATCGTACCGTACCATACCATACCGTACCATACCATACCGTACCATACCGTACCATACCGTACCATACCGTACCGTACCGTACCATACCATACCGTACCGTACCATACCATACCGTACCATACCATACAATACCATACCGTACCATACCATACCATACCGTACCGTACCATACCATACCATACCGTACCATACCATACCATACCGTACCATACCATACCATACCCTTACATACATTACATACATTACATACATTACATACATTACATAATATTACATACATTACATACATTACATACATTACATACATTACATACATTACATACATTACATACATTACAAAGATTACATAGATTACATAGATTACATACATTACATACATTACATACATTACATACATTGCATACATTGCATACATTTGCATACATTTGCATACATTGCATACATTACATACATTACATACATTACATACATTACATACATTACATACATTACATACATTACATACATTACACACACTACATACATTACATACATTACATACATTACATACATACCATACATACCATACATACCATACATACCATACATACCATACATACCATACATACCATACATACCATACATACCATACATACCATACATACCATACACACCATACACACCATACACACCATACACACCATACACACCATACACACCATACATACCATACGCACCATACATACCATACATACCATACATACCATACATACCATACATACCATACATACCATACATACCATACATACCATACATACCATACATACCATACCTACCTACCTACCTACATACGTACGTATGTATGTATACGTACGTACGTACGTACATACGTACATACATACATACATCATACATACATACATACATACATACATACATACAGACAGACAGACAGACAGACAGACAGACATACATACATACATACATACATACATACAATTACGCATACAATTACGCATACAATTACACATACAATTACACATACAATTACACATACAATTTACACATACAATTACACATACAATTACACATACAATTACACATTACATTACATTACATTAGATTACATTACATTACATTACATACACACACACACACATATATATATATACATGGATTATTGTGGATTATTATATTGTATGTCATGTTAATCAACTACGACTCATTTCTAATGCTTATTCCAATTGTAATTTCTGTTATTTCGGTCTCTGTCAGTATCAATGTATGTCCTTGGACTTCTAGGAAGGAATACCGAGGGAAATTCTGTTGAACAGACAACTTCTCACACAGTCAAGCTTGGTGTGCCAAGTCCTGTTCGGAGCCCAGCGGAGGTAAAATCGTCCTAATCTAAGACCCGACTTGAGTGCTGGGTATCCATCCTTAGGCCAGGGCCCATTTGCCACCATTCCCCAGTTCGATGACCCAAGGAGCGAAAAGTTCACGAACTCTTCGTGCAATATGCTGGAGCTGATCGAAAATTGGACCCTCCGGAGTTGCATGGACTCGCCGTGTGTGTTGGACAGCAGCTGGGAGTGGACCCCATGGCCTTCGGAGACGTCAGGAAGTGGTTGGACAGTTGGGAGCCCAACTGTCCAGGGAAATCATTCTACCTCTTCAGTCCTTTTCCGATGTTTTTGTTCTGTCTCGTAGGTTACACTTGTTTGGTTCATGAGCGAGGTATTGCAATAAACATGCAGTTCCTAAACCCTAAACCAACCAGCATCCTTGCGCAGCAAATGACATGACAATGTGCATTTCACCTTGTGTTGTGTTACTAACGTCTTTGTGTAGGACCTTGTTCCACCGCTTTGATTTCAGCGGTGACGGGCACTTGGACGAGAAGGAAACGCTGAACCTGATTCAGTACATGCTGCGCGTCCATCGCGACCTGCAGCGGAAACGCTCCGCTCAGCTGGCGCAGAAACCGCATGCGCCGGATTTCACGGCGAAATCCATTCCCTTCAAACAGGCCAGCAGTGGCATTGGTCTTGGGTGACGTTTTGATGGAGTTTGACTAGGGTCTAGTGAGGTTCAAGAGGTTTCAGATGAATAATTACTATTATATATATATATATACATATACATATGATTATATATGTATATATGTATATATGTATATATGTATATATGCATATATGTATATATGTATATATGTATATATGTATATATGTATATATGTATATATGTATATATGTATATATGTATATATGTATATATGTATATATATATACGATAATATATTTTTATATGTATATTTGTATATATGTATATATGTATATATGTATATATGCATATATGCATATATGCATATAGGCATATATGCATATATGTATATATGTATACATGTATATATGTATATATGTATATACGTATATATGTATATATGTATATATGTATATATGTATATATGCATATATATATGTACATATGTACATATGTACATATGTATATATGTATATATGTATATATGTATATATGTATATATGTATATATGTATATATGTATACATGTATATATGTATATATGCATATATGTATACATATATGTATATATGTATATATGTATATATGTATATATGTATATATGTATATATGTATATATGTATATATGTATACATGTATATATGTATATATGCATATATGTATACATATATGTATATATGTATATATGTATATATGTATATATGTATATATGTTTATGGGATGTTGTCCTACCCTCTCAGATAATCTCAGATGTTGCAGTGGCCCCTTCACCCTAACACATCCAACATTAACATACTCCAAAACAAAACCATGGTTTCGTTTTATAGTGTTCTTTTTCCCTCTCATGAGGGAATTCTAATATCTTAATCTTGCTGGGAAGGGATTAGTGAAAGAAAATCATCATGCCTTCCCATTTTTTGGTGAAAATCATAATCCATTGATGTTTGAATGCCAAGTTCTGATGATTTTTTTGGATGCGGGGACCGACAGGTGGAAACGGTCTTTGATTTGCAGAAGAAGCTGGGACAAGGAGGGCAAGGTGCTGTGTACCTGGCCGCCGAGCGCAGCACGCAGCAGAAGCGAGTCGTGACTGGGTGCTGTCGTTCTACAGATAAATACCCTCTGGTGAACTAACAGTTTGCTAATGAAAATGGCCATAGAAATAGTGGATTTTCCCATGAAAAATGGTGATTTTCCATAGTTATGTTAGTTTACCAGAGGGTAGATGTGATATACAAACACCATCAAACACCAGTTGATAGAAAATAGCTTGAACAAGCTGCATTTTCCTTCCAATTATTAATGTTCATCATGTTCATCCCATCAGGTGGAATGATGCAGCCCATGATCCTCATAATTTACACCATCTGGGTATCCGGGTTCACCCAAAAAGGGGGAATCATCGGGATGATCCTGGCCAGGTGAAATTTTACGACAAGACTTGCGCGAATGCGCCGGTGGAGGACATCGTGGAGGAGTTTAAACTTCTGACCAAATTGGACCATCCAAAAATTGCCCGAGTTTACGAGGTGTTTCAAGATGCTTGGCCAGATTTAAAACGAACCGTGCCATTTTTGTCAGAGGAAAACTGGTGCAGGTTCATTCGTTTTTGATCATTTTTGGATGTTTTAGACTCTATTTTTGTGCCTAAAAGGTAGCTCTCCTCCACTGCCTACAATTTTCAGGCATGAAAAAACGGTAACAATGTGCAAATGTAGGTCACAAAAAAGGTCCTACGGTGCAACGGTCGTAGGTTGGAGATGGTTGGAGGGATGACCTCCCCAGGACCATGCCTACATTTACGTGGTGAGTGAGCCCTACTTTGGCGGGGATCTCACGACTTGTGCGCAGAGGGCCAGTGAGAATGGAGTGGCCTTGAATCAGCACTGGCTGGCCGGGATCCTTCGGCAAGTCTGTGCACCTTTGGCCTGCAGTGGTACATTTTGATACCTTTTGCATCATTTTGCTGTTGTGTGGAACCCTGATTACAGGCTTTATTTGGGCAAGACATGATGTGCTTGTTCGATCTCGTTCGATTTTCGAGCAACTGAGGCAGGCATCCTGTATCTCCACAACAACAAGTGCATGCACTGCGACATCAAGGAACCCAATGTGATGATTTCTGGAGACTCTGACTGGCATGCTCCGAACCTTGCTGAAACAGATAGGTCAGATAGGTGATGTTCCCAGCAGTTTTCTCACCCCCTTCCTGGTTTCCAGGCTGGTTACATCCATCCATGGAATCAGTGAACCAAGGAATCAAGGCCAATTATGTCTATATTACATTATATTACCATGCGCTGGAAATGAACCAATCAAGGCCACTTATAATAGTACTGCACACGTCTATACACTATCTACATGTTCTCTCTGTTTGTGTTGGGCCACTTGGAACAATCTTCTTCAGTCCCAACTGATCACGACACATTTGTGAGGAATGTTGTGGTCATTGACTTTGGCTTGGCGCGGGATTTCAAGAAATACAGCACGGGAGTCATGGGAACACCTGGCTACATGCCGCCAGAGGCCGCATCACTTGGGGTTGGAAGATGTTGGGGTTGGCTTTGTAGATGACATTTGAATCAGGGAGCTGAGTTGCAGGGAGCAACTCAGTGGGCTGCAGCCCTGAGAGGTTTGGATGCAAGGCATTTGGACCATCTATGGCGACGTCTTTTCCATGGGCGACTCGGCAGATGTGCGAAGCTGTCCTGCCAGTTGCCATCCTGCTGCCACTGCATCTGAGGTGTGATGCCGCCGGCCCAGTTGAAGCCATAAATCGTCGTCATTTGGGCAACAACACGCACCATACAGAAACAGAAGAGTTGGGGCTTGTGATTTCAAAACCACTCAGGTTTTACAACCTCTACTGTCTACATCAGTTCCTTGGCGGTGCAGCTTCTGGGGAGCTAACAGCATCTAGCGGCCACTGATCATCACTGATCACTGGACTAAGGAGGAAAGCCTTTGAAGGGAGAACGGTGCAGCAGCTTCAAGCCGCATCCTTGGCAACCCTGGTTGGAAGCCGCCCAAGGGTGACTGATGATTTTCGGATGGGAAACTTCACGTCTAACCGAACCACAAAAAGCCGCTAGCTGACGAGGCTGACTCCAGTGTACTGTATTGTACAAACTGAATGACCGCCCAGTGACTTGCTGAAAGTGGTGGCTCAGGCACAAGCTTGCCAGAGCCCTCCTCAGATTCACCAGTTTGGGGAGGAAAGTCAAGCTCCGGACTAGAAGAAACTGAGCAAAGTGACAGTTTAGTTTGCCTCAGCACATCGTTTGTCCAGGTTGGCTGTTGACTGGCAGCCCTTGTCGAACTGCTTGTCTTTCCAGCACTTGGTGCAGCAGATGATGCAGCCCTCTTTCAAAGCGGCTTGACGAAAGAAACTGTGGCGCATTTCTTGTTTCTGTCCATCTCAGGTAGAAATCACACACACACACACACCTCCTTCAATTCTAGAGTTTTTGTACCCCAGGCCAGACCGAAAGTGGAGCAGGCCCGAGGAACACAGATGACATGCACTTTTAACCGTTGCCGATGTCCAACGTTGTCACCTTTTCTTCGCTTGCGAGCATTATATTTATAGTTTGGACTAGATATGACTAGATACAGTATGCAGTCACCCCCAAAAAGATAGGACGAAGTATCTTACCACCATTTTAGTAGGAGTCTACTCTACAGGCTATACATATTCTTTGAACATCTGTGAGGGCAAATCCTTGAGTGTTCAAAGCACCACCGATGGCAGGTGATGATGCACGACTGGTGGCGGGAAGCTGGAAAGGTGGGTGACTCCCCAGTGCTGGATCTATTGATATAAGGGGTTGGTAACTGGGTAACTGTCCCATTTTGGGGATATAAAGGACATCACGTTATAATAGCCATGGCATTGACCATATACCATTCATGGTTGGGTGATGTGACCCATGGGGACATTTAATGACCCATGGATATCTTAGAAATGCCGGCAGTTGAGCAACTTGGACATTGATATGCAACTACAAAGAAATCCTTTGCAATGGTGAATATTTTTGCTCGACCCTTGGGCACTTGGCTGGGCAGGAAGAAACGAGTCCTATCTCCAATAAGGCCGTTGGTAATGGGCAGTGCTTGGGATGGGGTTGGCGGAGACTCGCTTATATTCCGGGTCAGGCGATTTCAGAGCTGGGCAAGCTTCGACAGACGACACTTGGCTGAATTGTGCACTTCGACAGAGCTCAGCCTATTTGCCTGGAAAAAAATGTGCGTCTCAGAGAAACTTGGGGCTTCGGTCATCGAAAGGTGTGGTTTTGTTGGGTTTTGCTTGCTGCTCCGGGGCAGTGCCGGCATGATGTTTGAGGAGTGATTTGCACAGGGCCTTGATGACAGACATGGTGGGCAGGGAAAATCTCACCCAGCTGAAGGAGAGCTTGCAGACTGATGTTTACAATATAGATCGAGATCAATATGACTATAGCAAAGGAGGAAGACACAGAATACACAATCCCTTCCCCCTAATCATCCCAGGGGTCCAAAACGAACAGGGGATAATAGGGGTATTTAGTATTTCTGGGGGAAGGGATTACCCGAGAGATGCGAGTCTACTTTGCCGTTCCGTGAGGAGCTCAATGATCTTTTTGCCACCTGGCCTTTTTCAGCTCTTTGGGTGACAGGGGATGCTGTTAATCAGTAGAATCTCTTGTTTTTTGGAATCTATCCGCCACAAATGGTGGTACAACCTGCAATAATATAGATAATATAGGGGCATCGGGGTATCACACACACACATGCATACATACCCTTATATATAATATATCATAATAGGTTTATCGTAATGTAACCCATATATTTGATTATATCTGCCATTCAAACTTCGAATCTCATATTTATGTATATGTATATATGTATATATCAATGTTTTTACTGGTAAACCTATTTGTTATGTTTTTTTTTTTGCCATTACTATTATTGTTGTTATTGTTGATGTTTCTATATTATGTACTATGATAAGTATTATTACCATTATGACTGTTATTGTTATTCTGTAGGGCAAATCCTCTGCGACGCCCTGGCAAAAAAAAACAACAACATGTTTTTGTTATTATTGTTGTTATTATTACTGTTATTATTATTATTACTATTATTATTATTATTATTACACGTCGATTTTCTTGCTCAATAAAACTTAAACCATGAGGTCGTTTAACGACATACCGAAACATCGGCACTATGAGGCTTCCATGGATGTGGATCACAGCGGCACGGTCACTGAAGCCGAAGCCAGACAGGCTTTGAAGAATAAGATGCCAGCAGTGACCCGGCAGAAAGGGATGAAGTTCTCAGGTTTTTTTTTTTCACGGAAAAAATATGGTTGTAATTAAGATATCATTGCCCATAGATAGATAGATAGATATATATATATATATAGATATATAATCAAAGGAGGTTCAGAAGTCTATACTTCCGTGTAACGGATTTTTAAGTATAAGATTATTGCCCATATGTATATACTAATCACCAATCATCGTTGTGATTTTTTGGTATCACTGCCATTAGCAATGAAGACTCATATCGTTATTTTTTTAATCATCTTGATGGTTAGGATTCAACCGACCCCCCAAAACAAAGGTGCCTCCCCGAATCATGGATTGTTTTTAGGAACAGAAACCTGGCATAACTGGAAATCCAGGAGGAAGTCCTGTTCTAAAAAGTTCCAAACAAGGATACCACCTATCGGACCTATCGGAAAAACGAAGCTGCTTGCAGCTGGAAATCGCAGTTTCCGATTTCTTTCAACGAATTTCCATTCTTCTGCTTTGCAGGGGATGTTCTGTTGCCATGGGTTACCAGAGGGGCCATGAGCCTCGAATGACGCCCCATGACTTTTCCATCAGACCGAAATCGAGCGATTGGTGAGCACGCTGATGGGCCGGAGCCCCAAACTGTTGCTGGGAAGTGCCTTTCAATATCTTGAGTCGGCAAATCATCTGCAAACAGGTGCCATTTTCATGGTTTTCCGGTTCTGACGAAAAACCCATGATTTTCCATAGATTTCCATAATTTGTAATTACAGATTTTCCATCGCTGCCAGGCGACAAAGGTTCCCTGACCTACAGCCGCTTTATGGCTGAGATGATAGCGGCCAAAAAGGCCGATTCTCAGAGTACGAAACGCAAGCTTGTCGCCCCAACAAGAATAAAACCCGCAGATTGTTCAAAGATGTTGGATGGTGTTGGACGATTTTCGCATTTTTTTCAGCAATGATTCCTTTGATTTGCTGATGTTACATGCATGAGGTGGGAAATTGCAGGATTCGAAGCCATTTACCAAATTTTCCCATGTGAGGGGTGTTTAAAATCATCCCAAAAGGGGCTTACCAATTGATTTGCCACATTATTTCGTTTCGTAAACAAACTTATACAGACGATGATATCTGATAGCACTCAGATGGTAGCGATGATCTCTGAACGGCATTTCTTTCTGGAGCGAGAAAAAAGTCAAGCCGCAAAGCCAGGCTGAGAATGATGAGGTGCTGCAACTTGGCAACAGGTGTCAGTGGGTGTCATGATGCATTTCTAGGAAAGGGGACATTGGAAGACACCTGTGATGGGAACAGTCACGTTTTCCATTGGTTTCCCGGATTTAGAGAATCTGAGGTGGCGAATGTTTAAGGAGTTGGACGTGGATAACAACAACTCCCTGGATGCCAATGAGATTCGGGCTCCTCGGCTGACCCGTTTTTCGATGTTTTTCTGAGGAACTTCTAGGAAGAGGCATGGAAAACGACCGCATGAAAGTAGATGATTTACCAAATATGGTGATTTTCCAGGGCTATGTTAGATTTCCAGAGGGTAGTTGGTTACTTTCAGTGTCACAAAAAAATGAACTAGAAGTAGAGTGTAGTAAAGTATAGTAGAGTGGATGATTCTTGCTTTGACTCAAGGAGAATGAGTTTTTCACGGAATGCCGGCCCTGCCGCTTGAGACTTTCAACAATTATGATGTGATGTTCTCGAGAAAGCGACGCGCAGCCGTGCAGGCTATGCTACAAAAGCAAAAGGTCAGAGAAATTATGGCCGATCGCACTGTTACTGATGTGATGGACAAGATGGGCCTGAACCGCTCTGGAAGTGCAACTGAACAGCACCGAAATCGTGGGTGAAAAGGTGGACCCCCGAGGCCCCAAGTCACATTTCTTCTTTCAAAACTGTTTCAGGAGTAATGAGCAGCAAATCCTGAGGGGACTCTTGATCCATCTTGATCCATGTCCATTTCAGTACGGAGGTTTCAGCGGCCAACTTTTGGGCAGATAGTCCCTTCAGGCTGTACAGTGACCTTACACGTGCTCGGCACCTCCAATTCTACCTGAAATGCCATCTGAATCTAACACGACATTGACCTCGCTCAAGATTTTCCTGTCATCCAAGGGGGCGCTCTTGGAGCATTGACCCGAACTGACCCGAGGTATCGTTCCAGGATTTCAAGCGAGCACTGGAAACGGTGCAAAATGAGTCGCAGGTTCAGGATGAAGATCGAAAACTGCCGATTTTTTGAATCAACTGGAAGCAAAACCTGGACCTCAACATGATTAATCCCATCCTCAATATCAACCACCCAACTTGGTCCCTTAAATATGATCAAATATCCCCTACTAAACCCATGGTTTCTGGAGTGTTCAATATATTTCAATATCAGGGGGAAAGGATTCATCCCAACTTGGCCGAGTTTGTGAGTCAGGACTCGTCTTCGGGGTCTTCGCAATTGCGGGAAGGGGACAAGGCGGGGCTTCGACAGATTTCGACAGTCGGAGATAGCCGGGGCGGTTTTCCCACCTGGCAACGGGAATTCCATGGACATCTCCAGTAATGGTAGAATCATCTTGAGTCATTTGCTGTGTAAACCAGCAAACATGGGGATATCATGGGATTATATCTCAATAGAATCATCCCCATAACCCACAGGGAATCATCTATAAACTGTATGTCTATGGGAGGGTCATCCATTTCCAGCTTAGATTACCCGAGGCTACGTGCACAACTCGCATGGGTAGCAGCATGTAGCAGCTACTGCACCATTGCCATGGGGCCTCAAGGTACAATACTTCTCGTCAAGCTATGCTATGTGGATGGATACGACCATTGTGGCCCTAGACTCCACGACTGGTGCGATGCAGCTTCAGTGCAAACCAGGCGGGAAGCTGGGACCTTTCCTTGCTGAATTTATTTGTTGTGATGTTTGGAGTTTTGCTATGTTATGCAGAGTTTTTGATATATGTTTTGAAGTTTTGATGCTTTTTTGTGGTCTTTGATGGTCGTTGTTCCTTATCTCTAAAGGGAGTTCACCGCAATCGCACCAGTTTTACTGCTGCACGGGCTTGGCTGTCGGCTTAGCCGTCACAGCCAGCAGGCTACTGGCTGCCACCAGAAGAACAGCATAAAGTGAGACGGGCCTGAGCAGTGCTGCAGTTTATGCCTTCGAACACGGAAGGATCAGAAGGCACTGACAATGGCCAACTGTGCCAACATGTGCCAACGTTTCAAATGAACCAGCCTAATGAACGAAAAAGATGGCAGATTCAGGTTGGCAGAACGCTGCAGCAGGCGACTTCACGAGCGCAACGAGCTCTGAAAGACAAGCTGACTTGCACCTCCGCATGTTTTCGCCATGTTTTCGCCATGTTTTCGCCGAGGTGTTACGAATCTCTGCCTTCAACTCTCAGGAACAGGGCTGGAGAGGGTTGTGGCGGTTCCATGCGGTTCCAACAGCATCGGGCATCGGCCGACCTTTCAAGGAGCTTTCGAACACAGCGTTTGGGTACGCAACTGTCCTGAGCCCAGAAGGGGCCCAGAAGGAAGATTTGCCTTTCGGATCCTTTCGGATCTCACGTTGTTGAGGTGAGTGCCATCAATGTTCCGCTGATGGATGCTGGGGAGCTTGGCTTTTCAACTGAACTTGACACCTATTGTTACTGTAGCGTTTGAAGCGATTGAATGGGTCAGGCCATTGCGGCAGAGATGGTAGAGAGGATTGAAGCGGGAGCGCAGATCTGAGCCAAACTTGAGACATCTTGAGACTTTTTCTGTCTTTCCTCTCATAACCATGGATTTTATGATACAACACCTGATGTAGTGCTAAGGCTGCAGACAACCAAGCTCTTTCCAACACTGCTTGGGCGTTGTCTCCCCGGATCTCGCTGTTTCAAAGCTGGCCAAATTTTGTTAATTTGCAGCGCCGAAGGTTTGCCAAGTGTGAGCTGTACTATGCCGGCAGCCAAGTGGATGTGCAACGCGTCAAGGATCGTCAAGGTGTTTTTGTCTGGCGATGCTGGCCACAGCACAAGGAACCACTCCATGAAGCCATCTCGGACCGGAGCTCAAAAAGTATGGAACCATGGGAAACCTGGGTTAAGATATGGGCATCCTCGCTTCCTGTCCATCCTCATCTCACGGTCTTGAGCTGCAGGCTGCTGCCATTCGAAGAGTGTCAGAATTTGTTCCCCAAGGCAAGGACAAGCCAGTGCACCCAACTTGGGAGACAGCGCAGGTCTTGCATCGCATGACCTGCATGGAGTCCTCTTTGGGTGGTTGATGTGCGGCAGGTTTGTCGAATTTGGCGTGAACTTTGGCAAGGCCTGCAAGGGTTATCAAGACATACTGAGATGCAATACTGGGTGGAGATTCGATGGTCGGCATTTAGGTGAAGATGCGGAACTATAATTGGTGTTGAAGGGTGACGTGAATTAGTCTTGCAGATTTTTGCTGGATCCTAATGTTTGGTACAGTACAAATTACAAACCACAAGCTTACTGCTATGTGATCTCATGCATCCATGAACTTTCCAAAGGCTCCGCGTTCCTTTGAAGATTGCAGATTCCATTTATATATTGCGTTTATATGCATTTATGGCCTTCCTTACTGTCGCACCATATCTTGTGCTCAAGTGCTTCAAGTGCCAGACCTGGTGAGTTTATATAGTGGGTTTGAGCCAAGCTGTTTCAGCCCATCAAAGTTCAAGGGGGGCATTTCGCCCCTTGGTTCATGGCCGAAAAAGCCCCCGCCACATGGCAAGATGTGTCGGATGCCCTGGCTGCCTTAGAGACGCGACAGGCTTCCTTCCGGTGCCAGCTGGGTGCCCTCCAGCAGCGGGCCCAGTCCACCAGCCGCCAGGGCCAGATCCAGAAACTTCAGCTGAACTTTGCGGCGCGGGTGGTGCAGCTGCAACGGCAGGGTGAGATTCTGAGGTCCCAATCCACCCGCGCCTGTCGCCAGGCTGTGCGGTCCCGCAGCTTGGCCGCCCAGGCCCAACGGGCTTCGAAGGCGGCGCAACTGGAGTCGCAAGAGTTGCGTGGCGCGCTGCAGGGCTTGGGAGATGCCTTGGATGCCAAGACCAGGGAGGCTGCGAGCTGCCGCCGCGAAGCTCAAGCTTTGCGACAGCAGCTGCAGCAACGCGAACGCAGATCTGTGGCGAACGATGGAAGGCTTCAGAAACAGGAAGAGCTCCTGGAAGAGGCGGCATCAGCATTGAGTGGCCTCCTGTCCAAAAAGTTGGAGGACCATGAGGACCCTGATTTGAGACTTAGCTCAGCCGGATGCTAAAGGATCATTCAGCTGGAAATTGCAGTGTTTGTTTTGCCAATGCTCGCTTATGAACTCAGTGAATTCATGTACATACTGCGTGCTTCGTACAAAATCAGAGCCAGCTACTTTACATTAACATCATTAACTCGGAGCAGAAACAGGAACTTGACCCTGATATTGACATAAGCTTCCAGCAGATGTGCCTTCATGCCACGTTTTGGAAGTCATTCTCTGATAATCAAATATGGCAATGGAAAAACGCCAATTTGTGGATGTAAATGGAGGTTGTGGATTGAATTTTCCATGCAGGTTGGCCATCACCGATGGTCCCCTCTTGGCGGCCATTGCAGATGAGTCCATTGCCAAGCTGCCCATGCTGAATGCGCAGGAGACCACGCTAGTAGGTTGATCTACACTTGGGATTGCGATGTCTCACAGTATCTATGTCATCTATGTATTCTATGTCGTTTGCATCTATCCTTTTTTTTTGGGAGCGGGTAGCCCACTCCATTGATAAATTTAGGATAATTTAGGATAATTTAGGATAATTTAGGACTGGGATTCAACATATATCATATCTCAGATACAGTACACATCAAAAGGATTCAAAAGGTGTTGAAGTTAAGGGCAACGAAATCCATTTGTGACCAGCATAAGGCCATCCAGTTTGTGGATTATCATCATACTGCTCCCGCCTGTAGCCAAAACGAGTGTCATCTTCGATGGAGTTCTCAACCACCATCTCTCCCTTTGCTCAATCAGGACCTGTCCAACACCTTGTGGGCCATGGCCAAGTTGGAAATGGCTCATTTGCCGCTTTTAGATGCTGCCGGAAGCCGAGCTCAGGGATTTCGCTCGGTCTGGGTGAAATCCGCCCCTATGAACTTGTAGGTGTTGTATACAACATCCACAATCACATAATTCAATATAATCTATCAATCTATCAAATCTATCAAATCTATCAAATCTATCAAATCTCTCTGTCTGTCTGTCTGTCTATCTATCTACGCATATACCTACATGTCTATACATAGATACTTTACATATGAACATAAGTGTATATAGACATATATAGACACATATATTAATAGACTTTTCCCTAAACTTCTACTTTTTCATATTTGCCTGGTAGATGCTCCTCAAAAGTTCTCGAGGTCACTGCTGAATCGATGAAGGCCTGGCGGTTCAGCATGCGGATCCACTTTAGGGATGGTGATTTGTTCCACCTCATGCACCTATATAATCCGATATTTATATATATATATATTATATATATTATATAAAACACGCACACACATACTGTATATATATATTATATGGTAAAATTGGTTGGAGATGGTCTCCTAGATTGGGTTTGCTACGCTTATAAATCAATGGCTGACTCATTTTGACCAAGTTTTTTCCGTCCATTACCGCTGCTTCAAGCTACAGCTGTGGACCTCGTGTTTGCACGCAGAAAATCGACGAATTCAACCCGCAGAGCATTTCCAACTCGGGTCTTGCCTGCCACGCTTCTGAAAGGAGATGGTAGAGATATGGGAAACTTTGTGTGATCGGTCATCGGTGTCTTCTCACGGGTTTGTTTAAGGTGTTTCTCATACTCACACCTTTGCCCACGGCGGTTCCGTAGGCACACATTGCTGTGCCGGTCCCACATTCTTCAAGGGTGGAGACACCGAAGGATTTTGGCTCAGAGATTTCTGATGCCTTGCCGACTTCTGGTTGCACGGCCAGTGGGGCCGAAAGAATATGAGACAAGTGCAGAGGCCATGGGAAGCAGTGGAACAGATGCTGGACCGGGCTCTTGAAGTCAACATCCTGAACTATAACCTGATTCTGAAAACTTGTGCCCAGTGGGAAGTGGCTTGCCACCTTCTGAGCGGCATGAGGGAGGTGTCTCTGAGCCCAGATGTCATTTCCTTTGGCACCTGTATCAACATTTGCGCTGCCAATTGGAGCCATGCTTCTGGCCTGCTAGAGTGCATGCTGGCGAATGGAATTCAGGCGGGTGCCCACAGGTATCTGAAATTCCCCGAGATGTCCCACTTTGTGGATTTTGTGGGGCTGAAGCATGGTTTTGTTGAGCTGTAGATATCCCCGAGGGTGATGTTTATGAAATATCATTCATCAGGACGCCATGCGCATCATGTGCTGTGAGGCCAATGTCATCATCTACAACTCAGTCATGAAAAGGTGGAGCTGGCAAATGTCGCTACATCTACTGACCGGGCTGCCTCAAGCCCAGCTACTTCCAGACATCCTTTCCTACACTTCTCCTCTTTCTGCGTTGGTCACCAATCGCAGCACCTGGCACAGAGCAATGAATTTGTTTTGGGACACCACCAGATCGTCAGTGGAACCCGACCTCCTGAGCTTCAACTTGCTGCTGGGAGCGCTTCGAGACGTGGATGCAGCGATGTCAGGCTGGCAGTTGTGTTTGAGCCTCGTGAGCGGAATTCTCCTGTTGCCCGGCTGACATTTGGTGGCTTTCACTCATGTGACGGCATTGTTGATATTAATGGGCACCTATATTGATAGAACTGCAGTCAGTGCGTACACATGCGCCTGCACAAAAAGCACCACATCGGCCACACCCCATGTGCAGTCGCATGGTGAGTGTTTTTGCATGGTGTTGGAACATTCCCAATATTAATATATTGAAAAGGCTCCTTTCCAAATTAATGGATCCCATACTCCACCGCAATCTCATTTGACAGCAACCCAATATATAAAGCAGTTGGACATCATCAGATTTCATATTTTTCCTCATTCCAATCCATTTTCTCACATGTCACATAATCCATCCGAATCCATACCCCAAATATAAAATCACCTCAGAATTCCCTAGTTTAGCGCTGGCCCTATTAATTCCGGGGCATGTTGTGGAAGGTATTGACTATCCTGTGGTAGCTAGACTATCACCATTTCAGATGGTCCCGACCATGTTGAACCATCATGTTTGGCGGTTGAGTTTATTACATCTTCATGGTTGTTTTTTTTTGTGAAGCAAGGATTTCCTGCCGTTTGGTTCCACATGTTTCCAATGACCTGTGAACCCAGCAGGCTGGTTTTAAAGCAAACCCTCTGAGATGCCCTGGCAAAAAAGTGTTTGATTGGCAGAACGAACTGCAGTAATCATGAAATCCGCATATTTTGATTGTTAAAGTCCACTATAGTCCACTATTATTCAGTCGTCGCGAATCGAATGAATCGAGGTCGAGACTTTTGCCCAACGTGGTGACGTACAACACGCTGCTGGGATGCCCCAAGCTGCCGTGGTTTTTGGCGCTGCGGCTGCTGCATTTGATGGGGGTCAGACCTGACATCATCAGCAACTGGGTGGTTTTTCTGTGTTTTTCTAAAATAATTTTCAAGATTTTCTGGCAAGATGGTTACTTTGGGAACATAATTTTTCAGACAGTTTTTTCGCCCAATTTTCAAGAAGATTGCAGTATTAATTATATTATAAGATTATCCAATAGTTTTGATTTTCAACCATATTTCCGACGATAAACCCCCAATGACTAGCATTTTGGAGCCCAATTGAGGCGGTCGCTTCGCCGCTCTTCAATAACGAGCCATAACGAGTAATATCCCAAGCCCTCCAGCGAGTTGTCCAATTTTCAACCAGACTCCAAAACCATGTTCACTGTCATTTTCAGTTTTCAACCATACCATACCAGCCATACATTCTTTAATGAAGGACTATGAAAGACACTGATTTTTCTCCAATGAGTTTAGATGTTTTGATAACTTCTAAAAAAAGAAGGCTGAAACCACCGATCATCAGGCTACAACTCGTTGATGGCCACGTTCGTTTCGGAAAGCCTGTGGGCTTCAGCCCTGCAATTGCTGTGCGACATTCCACAGCTTCAGCTTCAAGGGGATGTGGTAACCTACTCAGCAGCCATCGATGCCTGCGGTTCGGGGAGGCAATGGCAGGTTGGTCTGAGGCTGTTGGAGGAGATGCACCAGGTGTTGATTCGAAGAAATGCCATCTCCTACACCAGTGCCATGGCTGCCATGACTGGATGTGATAGCTGGACCTTGGCCTTGTTGCTGAGCGATGACATGGAGGTGGCGGCAGTAGAAAGCGACATCTTGGCTCAGAGCCAGGCGCTTCAAGCGATGGCGATGGCAACAGCATGGTGTCGTTGCGTTTCGGCTGTCCATGGGAATCATGGCAGCTCAGCAGTTTCGGTCAGGGCGGTCAGGGCGGTCAGGGCACTGGAAGCTGGATCCCAATGGCCGCAGACGTTGCATTTGGTCAGAGCCATGGGAATGACCCGCCTGGCACTGCAAGAGGCCAGTGTGAGCGCCAGCAGCGCCTCAGGGCTGGTGGGGAAGTGGAGGCATTCCATGGAGGTCATGGACTACCTGAGAGAAGAATCCGCCGAAGCAGATCTGGTGTCCAGCAATTCCGTGCTCAGTGCTGCCGCTCGAAGCAATGCATGGCTGTTCTCACTTCACTACCTGGATTTGATTCAATGCGGTGGCTCAAGGGTTGATGAGATCACCATGAGTGCAGCCATCACTGGATGTGAGAAGGGTCATCAATGGATCCTGGCCTTATCCTTACTGGGTGAACTAGCTCTCACCCTGCAGCTCAGTGTCATTGCCTGCGATGCAGTCATCAGTAGCTGCGAAAAATGCGGGAAATGGCAAGAGGCCTTGGCGCTCCTCGCTGCAATGCTGAGTTGGAAGCTGATACCCAATGAGATCACTTTCAACGCGGCCATTGGTTCTTGTGAGAAGGGGCAGTTGTGCGTCACTGAGACGTCACTGCGGGGACATTGAGACTCGATCCTCTGGGGCGAATCTAGTTCCAGTAGGGACGCAGCGCTGGAACAGATGGAATCAGAAGCAATCTGCTGTTGTTGTTTACAAGTGTGGTGCCCTCCCTGGTGACCCTGTCAGACCTGTCGTACCTTTGAGATCCTTCAACCTTTTGCATCCTTTTGCCAGGTTGGGCTTTGGCCACACTCTTGCTGGATGGTCAGCCTGTGTTTTGCTCAGGTTCGGATCAAGACTTGACTCAGCACGACTCAGCTCCGCTCCCAAGGTCATGGCTTCTTTGGCGGCTGCCGCCTTGGAGAAGCTCCCAAGATTCGAGAGGTGCGGGGTTTGGCATGGCTGATCAAATTTTTTCCCCTGCCTTGGCACAAAGCACACCCTGAGCTTCATGTCAGGCAGTCCATCTCCAACTTCATTTGGTCCTGTCACAGCCTTAGGAGGGAAAACGGTGAACATGTATTCTAATGTTTGGCCAAGTGCATGATTGAACCTATACTTAGCCAGGTGCATCCATAGAATTACTTACTAGTCTTCCCAGAATTTAAACCAACATAGGCCTTACATAGATCTAGGAGTCCGGAAACAGATAGAAAGGCCCAGAAAACAGAGTGGCATGAACATTAAGATAGTAGGGATCAACTGTTTATGTTTTTTTTGGGAAAATCACCATGCGTGAAATATCGCCAATTGATACCTTCCTAATTGATAAACCCACCCCAAGAAAGGCTGGTCTATGAGCGGATTGGATCGGCATGAGGTTAAGAATGTTGACACCTCCATACCTGCATCATTGGGGATCCGTATGCCCGAAACGGGGACGGGTCAATTTTTGAGGCTCAGGGGACCATAGAGTCATAGAGCTTACACTTTGCGCCCCAATTTTGGCCCATCCCCCAGTACCCAAAGTAGGTACCCTCTAGGACAAGGTGGAAAATCCACCATTTACCGATCACTTTTGTTGAGAAACCATCAGTTTTCCCATGAAATTTGGTGAACTTCGCACTGCATTTCCGTGGAGTGCGGAGTTGTAAGGTTACTCACCGGCTGAACTCCGCGATAAAAAATATAGCAATTTTAACATCATTTATAATAACTATTTTGGGATTTCTATGATTGTTGATTGTTGGATTATTCCCATCATATCCCCCCATATATTCCATCAGATTCCCATAAGATGTCTGTCGACGTCATGAGGTGCCAAGCTTCAGCACAAAGACGAGGAACTCATCGAAGCGGTGGCCGTGGCAGCAGTGGAGGTCGAGGGCAGTACTTTGATGTACTATGTCTCGCTTTCCGTCACTGCCAAGATTTTTAGTTGGGGTTGCTATTTTTTGTTGATGGGAGCTATCTAACCATTCCACGATTTTGGGAATAGGGTTTTTAAAGATGGAAGTCTAGATGCTAATCATAGTTGCCCAGCATCAGAAAACATCTAATATCCGGAATGATGGGAATTTTAACTATCCCAAAGTGGCCAAACCCTTCAGGTTGAAGAAATTAATTGAAATTATATCTGTATAATTCATCCATCTAATGTAATTTTAATATATTTTAATTAAGTTTCTATTTGGAAAAAAAAGCTTTGATAATGCTTTCAAGAAAGAGGTTCTAAGAGGATGCACTTGCATTGGAATCACCCAGCGGGAGAAGGGACGAAGATGACCACAGTACCCAGGGTAAAGGTTGGTCCCAGACTATGTAGATATCAGGAGAATCTATGCAAAATTGAGAAAGAATGGGAATCCACTCCGACAAACATGGGTGCGTTCTTTTTCTACAACAGGCCATCAAGTGGAGATCATTTGTAAATAAATTTTTCGAGGCTTGAACAGGTCAAGCGCCACCCAAATGGCTTAGAGCTGCAACGCTGCAGGGCATCTCTACCTTCGATCCGCAGGCGAGTTTCCATCCCAATTTGGGAAGATCCACTTAGCATTTCTTGTTTTATGTTATATAATTTGAATGACTATATTGATTATATTAACACACACATGTATATATATATATAATATATATATAATTATAACACATATGTATGTGTTACATACATATACATATATAATACACATATACATATACATACATATGCATACACATTCTTCAGGTTGAAACCATCAGGACGATTTCAGCAACTTCATTTCTCACATTTTCTCAGTGTTCCAGCGGACAAAACTGCTCTGGTCATGCCAGGCTTTGTCCAACACGCTCTGGTCTTTCGCGAATTTGGAGTGTTGGCATCGGCCACTGAAGGAGTCAAGAGCTCATTCCTGGAAGAGTCGGGCTTGGGGCGGAATTTTGGACCCAAAAATACCACGATTTTGGACTGCCCTGTTGAAATACCCACTACAAAATTCCGGAGGCCTTGATGCCACTACTAAACAATACAAAACACATATTGGGATTGATTTGATGCATTTTGAATCATGGACGCCATTCATATCAATGATATCACTAGGATCATCTAGGATCCCAATCATGAATATCATTAATCTCCCAATCATTTAAATTCTCACCTTATCATCAATATCGCAATGATTTTGAGACCCAAAAACAGGGCGCAAAGTCTCAGAGTTTCCTTTGGACAGTTGCTGAGGGCGATCTCCCAAGAGGTCCTACGCATCCAGACAGAGCTGACGACTCAGGAGGCTCGGTATGGCGCTATACATTTATATATAAATGCATATACCTAAGGTTAAGGGACATTAGTGGACACAGGGTTTTAAAAATCTATATGCCTAGATACAACCCTATTCTCGTATGGTACATATTATAGTAAAAATCTATATGCCACAAAGGAATAGGGTTTGAAAGAAGCTTGGTGATTCCCGCCAGATGTTTTTTTTGGCGAAAGAAACATCACCTGAACTGGCAGCGACTGGTGAGCCCGACCGTCTCCAGTTAGCCATGCAGATGGGAATAGCCCAGATTTCATGCCATTGGCACCACACGCTTCTTGCACATTTGGATGATAATTTGTGGCTATAATCGGGTATTAAACACTGTAAAACAATAGCTGAACCATGTTTTAAACCTCTAAACCCAGGGTGGAGGAGGTTCTTTTGCCAGGTGACCAACATCTGTTGGGCATTGGCAAAGTGCAGGGCTCAGTTCTGCAGGCGACTTCGTTTCACACATTGATCTTCGACGATGACGTTTCCCCCGCCACTACCCAATACATTGGGGATTATAAGAACCCGTTCAATTAATATATAGAGAAACCAATAAATAAATAGAGTTGAATAGATAGACAAATAGACGGATTATTATACATTATCACAATATAATGCACATGTATAAGTGGGAACCCCATGGAACCCCTATGAACAGCCAGTCCAACAGTGTCCGGCTGGGCCTTTCCAGCCGTCAGGCTCTGGTGTCACGACAGCACCTTTCTGAAAGCTCTGGCGGCGCAGGCGATGGAGCACGCCGATGAATTGAACAAGCACGGGCCCCACATCGCCGTGGAAATCAACGGCTGGATGGAGAATTATTTGATGTTGGTTGGACCTTTTTTTGGGGGGTTTGGGCTATAAAATGGGAGAATTATGTACTCTAGCCTGGTTTCATCCGATGTTTTGCATATCAGATTGGTGATGCGTGCAGTTTCTTACTTTTTGCTTGGCTGGGATGAGTGATTTGTCCTTGCAGTTGTTGACAGCTGACCTGAACTCTTGAGGCAAGAAATTTCTGTCATGGCTTGGGCGTTTGCAACCCTCAACTTCCGGCATCAAGCTCTTCTTGGAGACTATCTCAGAGACCAAGCTGTTTCGATATTTTTGAATGCTGCGGCCACGTTCAATATTCGCCCGTGCATTGGTGCCGGTAGTTCCAGCAAGGAAGCCTTGGGATGCATGCCATCAAGCGCATGCCAAGCACTTAGCTGCGAAACTGCCCAAACTGCCACAATATGCCACAATTATCAGCAGCCAAGTAGCAAGATCCCACGATGTAGCGAACCGGAAGGTGTTCCTGAATGGCCCAGGTCAGAATTTGGCGAGCTGGAGATTTCCAATACAGCTTGGGCATTTGCGCGCATTGCTGTTCGCAACGACAGGCGGGAGCCCAGGGCTGATCCATGCTGATCCAGTCCGGCTGGAAGTCTCAGCTGCGGAGGTTGATGAATAGCATCTCTGATGCTTCCATGGCTCGGGCACGCCCTGGAGCTGGTCCTGGAACAGTTGACAGCATCGAGGGCCTCCCCCTTGGATTCTGAGACGCTGGAGTCCGCTGGAGGTTGGATCATGGGGTCATGATCGTTTCTGTGGCTGAGGTTTGAATCCAAATGGAATCTATTCGATCGCCGGCCACTCAGAAGATTTCTCGTGGCGAACCGTTCTCGGTTTCGACATCGGGAAGATTTTGGGGAGTACGATCATTCCAAGCTGCTTGTGATCAATTGAACTGCCCTGAAGCATGGGAAGTCGCCAAATGGAATCAATGGTGTGGAAGATGATCCTCGCTGGGCTGGTTTTCCCTTGGACGTTACCCCCGAACCATGTTTTTCGCATTTTTTTTTGCTGAACCATCAACTATTTGCAGATTTCTTCTGCAACATGTTTCTTTTCAACCACCACGTTTATGAATATGGAATAAGTTTATGAATATAGACTATTCATGAATAATTATACACAATTTTATTATTATTATTAATATATATATACATACAATCCACTTTAATCATCATTAATCATCATTCATCCACCTTCCAGAGGAACAAACATCCACCAATCAGCATAGATCCGAGCTGTCGCCGCGGACAGGTCTGGTCCTCTTGGCGGACTGGACGTGCGCAGCTCATGGCTTCCCTCGCCAGGCAGCAGGAACGGCCTGGGGGCCCTGAGCCGGCCCGATTTTTTCGGTACTTTGGTGGTGGAATGACTCTTTTTGGACACCATAGTGATGTGATCATCTACAATTAACATCAATTAACAATCAATAAACAAAGGCTAAGACGAGTGGGATTTTCTAGGCATACTGTTTTGGAGATGTTTGGGCCATACGCGAAAACTTGGCAATATCTTCTATAGACACATACTTCTAGCATTGTCTAATTTCAAGAAGAATTCCATCTCCCTCAGAATGCTCAGGCCCCCTATGTGGGACCCCAAAACAAGCCGGAAATGAACCAATCCGGACCGATCCACTGTGGTTAATCTGTCGCTGATCTTCTGGGACCAGCTTAAAGTTCACTTGCAAATAGGGTGAGCAATCCAGCAATCCCCATGATTAGAGAAAACATGTGGAAAGTATCGGCAAATGACGTGATTTTCCATGGCTGTTTTTGAGTACCAGTTCCTGTGCCAAGCACTTGCTGGCTGAGACAGTCATTGCTTTGTGGCTCATGGTGCCGCATGTGTGTTCGCCATCTCCAGTTAGTATATAATTGAATTGTGGTACAGATAACCAAGAAAAACAGGGACGTAGCTCATATTTGCTGTCTTGGAACAATAAGAAGGAACAAGAAACATTTGGGTTTGCTATTTGGTTTATTGTTGGCTATCAGGTTGTCCAACCTGGCAGTGAAAACATATTTGTGGTTTGTCAGTCCATTTATCTTATCAGGGATGTTCCGCTGCCGGGCTGTATGAGGTTCCACCATATTGGCTCTCACGTCTTGCAAACCCATTCCTCAACATGATTATAATTTTGTCCCGGTAAGACTGCTCTAAATTGTGGTCCCCAATCTGAGACAACCCAAAATGCTGCGCCCAAAAACTTCAAGACTGCGGTTTATGATGGGGTTTATCATGTTTTACCACCTTATACATCCCTATGTAGAGTGCATATATACGTATACCGTATATATATATATATATGTATCTACATGGTATATATATATATATCTACATATATATATACATAGCACATGATTTACCACCTTATGTAAAGCCCTTGGATCACATGAGGCCCGACGCAGATCCCGAGCCTTTGGTGCGTGGCCTCCTCCTAATGGAGAGTGTGGCCTCGGCGCCAAATTTTTTTTCGATTCGAAGAGCCAAGATTGGACAACTCAGAGTCGAGTTGATTCACGACGATGTTCACTTTTCGATACACATATATAGTATATATATATATAGAGTATATATGTAAATTATATGTAAGTTACATGTAAGTTATATATATAGATATGTAATGGTTCTTGCTTCCTCCTTTTGTTTGTTTGGAGGTTGCTGTAACAAATGATAATTAGGTGGTAAGATGATCTTCGAACCCGCCGTGGCTTTGACCGTTGGAGCCAGGCTTGGCAGAAGGATGGGGGTCTCAGAGGGGCTGGGCCCAGCGGCCGGGGTTGCGACGGCTGTTGTGATGGCTGTTGCGATCTTCTTGGGGAAATCATCCCTAAGTATGGCCTTAGAATGCCTTAGAAATCAGTTTACCCTCCGGAAATCAAACATGGCTAGCTGGGAAATCCCCTGGATTTTTGTTGGAAATCATCCAACTAAATGGGGGATTTTCATGGATTTTCCATTGCTGTGTTTGAATGCCGGAGGGTAAATCATCTTAACTCATCCTAAATGGCTTGGGAATGATCGTCATTTACCCAGATCAGATTTGTGTTGGGTTTGAAGCGTGCAAAATTGGAGTGGGGGCCCCAGATCAGAATGGTTTCATCAAACGATACTGTGTGCCTACATCATCTAAGACTTTGGAGCACTGCAATTGAACCTTCGGTTCTTAGTGAAGTTCGAGTTTCTCCTCCATCAATAACTTGCCATACGTTGGGTACCCGGGTGCCACCCCTTTTTTGAGACAAACCCAGATGGTGCCTCAATTCAACATTCAACATTGGCGTTGCTGCCTTGATTTGCCAACATTTACAACCATATACGTAGGTACGTACGTATATACTTATATAATCTTATATATATATATATATGAATGCACACAGAGACACACACACACATGCACATGTATATATATATAATACACAAAGTTCGCATGATGCTGTTTTTCCTATCCCAAGGATCAGCAGAGGGAGACCGAGGTAATGCTCCGACCTCAGCTGATAAACTCTTGCACGATTGGGCGACTTTAAACATGGATGGACCTGTGATGATGTCCTCTATGTTCTGGAACATGTCAGGAGTGTTCTTGGCCATGTTTGTCATGTTTTTGGCAATGTTCCTCCTTGACTTTTATGGTGTTTGTTGCAAGTTTGGATGTCATCAACAGCGAGTGCGACGTTTCATGGTTGTTTGCAGTGGTACCTTGTAAGACTGACAGGAGCCTGCTTCTCGGGACAGGTGGGAAGGCGCGGTGAGTCTGCAAAGCGCCTTGAGTTTGCTGCCTTCGCTGTAAGCTGGTGGAATTTGGAGTGGTGCAGGATCCTGGACCACTGTCTGAGAGGTTTGAGTGCTTCTAGCCAGCAGCGGAAAACTCGGAGCGACGATGTTCACGCTGCACAGCGTGGCATGTTGTGTTGCTGGTCACCACCTGCCATGGCCCATCAGCTGCCATTGATTTTTGGTGTTGTGGCTCCAGACCCCATCAGCCCCCCGGGTCCAATAGTTCTTCGTGCTTGCTCCGTTCCCACCGGTCCCAACGGCCATGGATGGGGCTCCCTCGGTGCAGGTGAGGCTGTGTAGCAGTGCTGCCAAGGTGCCCCTGAGCCCTGAGGAAGGCATTGGTGCCTTGAAATCTCGTGTGGCTGGGGCCTTTGGTTTGACTGCACCCTTCGACATCCTTGGACCGGAGGGGCGCCTCACCACGGATGAAGATGCAGCACAAGCCTTGAAAGGTGAGGGCTCGGAGTTGAGCATCAGTCACTTGGCTGAGAAGCTGGACGGATTTGGAGGCAATCTGCGGGCTGATGTTCCAGGTTTGCACGGGAAAAATGAAGATATTATGAGACTTTTTTTTTAAAGGACGTGTTTCATTTCACATTTTATCATCTCCAGTTGTGATCTACTTCAGCAGGTTTGTGATTCAAAAACCATTTGAGATCTAGCTAGAGAAATTCGCATATCGGGGGGAAATTTATACCTTGAGATATTCAAACGTGGCAATGGAAAAACTATAATTCACCAACCCCTCCGAACATAAATACACAATATACAAACAATTACAAACATATGAATATCCTTTTAATTGGTTCGATTATGTTCCCATTAAAAAATACGGTGGTTTTCCTGTGGTCAGATTTTGGGGGCGCCACTGGGAGGTACTGGTGAGGACGCATTGTTGGACCTTGAGCGTGCGCGCGAGGAGTCCGGGGTCTTGCGATGGGCGCTCCTTCGCCAGATACTGGCGGACATGCGTGCGCGCATGGCAGAGATGTCCTCAAATATCAGTGACTTAAGTGATGTTTGTGACGGGTTTTTCAGATTTCTCAGTCAGTTCTTCAGCCAGTTCAAGATGTTTTTGGGTTTTTGGTCATTACTTTGACTTAAGTTCAATCGTTTCTTGGTTGTCAATAGTTGCATGACTTAGACTTAGTGGGATGATTCGGGTCCCAATAACTTTCGGATTTCGGTTTTTTCGCGGCTCCACGAAGTGCGTAGGTGAAGGAAAGCACAAAGCAGCTGTGCTGGAACAGCAGTTGGTGCGTGAACGAAGTTCGCGTGAAGCCATCCAGAATGCTTTGAGGAACGAGCTCGTTGAGTCAAAGGAACAGCTGGCAGTTGAAATCCATAAGGTGCGACAAGAAAGCAAGAGAAATTTAGATGAAGCCGTCTCGGGGTTGCAGCAGCAAGTGCAGATCCTGGCAAAGGAGCACTCTGATGCATTGGAGTCCAAGGAGCTGGGCAATTTGCCCTCTGGAAACATGGAACCCTCCAAAAAGGGGCATGGATGGCTTTGGAAATTGATGCTACATGATGTTCCCGTTGAACATGGGTGGCATGATTTTTTTGTGGGAATATATATATATACTGTACGTATATGTATATATATATGTATAACATAGCTATTTATTATATATATATATATAATACACATACATTGAACATATGAACATACATGATCGTACTTGTGCGTTAGTTTTCAAGGGGCGTACCGTGATCCAACACCTGCAGGAGGCCGCCCTGAAAGAAGCTCTGCAGAGTGAGTCGGCGGGCCGCCTGCGTGATGCGGATGAGAACCTGCGGCGCTTTCAGGAGCTGCGCAATTTGGTGCCTTGGACGAGGCATTAGTGGTGCCTCAGGGATTCAATGGGATATCAATGGGATATCAATTTTTTGACTTGGTTTGGGGAAAACTTGCCAAAACCATCAAATAAAGTGATTCAAAACTGATTCAAAAGTGATTTAAACGTGATTTCCCCTAGGTTTTTGCAGTTTTGGGCTTGGTTTGGGGAAAAAAGGCCAAACCTATCAAATAAAGTGATTCAAAAGTGATTTAAACGTGATTTTCCCTTGATTGTTGCAGTTTCGGCATGGTTTGGGGAAAACATGCCAAAACCATCAAATAAAATGATTCAAAAATGATTTAACAGTGATTTAAAAGTGATTTCCCCTAGGTTTTTGCAGTTTTTTGGCTTGGTTTGGGGAACATTTTTTCCAAAACCATCAAACAAAGTGATTCAAAAGTGATTCAAAAGTATCAACGGGATTATATATATATATGTATAGGTATATGTCATATGTTTATGCCTATGTATATGTGTATTTGTATGTTTATGCCTACGGACCGAAAACTAAGGTCGCGAAACGCTACTTTTTCGTTGCTGAGGTTCTTGATGCTACGCTGATGATGGGGTGGGGTGGGGTGGGGTGGGGCATGTTAACGTTCGTGTGAACTTGCTGAGGTTCTTGATGCTACGCTGATGATGGGGTGGGGTGGGGTGGGGCATGGGGGCAAAAATGTTAACGTTCGTGTGAACTTGCTGAGGTTCTTGATGCTACGCTGATGATGGGGTGGGGTGGGTGGGGTGGGGCATGTTAACGTTCGTGTGAACTTGCTGAGGTTCTTGATGCTACGCTGATGATGGGGTGGGGTGGGGTGGGGTGGGGCATGTTAACGTTCGTGTGAACTTGCTGAGGTTCTTGATGCTACGCTGATGATGGGGTGGGGTGGGGTGGGGTGGGGTGGGGCATGTTAACGTTCGTGTGAACGTTGCTTGAGGTTCTTGATGCTACGCTGATGATGGGGTGGGGTGGGGTGGGGTGGGGCATGTTAACGTTCGTGTGAACTTGCTGAGGTTCTTGATGCTACGCTGATGATGGGGTGGGGTGGGGTGGGGTGGGGCATGTTAACGTTCGTGTGAACTTGCTGAGGTTCTTGATGCTACGCTGATGATGGGGTGGGGTGGGGTGGGGTGGGGCATGTTAACGTTCGTGTGAACTTGCTGAGGTTCTTGATGCTACGCTGATGATGGGGTGGGGTGGGTTGCATGTTAACGTTCGTGTGAACTTGCTGAGGTTCTTGATGCTACGCTGATGATGGGGTGGGGTGCTTCTGAACTGTTTTGAGGCTTGTGTTTTCGCCTTGAGCATGCCTGAACTTGTTTGAAGCAGAAATTGCGTTTCGCCTAGGCGAAATACACATTTATCTTATAAACCACCAAATTCAGACGTCTGAATTTCAGAGTTTTTGTGATCGCTGAATTGTGTTTTCGCCTAGGCGAAACGATGATTTTTTGAAAAAAACAGTATTTCACGACCTCACTTTCCGGTCCGCCGGGATGTTTATGTATATTTATATGTATATGCATATGCATATGGAAGGATACGCGTACTACATGGAACACGTGGCGTTACATGATGGAATATAATGGAGGTAGAATTGTATGTTAATGGGGATATATTGGGATATGAATGGGGGGTATTATCACGAAAGCCAGCCGCTAGGCTAGGCGAAGTTCGTTTTGCGAACAAAGTGAGTCATAGGGGGTCTCGAAGTAGAGCGGGCCAGGAGGTTACAAAATCACGGAACTAGGTACAGTGGGAGGCGTGCCAATTGGAACTTTTTGAGGGTTATGTACCAGGTGGCCATTGGGTGACGGCGGGGTATCGATTCCCCCCTGGTCCGTGCTCCGAGGTGCATTTGGGGAGACTGGAATGGAAGGGTAAAATTATGGAGAAGTCGAGTAAAAAAACTATGGAAAAACAAGGGAAAATTGAGCAAAACCATCTGAAAATTGGGTAAACCATGGAAAAATGGAACAAAACTATGGGAAAATGGGGTCAAAACCATGGAAAAATCGAGCAACACCTTAGAAATTGAGGAAAACCATGGAAAAATCGAGTAAAACCACGGAAAAATTGAATAAAACAATGGAAGGCCATGGAAAAATTTAGTAAAGCCATGGAAAAATGGAGTGAAACGTTGGGAAAATCGCGGAAAATGGTCTGTCGGAGGTGCGTTTGGGGAGGCATTAAACACATTGGAATCGAAGGGAGTGCCTAAGCAGCTTCTGTCAGTAGTTGGGCTTGTTCTTGTCGACTTGTATTTATTGGGCTCCGATGTGGGACCATTATGAGGAAAGGCATTGCTTGATGATCCGTCCTCGGAGGTGCATTTGGGGAGGCGATAGAGAGACTGGAATCGAAGGGAGTCACTGCCAGTAGTTGGGCTCTGATGTGGGACCATTATGGTCGCAAAGATCAGAAGGAATTTCTGTCAGTATAGGATGCTTTGGGGGAGACTGAATAGAATGGAGTCAGGGGAAAAGGCTTTGGAACTTCTGTCAGTATAGGATGACGACGAGACTGTAGCCATCTACTTGTATTTATTGGGCCGCGATGTGGGACCATTATGAGGAAAGGCATTGCTTGATGATCCGTCCTCGGAGGTGCATTTGGGGAGGCGATAGAGAGACTGGAATCGAAGGGAGTCAGAGGAAAAGGCATTGCTTGATGGTCACAAGGATTAGAGGCAACTTCTGCCAGTAGTTGGGCTCCGATGTGGGACCTTTATGGTCGCAAGGATTAGAAGCAATTTCTGTCTGCTTTGGGAAAGACTGGAATAGAAGGGAGTCAGAGGGAAAGGCATTGCTTGGAAAGGTTGCGGAAGGATGTGGATGAGATTGTTCTCGTCGATTTGTTGGGCTCCGATGTGGGACCATTATGGTCGCAAAGATCAGAAAGAACTTCTGCCAGTATAGGATGCTTTGGGAGAGACTGGATAGAAGGGAGTCAGATGAAAAGGCATTGCTTGAGGAACTTCTGAGGAATTTCTGTCAGTATAGGATGACGACGAGAATGTAGCCATCATTCGCCATCTACTTGTATTTATTGGGCTCCGATGTGGGACCATTGGTCGCAAGGGTTGGAAGGAATTTGTGGGCTCCGATGTGATTGTGGCCGCAAGGATTAAAGGAACTTCTGTCAGTATAGGATGTGGACGAGAATGTAAGCGTCGACTGGGGTTCCGATGTCGGACCATCATGGTCGTAAGATGTCGTAAGGATTAGAAGCAACTTCTGTCAGTATACGATGCTTTGGGAAAGACTGGAATAGAAGGGAGTCAGGGGAAAAGGCGTTGCTTGGAATGGTCGCTGGAGGATGTGGACGAGACTGTAGTGGCCGACTTGTATTTGTTGGGTTCTGTCGGCACGGGATGTGAAATCAGCAAGCTTTGGAAAGGGGTGTTAACATAGCAGAAGATGAGACTGCTGCGTCGGCTCCGTCAATGCTTTTTGCATCGTTTTGGGTGAAATTAGGAAGCTATGGAAAGGGATGAGGAAAATATGAGGTGAGGAGGGCAGAGGTAAGGGTCCGTGAATGGAGGCACAGTCGCTATGGAGAAGAAACTTCTGTCGGTATAAGATTTGAAATTAGGAAACTGTGGAAAGGGGTGATGAAAATATGAAAATATGAGCGTAAGGATCCCTGAGCGTCTGAGGGCGAAAAGTTTGCCGGTGAAAAGTCTGTGGGTGAAAAGTCTGTGGGTGAAAAGTCTGTGGAAGAAGAGTCTCTGGATGAAGAGTCCCTGGGTGAAAAATATGGGTGCAACGTATATGGGTGAAAAGTGTGTGGGTGAAAAATGTGACAAGGCTGTGCGTGAAAATTTCTGTGGGTGAAAAGTCTCTGGGCGAAAAGTGTGTGGGTGAAAAGTGCGCGGGTGAAAAGTCCGTCGGTCAAAAGTATATGGGTGAAACGGGTGTGGGTGCAAAGTCTGAGGGTGCAAAGTCTGAGGGTGCAAAGTCTGTGGGTGAAAAGTCTGTGGGTGAAAAGACTGTGTGCGAAAAGTGTATGGGTGAAAGTCTGTGGGTGAAAAGTATATGGGTGACAAGTCTGTGGGTGAAAAGTATGTGGGTGAAAAGCCTGTGGAAAAAGACTCGCTGGGTGAAGAGTCTCTGGGTGAAAAATATATAAGTGAAAAGTCTGTGGCTAAAAAGTCTGTGGGTGAAAGGTTTGCGGGTGATAAGTGTATGGGTGAAAGTCTGCGGGTGAAAAGTCTGTGGCTGATATGTCTATGGTCTATGGGTGAAAAGTCTGTGGGTGAAAAGTTTCTGGGCGAAAAGCGTATGGATGAAAAAGTACATGGACGAAGAAAAATCTGAGGGTAAAAATTATATTGTTGAAGAGTCTCTGGGTGGAAAATATGGGGGTGAAATGTATATGGTTGAACAGCCTGTGGGTGAAAAGTATATGGGTGAAAGACCGTGGGTGAAAAGTCGCTGGGTGAAAAGTATATGGGTGAAAATCTGTTGGTGAAAAGTATACGGGGGGAAAAATCTGAGGGTAAAAAGTACATTGGTGAAGAGCCTCTGGGTGTTTTGTCTGTGGGTGAAAAGTGTGTGGGTGAAAAACCCGTGTGTCAAAAGTATACAGGTGAAACGGGTTTGGGTGAAAAACCTGAGAGTGCGAAGTCTGTGGGAAAAGCCTGTGGGTGAAAAGTGTATGGGGGAAAAGTCTGTGGGCGAGAAGTGTATGGTTGAACCGTCTGTGGGTGAAAAGTATATGGGTGAAAAATATTTTGGGGAAAATAGGGGTAGGTGGGATGCTGGCTTTCGTTTTCCCCCTTCTCAGGTTGGGAAACATGCCAACAACGTGATTTTTGGGTGACCTGATAACGATGGAGAGAGATAGAGAGAGAGAGAGAGAAATACTAAACCGCTGGTTCTGCGGGTTGGGGTTGAAAATGGGGGAAGGGATTGGGGAAAAGTTGAACGACGGCGCAGTTTGAACCAAATGTAATGGGGCTCTGTGGGGCTTCCTACGGTCCTAATCGGTAGCCTCGGATTTTTGCCGCGTTTTCCTGGTACCCGCGAGTTGCACCGTGAAGGTGTTTCATTGAGGCATGTCCATCAGCTGTTGGTCAAACATTTTGCTGCTAAAATCCGACTTTTTGAGTAAATCCCATGGTTGGCTGGTAAGATCAGTCAAGTTATGATATGTTATGATGAACTAGAAAAATGGTCCGAGTCTTCACCAAATCAACCTTGATCCCCAAATCTCCAAGAAAATCATCATCTTTTTGAGCCATCCCAAGAACCATCCCAGGGTCCCAGCCAGGTCACAGAGGAGTCGACCGCTCGTGGTGACGCCTTCAAGAAGGCCCTGGGTGCGGTGAACGCCACGGAGGAGCGCCTCAGCGCCGAGAGCTCAGCGCGCCAACAGTTGCAGGCGCAGACGGAAGCCGCCCGGCTACCGTTTCGCACAAGCGGGTCACCGGGGACACCGGGGTTGGCTGGGAAAGGCTGGGTTTAATCCGAAGTATACCTAAGTATACCAGAGTATACCTAACCTAAATATAGCATAGTATAGCTAAGTTAAGTTGATTTGCTAAATATGTGATAATATGTGATAATATGTGATAATATGTGGAAACCATGGGATGTAGATGGATGTATATGGATTTTCTATGATTTTATTTTATTTTTTCTCTCGTTTTTTTGGAAGAGGAACATGGATTCGGTAAGACCATAGCATTTTTATGGCCAAAACATGACAAAACATGACAAAACCATTTGAGATGGCAGATCGATCCAAGGCAGCCATTGGCAAGAGGTCCAATGAGATCCAGCAGTTGGAGACGAAGCTCAGCGCCTTCATCAGCTCCATGCAGAGTTCCCTGGCTGACAGCAATGCCAAGTTGGAGGCGGAGGAGAGCCTCCGAGCCTCGGGGCTGGAGAAGTTGGGGAACTCCATGGAGGCGCTGAGGCAAGATGTTGGCTCCAGGGTGGCACAGCTGGAAGGAAACATCAATGAAGCTATGGCTGGGTTGGAGGCTGACTTGAAGGCTATGGTGATGGAGGTGAAGGAGAAGGCCCAACAGCAAGATCAACAACAGAAGGATGCTTTGCAAGAGTGGCTTGGAAGCAATTCACCACGGTTTTTGTTTGATAAATAGATGGCGAAAAAGACAGGTAAATAGACTACAGTGTATAGTTGAATCAGGCGATGAATCTCAGTTTTTCTGGTCTGACGGAGGAAGAGTGCACAAATGTTTGCTGCCATTAATTAGCCGCCAACATTTGCAGTGGACTCATGGTTCCAATGCTGACGGATGCCAGGACGATCAAACATGGCAAGGGGAAATCCCCGAGAGAGAGAGGCTTAAAAAAGGGACAATCATCACCAGTCATCCATAAAATTGGCAATTATCCATAGCTTTGTTAAATTTCCGGCAGGGCTAGGAATTCTTCCCGTGATTTGTAGGTGAAACCTTCATGCTCGTTGGTTTACATCTCCCACATTCATTGCCAGCGCCCGACTATGTAGTCCCTGGAGCATCTCCGCGATCTCAACTTTGGAATAGCCCAGCTCACAACCCGACAATAGACAATAGAAATCCAAAAAGCCCTAGAATCTCAAATTTTCAATAGAAAATACGAAAACCACCACTTTGGGTCATGCATGGGTATACGGTATACGAAAACTTCGTTTCTCCACGGGAACTTTTCAGCCGAGGCTTTCCAGAAAGCTGGAGGAGGAAGCCAGCGACCGGCGACACTGTGAGCAACGCACTGCAGGTGCGTTGGGCCGTCCTTGGGGTGTTTTGGGTGCCCAAAACAACCCAAGGATTCTCCAGGTCCATTTGTTCAGTTTGGGGGAGAAATGATTCTGAAATATTCTCATGTCGACCCAGAATTAAGAAGCGTCCAGTTTGTGAATGGGGGGGTGGGCAATTTGCATAGAAACTTCTCACTATCTTGACGACCCCGGATTAACAAACAGGATTGAACAGGCATTTATGAATTAATCCAGGGTTGACATTGGACATGAATGTACCATGTCTATACATGTCTATACTGCCATTTCTGGGTGTCTATTGCTTTGCACACTTCAAAACCATTTTGTGATTTATAAACCCAATGCATGTCAATTAAATCCTCACTTAATGTCATGATTTACATACTATGTTTTGCCGATGTTCTTTCACGGAATCAGAACTTCGTGCCATAAAAAACCAGAAAACTATAGAAAACTGCTAAGGAAAACCACCAGAGAGCTGGTTGCACACCGAGGTATGTTGAGCGGCCTGCAGGTGGCCATCAGCAACGAGGAACAGGCGCGGGAGGCTGCCTTGACCGAGGCCAGTCGCCTGCAGGGGCTCCTGGAGGCGCGACTGGAGACCTTGGAATCTGGGTTGAAGGATACAGCGGTGGGGCTCAAGGCGGAAATTTCCAACTTGGAGGAGAGCTTCTCCAAGTTCTGTGCAGAGGAACAGGTGGGACATGTAACTTTCCTTTTGGGATGTGAAGATTGGCTGAACAAATGGGGGTGAAAAAGAGAGGTTTGGGGACGAGATGGGATGTTTTTTACGAAGTGGTTTCGTGTTGATTTGGAACTATTCCATCATCCCTTATATGATTATACTTATGATATATTATGATGATTCTGATGATCATCATTTATAATATTTATAGAAATCATTGGGAAGCCCCAGCCCAGGTGGCCCGGGACGTGGCGAAACAGGACTTGGAAGCCGCCCAGCTGCGCAAGCACGAGGCCCTGAGCGAGGAGATGCGTCGGGCGCATGCGGCGCAGACAGAGGAGAGCAGGCAGTGGGCGCAGACGCTGGTGGAGCGGCTCAGCAACGACCTGCGAGGTGCCCAGTTGATCCATGTTGATCCCAGGGAAACAGTTGAACTTGGAGGGCAAACATGGGAAAACCCTATGAAAATTGGGGGCAAAGACCATGCTGTCCGGATCTCAGAAATCGATCCAGGGACTGGTGGTTATCCGTGGTTTACCCGTGGTTTAGCCGTCGTGAAGCAATGAGAAAGGGTGATTTGGGCATCAAAAAATATGGGGTTGATGATGCTGAAATGCCCATGAAGCTTCACCAACATTCCCTAGGGAGATTTACCAAAGAAATTTGGTGATCTATTTGAGCTTGAAATGGTGGTTTTGTAGGTGGTTTTGTAGGAATGTAGGATCATACTGGGTGAATGAGGATTATGGACCAAACCACATGGGGAATGCCTCTCAATCAACCAACAGCTTTGGGGGATGTAAAAGGGCTCTGTTTCAGAATTGGTTTGGAGGCAAAAAAAACTAAACCCACTGTATTGAATGGTTTCCTTCACAATTTCTGTTTAATCCATCCATTGAATCCCCCAAAAGGTTGCTGGGTAAATCATGGTAAATATATTTAAATCCATGTTTGGAGGCTTCGATCAGATGAACCCCCAAGGTTTTCACAGATTTTCACCGTTTCAGTCCCTTGATTTTCTTCAGCCCTTGCCCAGCGGGTGCAGGTGAGCGTGAGGCGCTCTTCCAGGAGCTCAACCGTCGCTGTGACGAGGTGGCGAAGCTGAACGCGGAGCACATTCGGCTGGAAATGGCCGCGGAGCTACAGAAGGTGGACGCCACCAGTTCTGAGATGTTGCTGAAACAGAAGGCACTGGGGGCAGTGGATCAGGTTTGTGAATTCTTGTTGGATGACTATTGGATCCCCTTGCTACCCAGCCCTGTCTCAGGCCATGTTGGAGGAGGAGAAGCATCGCTACGAACACCAGGCCTCCTGCGCCGCCTCGGAGGTCAAGGCTGCCCTGGACGCGCACGGCGACTTCGCGGAGGCCCTGGAGGCCGAGCAGCGCCTCATCGTGGAGCGCCTCACGGAGCAGCTGACGAAGGAGGCGGCGCAACGGCACGAGCTCATGAAGCGCCTGGGAGTGGTGGAAATGGATGTGCAGAAGGCTGGGGATGGGGATGGGGATGGGGATGGGAAGAAGATGGGTCATGGATGGTGACGGTCAGATTTTTTTAGGGCCCTGGGAAAGACCCTGAAGGTCAGGGGCCATTTGCCAATTCTCTTTGCTTCGCCTACAGCTTTCCGGTGATTTCGGATGATGGGGCAATGGGGCTTGGACAATTGCTTTCATGATGGCTTCAGCGCCTGAGCCTCCGTTGTGGCGTGCGGCTGCGCACGAAAACGTGAGAGGTATTGGAGCCACCCTGAGCGATCAGGCTCAGGAGTTGGGGAAATTACTGTATTGAAAAATTGAAAATTCATGGGGCTCCGTCCCTGCACAGGCTGCAAATAGACTGCATAGATTTCAAATTCGCGGAGTTCTTTAACGCATGATGTGAGCCTATTTAGTTGCTGATGATTCCCTGCTGGCCTACAGGCTTGCAGCGACGTGAAATTCAGAGAAGTCAGCGGTTGGATGCGATGTGCATGCTCTTTTCAAAAACTCATGGGTTGACCCTGCATACTCATGTGCAAACATGTCGAACACTGTCACTATGGCATACTATGGTATCCCTGGTTTCTCAACCCTAAATTGGGACAATCTCCGGAGACCATATTATACTATCTATATATACTCTTACTCATGGGCATGGAATATGCTGGAATGCTGACGCAAACTTTCGGGTTTGAGTGGCATCAGCTGATGCGTTGTTTTGACATTGGCCATCCTGTTTTGACCATGAATGCTCAAGCATCCTGAGCAGGTCATGGAAGACATAAGCAAAAAACCAGCAAGACGTGACATCCTCCATCAGCAGAGCTCAGTGTACCAACGCGTAGCTATGCAGTTGCATGGTCCACAGGAAAGGTTGCCGTTTCAACTCCGAAGAGTTGAGTTGAGGAGTGCACAGAACATTTTATGACATTCCTAGAGCACATAGACACAGATACAGTAACTCAGTAGATATACAGTATACATAGTATACATAGTAGGCATAGTATACATTGTAGGCATTTGCATTTTCGAACTTCCATTTGTATCTCTGATGATCCCCAGTGACCTTAGTGACGACTTTCACATTTTTGGGAGCTCAACCACGACTATGGCGGACTTTGCCAACTGGCTGTACCCGCCGGAGGGATGGCCGCAGGGGCAGCAGGTCCTTGGAGCACCGCAGGTCCGTTTTGCCATGTGTTTGCCATGTTTCCTCAGCTGAGTTGTTACAACAATGGATGATGCGGATGATGATGTTGGGGATTCACATGGGTTGAAAGACATCCAACTCTTGCGAACTTCTCTCAGTCCTTGTGATGTTGGGAGGCGCAGTGGCAAGGTGACTGGATGCCTCCTGTGAATGGTTGGCAGCAGCAATCCTTTGAGAGCTGGCAGCAGCCACCTCCAGCACATCATTTTGACAGCTCCTTGCTGGAAAGGGCAGATGATTTGAAGCTAGGGATGTCCTAAAGCTGGGAACCGATAGATTTGTTTTGGGAGGGACACTCGTTGTTGGGGATGCTTGGTACCTTGCGCCTGTTGTGAGCCAAAATTAGATAGAAAATCAGATGGTGCTGACCAGGTGGCGATTGGCAACCAAGCTTTGGTTTTGGTGCTCCGCATGCGAGTGGACCCAGCGAGCAGCTTGAACTGCAGCAATGCCTCCAAATTGTAGACAGCAGAGTCAGAGAATTTTCGGATGAATGAAGATGAATGGAGATGAATGAGGATGAATAAAGATGAATGAAACCAATTTTCGACTTTTCCACATGTCTTTCCATCTGCCAGGCCCGCTTTCGACGCCCGCGCCGCACCTGCCCCAGCGCCCCCAGCGCCAACGCCCCCAGGGGCGGTGCCAGTGGTGCCGCCGCAGCGCTTCCTGCCGGGGACGCGAAAGAGGAAGCTGTGCGTCCATCACGCCAACGGCAACTGTCGCTATGGTCCGGCCGGGTGGTGAGAAAAGGTCAGATCTAAAATGATCTAAACATGCAAGGAACATCAAGGAACTGTCGACGTATAACACAGACATATGGATGAATATGTGAACACGCAAAACAGCCGGGGATAAACAATTTTTAAAAGCACACAGACATGCACACATGAATATTGTGTTATAATGTGCTTCAATGGTGCGGGCTGTTTCTCGCAAATGCGCAGAGAGGAAACGAAGGATTAGAGTTGGCCAGATGGGCCATATGGCATGCTCCATGACCAATCCCTCTTGTCCTCGAGCATCTCGAGCACCATTTTATTATGCCATCTGGTCCGCTCTTGTCAGGTGCAGAATGCAATTTTGCGCATGGCGTAGCAGCTTGGCTGCTTTAAGCGGTGGTTTGAAGAAGTTTGTGAAAGTTCTTCGCTCCAATCTTGGATTGATCAGCCATGGCCAAAACTCCCAATGATGATAACGATGAATGCATATCCGTTCAGAAAAAAGCTGATTGTGGGGCTCGTGAAGACTTCCAATAATATGATGTAAATGAATGATAATGAGACTTCCAAATTATCATCCTGTGGTATCCTTGTAATATCCTTATAATCCTCATCATTAGGAATTCTTATGGGCGCCACCAAGGAAGACTTGGCCGAAGACTGCCAGGAAGCGGTGACCCAAAAACCCAAGACCGAGAGGTGAGCGAATCATTGGGAGCATCGGACGTGGCGGAGAGTCGTGGCGGAGGATAGCCATGAAAAATGGCCATTGAAATGGCCATTGAAATATGAATAAATTGATGATTCACTCATATGAACTCATATAGATAACTTATATTATCTGGATGATATTAACTTATATTAACTGGATGGAAGGAGGTACCAGGACCTCATTTTCAGATGAAGCCATATAATTATTTGTGATGGGGCTCATGTGGTAAAGCAGCTGCAATTTCCCACTTAAATATCAACTGAATATCATTTAAATGCTGATGATTCATGGTAAATAGATGTGCTGGTTGGTGGTTTGGAACATTTTTAATTGTCCATACTATATGGGATGTCATCCTTCCCATTGACTTTCATATTTTTCAGAGGGGTAGGCTCAACCACCAACCAGTTTTAAATAGCCAGACGCCCCCAGGGCCTTCTTCCAGAACGGGTCGTTCGGCGCCAGGATGGATTTTTCTGGCCTGGAGGCAGGTCGACTGACCAAGAACCTCACGGTCCCACAAGATCAGGCCATCCAGCCATGGAGCGCTTGCTGGGAATGGTGTTTGTGTACATATTATATATATATATATATTATATATATATATATTTACATTTACAGAATATCTGTATATATATATATATGTACATAATAATAATATATATATATATATTTATTATATGCAGAAAGATATATATATATGATATATGTGTATATGGATGCCATTATAGTCCATTAAATCCCAATGTACCAACATATTTTGACACCAAACAAATCACTTGTGCTCATGTCATTGAACAGGTGGACTCGGTGCTCACGGCGGCAACAAGGGCGTTGTTGGTCGAAGTGCCATGGCATCAGCCAAAGTCCGTGGACCTTCGTCGCCAGTTTCTTTGCTCTTTTTTTTCCCCTTTGATTGCTATTTGAGAATATCATGCCATACGTTCTGCTACATTTCTTGGTTGAAGGTTCTGATATATGTCCTATATATATAACATATGCGACTATAGTACTACAGTACATTATTCATATTATTGTACTATAGTTAAAATACGATCACCATAACTGCGTTCACCCGTTCACCCGTTCCTGTCGGTGACCTGTGACGTAGGTCACCGGCGCCGAGATCGAAGTGCTGAAGGTGAAGCGCGCCCTCGAAGTCACCGGCACCGCAGCGCAGTTGGAGAAGGCCGAGAAGGCGCTGATGTGGAGAACGGTGAAGTGCGTGGGGGTTGATGGGTTGAGATATCCCTAAGAAAAGACGGGAAAATCCCAAGGAAAACATAGGAAAAGCATGGAAAAGCCTGGCAAAATGGATGTTAATTGATGTTGATTGTGGATTATCACTATGGTGGGTGGAAATGATTTGACTTGAAGTGGGTAGTGGATTACCAAAGTCGTTTACAACTGGGTCCATTCGGCTTTCGAAGGCCCTTCAGCGAGTGGTGGCTCACTGCAACTGGGGTGCGAATGATGCTAAGATCAGAAGTATTTTGCGGCCTCGCGTGGTCTGCGCCCCAGATATCCCCAGATGCGGAAAAAGGCTGCACCATCCACCGCAGTGCGCTGGAACATGTGCACCAAGGACTACAAGTCCGCCGCGACCTGAGACACGACGATGGACTGCTGTGGAAAGCTGGTCACCAATCACCAAAATTGCCACATCTTGAATTTGATTACCATATCTGGCACCCCAATTTCTTGGTTGAACCAACATACATATTATATATATCTTACTATATGCGTAAGGCCACATGCTTATGGAGGGGTAAGACCCTGCGCATTGACCCAATGGAGTGCCGAAAAATGGCCCAGCAAGGACATAGTGGAGTGCCAAAAAATGGCCACCTTTGTGTTTGTGTCAACAATGGTTCCCTACTTTTCTCATATATATAAAAATATAGTATCTTGTCCAAGCAGAGGGGCATTCCTGAAAGGGACACTTCTAAAACATTCCTTTTCATTCGCTTTAATTCCAAATCATTCCAAATAATTGTGTTTCTATATACGATGATATACGATGTATATATATATATTATTATATGTATGATATCGTTTTTTTGGATTGTTTTGCTTCTCCCAGATTTTTTTGAGGGGATATCTTAAGATTCTTATTGGAATGTTTGATCACTTTCTTGAAAGAATAGCAACTTTTAGGAGTAGCCCTGTTAGAAGTAGCCCAGGGATACATACATACACCCATCCGTCCATCCAACCATCCATCCATCCATACATACACACACACACATACATCCATCCATCCATCCATCCATGCATGCATGCATGCATGCATGCATGCATACATACATACATACGCACATACGCACATACGCACATACGCACATACGCACATACGCACATACGCACATACGCACATACGCACATACGCACATACGCACATACGCACATACGCACAGACGCGAATACGCACAGACGCACAGACGCACAGACGCACAGACGCACAGACGCACAGACGCACAGACGCACAGACGCACAGACGCACAGACGCGCGCAACGCGCGCACGCGCAGACGCGCGCAGAGACGCGCGCGATACGCGCGCACGCGCGCAGACGCGCGCACGCGCGCAGACGCGCAGACGCGCAGACGCGCAGACGCGCAGACGCGCACATACGCGCATACGCGCATACGCGCATATGCGCATACGCGCATACGCACATACGCGCATACGCGCATACGCACATACGCGCATACGCACATACGCACATACGCACATACGCACATACGCACATACGCACATACGCACATACGCACATACCTACATACATACATACATACATACATACCTACATACATACAGACACACAGACATACAGACATACAGACATACAGACATACAGACATACAGACATACAGACAGACATACAGACATACAGACATACAGACATACAGACAGACATACATACATACATACATACACACATACAGACATACATACATACAGACATACATACATACATACACACATACACACACACATACGCACATCCACACATGCATGCATACATGCATACATCCATACATCCATCCATCCATACATAAAGACATACAGACATATATTCATATTCCGTTTTAGTGGTCCCCAAAAAATTGGGTCGCCACACCTGAGGCCCGTGTGCGATTGGCCTCCATGGCCCCTGGCCTTAAGGATTTCAATCGGACCCTCACGGCCGACAAGGACGGCTTATGGCTGCCCAGCGGTGTTTTTCTGCCTATTCGTGAGGAAAAATGTTGATCAATGTTGATCCATTCTATTTTTTGGTGGTCCAGCAGTGATGAAGAACGCATTAAATAATGTGGATCCATCAATATGGGTAAGGCTCTCGCTTTAGAACGCGCTCTCAAGCATCGCTTTAGAACGCGGAAAATGATCCTACGTCATCTAATTACACAACATCTTCTACATCTTTTATATCACCTAGATCATCTACATCAATTTCATCTACATTACATACATCACTGCATCTCCTACATCTCTCCTATATCCTTTACATCATCTACATCATCTACATCTACACCACATACATAATCATACATACATCACATACATCAATCTACACAAGTTCTTACACAGGACTTGTGACACAGGAGTTGTTATACATGAGCTGTGTCCTCCGACCCCACCCTACCCTACCCACCCCCTTCCATTACCCGGTGTGAATGAACAAAGTACGCTACCATCCCACCCCACCCTACCCCACCCACCCCATCCTCTCTTACCCAGTGTGACTGGACGTCACCATCCAGTGCGCTTGCAAGAGAGTACGCTACCATTCCACCCCACCCCACCCCAACCAAAAGTTGAGGTAGGGTCGAATGTGAACGAGCATAAGGACGCCCAATAGAAGGAATAGATGAGTAAGTGTTCTGAAGTAATGCATGTGTTCTGAAGTGGTGTCTAGAAGTGTGTTCTGAAGTGATGCAAAATGTTTTGAAGTGTCTGGGATGGTGTTCTGAAGTGATCCTGTTACCTCAAAAGGCCCATGGGCCAATCAGTTTTAAGGTCTGGCACAAGTCTCGGGGCACTCCCCAATGTTATACAGATGGTCAACTACTCAAAATGGATCAAAAGTTTGGAGTCCCCTGGATCCTAAAAGAATGAAATGGTGGTTCACGGGCAAGCACAAAAAGAGTCAATGATAGTTTTATATAGAACACATCTATTCGCCACTATCTTATTGAGTAGCAGTATTTCCTATATATTTCTATCTTTTAGTAGGAGGTTACTTTTCCATCCTATATTTAGGAGGACATCACTTGTCTATAATTAGAACGCATGTTTGTACAACCATACATACATACATACATACATACATACATACATACATACATACATACATACATACATACATACATACATACATACATACATACATACATACATACATACATACATACACATATACATATACATATACATATACATACATATACACACACACACATATATATATACATACATATACATACATATACATACATATACATACATATACATACATATACATACATACATACATACATACATATATGTATGTATATATGTATGTATATATGTATATATGTATATATATATATATATGAGCAAGTTTTTTTAGATCATAAATCTTGGTCCACCTTCATTTTGTCCCCGCGGGAGGCCACGTTCTCGATTGGCACCGATGCCACCTGCGCACTGAAGGTCAAGGGACCTTTGGTCTCCAGATCCCATGCAGTGGTCCCTTGGCGCTCAAGGGAAGCGCGCAGTGGTCACGGGGAAAATGGTGGGAAAATGATGATGACCCATTGGAATTGGGGATATATATATATATATGTATAGTACCTTATTTTCAGCCAAAGCCATCTGAGGTTAGTAAAGCAATGTCATAAACTATGGCCATATGGATTGATGGTTTATACCCCCCATCAAACGGTGAATTGGGCATCGTGGATCCTGTTGCTTTACTAAATAAAAGGGGAAACACCCCCAAATCAGAACTTTTTCCGTTTGCCCGGAGCCATGGAAAGCTTTGAGTCATTTCATGACTTTAGTAGTTAAGTGGTCTATCCAAGGATGGTTTTCCAGATTGTGGGAGAGATGTGAAACCGTGCTGTTGTGATCTTGATGCCAGCCGGAACTCGACACGTGATTTGTGTGCCATTCAAAAATCATCGGACCGGACTGATTGGGAAACCAAAATCTTCAGATGATTATCCAACATAGGGTGTGGAAGGAAAGCTGATACGGCTCATACGGCTCTGTTTGAGAACAAACTACTGTACCCATATTTTCCCTTGCATGTGATGGCCATGTACGGAGGCTTCTCTCCCATTTTGGGACGGCCCAAAATGTTTCGCCCCATGTTTCCCCTCAGCCAGGTGGAGTTTCAGCCAGAGAAGGGCTCAGTGTGCCTTGTCTTTGACCATCTGGTAATCAAACATGACGATGGAGAATCCTCATTTTTAGATGATTTTCCCATTATATAGCCGCATTGATATATTTGTCCAGCTGGCCACGTTTCATTGCCAGCGGGTATCTCCAAATTCACCCCCGGGCCTTGGCATCCTTGGCATCCTTGGCATCCTTGGCATCCTTGGCATCCTTGGCATCCTGACTAAGGTATATCGTTGACACCTCGACGTCTCTTGGTTTTATTCGCAATGACTGCCATTGCAGCTGAGTCTGTTGAGCAGAACAGGAAGGGTGCAACGTTTGAGTGGATAGTTAAACACATTTTGGGTTTTTGGTACCAAGAAATGGGAGGATTACGACTAATACTGTATACCGATACCAATAGATAGCCAACATCTATAATTTTCTGGGCCCGAGATTTTGAACCATCTCTTTCAATATTTCATCAGGTTCTTTGGTGGTAAATCATATCCCTACTTTTCAAGTCTGATTATATACAATATATCCCAGACCCAATTGAAGAGCTTCCCATCCTTGATGCCCAAATACCAAATGATTTTATGGACACCAACTCATCCATCAAATCCCCCAAAGCCAGACGTTCGATGGTTAAATCCAAATCTTTAGATGCCAACAGATCTAACCTTATGGTTAAATCGATTAAATGCATGTGTGCCAATCTATGCCAATCTATGTGCGCCTAATTTTTTTGCGGATTGAATCCTGCTGGAAACACATCGGCTGACTCTTAGATACCCTCTGGTAAACTAACGTAACTATGGAAAATCACTATTTTTAATGGGTAAATTCACTATAAATGGTCATTTTCAATAGCTATGTTAATTTACCAGAGGGTACCCTTTGTTCGTGGGTTTACACATGTTTTGCGAAGCGCCGCAGTTTTCAGGAATGGCACCTTCCTGAACGGCAAGCGCTTGCCCCCTAAAGCCAGTGCCAAAGTGATGCTGTCGCATGGCGATGAGCTGCTGTTGCAGGACGTCTATGGGGTTGCCGCAGCTGACATCACTTTGGACCAGCTGGTTGTAAATATTTGATGGTATATAATGGTGTATAATGGTATATGATGGTCTATGATGGTTATATGGCCATCATATTCTTGGGGCTTTAACGACTGATTTCACTGGGATCCCAGTAATGATCCTGCGCGATTCCTGCGAGGATCCCACTCACGCTGCGGAGTTTGGGTGTCTTGACTGAAATCAGTGTGGGTTTGTCTCAAAATGGGATATACGCATACCCAAAATCCCACGGCTTACAGTATCTATCTCTCATTTTCCCCATTAAGAACCGCCATATACTAGGGTGTACGCAGTTTTCAAACACACCCATTGCCATTCCGTTCCATTCTGCACGTCATGTGATGTGCGATGGTTTTTTAGATGTGCTGTTGTCTTCTGTTGTCCGTTGCCGATGTTGCCGGCTTCTGCTAGGTACATGGTGAACGTGGAGTTGCGTTTTGGCTGATCCAGTGGTGTGTGAAAGGGGACCTCATCGCTGCTGTGTGGAAACAGGGGTCCTATATCATTTGATGACCATAAAAGCATTCTCAAGTTAGCTACATCGTCAATTACATATAGCTAACCATGTATTATAAGACTACTGTACAGGACATCGGTGACATGTGTACACAGTATACACACGTAGACATGTTTGTGCATATACATATGCACATATGGATATATATATATATGGCATATAGGCATATAGACATATAGATTTACAATATATTTATGTGTATATCTATATTGCACAAAACAGACATGACATGTAATATGCATGTGACATATACAGTCATATACATACATATACGCTTTGCACATATATATATATAAATATATAATATACATAGAGTATATCTTTGCCGTGCCACCGGTGCAGCACCACTTCATTCTACCGAGGAGCTAATACTGTGAGATTGCGAGCTCCAGAAGGCGTACTAAAACAATGCGAAAAGCCACTGCAGACCATTCTGAACTCATGGAGCTCTTCAAGCTTTGCAAACTGATGATTAGATTATATTAAATTTTGATTCTTCCGTTCTGTTCCCGAATCATAGAGCGTATTGAAGCACGATGAATTATTCCTGGTTGATGAACACTGCATCCCTGAGATGTTTCCTCAGCCGTTTTGAAGCAGTTTTAGCTTTTAGCCAGTTGGGACTCGGCCGCAAAATGAACAACCTCATTCTGGAAACAGATGAGCAACTGGCCCCGACCTGAGGAACAATGCAAAATCCAGCCCGGCTGTATAGCACATCATCTATAGAACAGTTGGAAAACTGGAAATTATGAAGAACAGATCATCTATACCATGGTGACCATCCTGGAAGGACTTCCTGTCTTTTTGGAGGTTACTACAAGTGATTTACCTATTCATTGAAGCTATGTATAGACTTTCCATACCACAGTTGGCCTATTGCGAGGCTGCAGAGTACCAAGAGCCCCTTGTGGAGGACGTTTGTTTCTTTGGGTCCATCATTGTAGGGATCTGCACCTGTCTGAAAATTTCACGACCCGTCATATTTGGGGGGAACACGTGCAAGACATGCACAAACCTGTGGGTTCCTGCAACCATCCCTTCAAAGCAAATCCATGGATGAGTTCATGATTTTCAGGCTTGGATATCTTGAATACACAAGCTGCTTCGCCTCATTTGATTCACCAGAGACATCAAAGGAGAGAGTCCAGGAATGGTCAAGATCTCTATATGGGAAGCCAAAATAACCCCATTTACCCGCAAAACTGACTCGGCAGATGGGATTTTTATAGGTTTCCGACCTGGGAGGAGCTTGTGGATCACTGGCAATTGCAAGACACGGCCAGGGATGGGTGGTACATGATGCCATTGATACAACAGTTGGTGGTTTGGGATGACGATCTCACTTAACAATTCTATGGCAATGGGTGGAAACCACGCCGACACATGGGGATTGAAGCAGCTGGAACCAAAGATTCAGATCATAGGTCAGAAAAACATTTCTTAACAGAATTGGAACTCCACCTGAAGATGTCATTGCTGCTTCAGGTGAACCCCATGCACATGCCATGGGCCGTGCCTTCGTTGTATGGTGTTGAAGATACGGTCGCAAGTGGAGAGAGGCCTGCGGCCCAGCGGCTTGCGACATACAGACTGGTGCGGCCTGTTTTCGATTCCTGCGGCAGGTCCACTTATACCATGGTCCACCCCAATCTATGTCCAGTATATTTAATGTACGTGCTATATATATATATGTATATATATATATACACACATATATATAGATACATATACACATGTAGCCACATATACACATACATATATGATCATATATGCATACATGTGACAAGTGTGATTTGGATGATGAACATCACACAGCATGGGGATTTTGGGACTCCCAAGGCTCCAAGGGTGCCAGTGGCGTCCCAGGTGGCACAATGCAGGCTACGGACCAGGACATGCCGCAAAGAACCGAGGTGCCAACTTTGCTCGGGCGGCGAGCCGGCGGCTCGGGCGGCCGGGTCGGGTTGGAGAAGTGAGATGTTTTGCTTCTTTTTTGGGAGATGCTTGGAAAATCTTGGAACATTTCTTTAGTCAATTTAGTCAGTTCCATTCTCTTTGAACTGGAGACCTATGGGTTTCCCTATAATGTTCCTATGGAAGTTTGACTTGTAGATGTCATCCGCTTTTACGACGGCTTCCAAATGGGCGCAGATCGGCCAGCGGTCTTTCTGCCATTCTCCACGAATTTGGCAGGTTTGCCACAGAAACAGCGATTTTGCGCAACATATCCAAACGTGTCACGTTGCCGTACCCACCTCAGAGGAAGGGCACCTCCGGCAAGGTGCCATCATCCTTCTTTTTGGGGTTGGAGAGTGGTCCTGAACAAATATTCAAAAGTGATGTTTCAGGCTGAGATATGGGCTGGTCAAAAAGGTCGGGACACAGGCATATACACAAATGCGATTTTGATGAGGAAAACGACCATAAACCATTGAAATCCATTGGATTTTGGGGTACGTTCAGACACAGCAATCATTCAGGAACGACCTGCCGGACATTTCGTTTAGGTCATGGTGCGCATTGTGCCTTTGCACACTCCCGGCAGGAGGCCAGGGTTCAGTGATTTTGGATGGCGTCATGGGGTCATGATACCAGTCAGTATATCTCCCCCAACAAATCCCAATCACGGTCGAATTCCTGTTTTTTCTTCATGGTTAAACATCATGAAAACCATGTCAAAAAATCAGCCATCTCCCATTTCGGCCACGGCGCAGGTCACTGCCCCGCTGCTATCTCCCGAGGAGGAGGCGGCGGTTCCAGAGGCCTTGACTGCTGGGGTGCTTAGAATCCTTGGCCCAACGTTGACAGTGGGGGTAGACCAACATCGATGTGGAAAATGGATTGGCTTAAGGGAACATCTACCAGGAAACCATGGATTTTCCCATGAAATATGTTTTTTTTTCGGTATTTTTCCCCTTAAACCAATCCATTGAATGTGGAAAATGGATGAACATGGATGAACCGATGGAAATAGATATAAATAGATGATTGACCATGATTTACCTAGGGTTATTTAACATAGCTATGTGAACATGGCCCATGAACATAGATGACTTTCATTGACTTTCCAATTGTTTGTGGATGATTTACCTATGAAATTTGCCCGGTAAACTAACATAGACCCTAGATGTGAAACATGGCCCATGAAAATAGATGATTTACCTCTTTAAGACTGGTGATGACTGGTGATTTTCCATAGCTACACTAAATTCCCAGAGGGTATATGTCCGATTTTTTCATGGGGAGCCAGGAGGCTACGAATTGAGTTTCCCAACCGCATGATAGTGATGATCATTGATTATCTAGTTGGCGGCCTGTTGATTTCAAAGAGTTTCAGCAATAATTTGATATGTGTTAAATGTCTTTTGTCCAATATTTGTTCGTTCACGCACACGTTATTCAAGTTCAATGGGACGTATCTCACCGCCAACGTGAGGATTTCCCCCAGCAGTGCATTTAATCGACAAACGAATGGGTGCAAATATGTTTCCATCTCCTGGACATCTCCTCAAGAAGGGTACGCTGTAAAACACCTAATAGCAACCCGCAAAGAGAATGAACCAAAATCGTCAAAGCAACATCCTAATCATCCTAGTGGCAACTACTGGGAACTACTTCCATGCCTTGTTCATCCTTGTTCATATGAAACTAATATGAAACAGCCCCAAACGAAAAATCGGGGATTTTCCCCATATTTAGGACACCATAGGGGGTCCCCCAGGTGGAGTTTTTCACCGAGAAGTTCAAGACGATGTGGTGCGGATCCCCCAGGAAGTCGGCTCTTTTGGGCCTCAAATGGTGGAGAACTTGAGAAGATTTGGCATCAGATTTTTTTTTTGAGATAATGTAATTTTGATTACCATACTGTGATATGCTATATATGTATAAATATATATATACATCTATATACCTGCATCCATTTGACATCTCTTTGAACTGATTGACAACTTTTGTTAAAGAATAACAGATGCATGCGCATAGGCACAACATTGAGTATTTTGATTAGTTTGAAGATCTGGTAGGCTTTGTCTAAGCACGGTCAGCTCAGGTGCCCAATTGGTGCACAGCATGACTGGCAAGCCTGCATGTATGTCTCAGACTTAGCTGTGCAGCTCAGCAGGATGGAACAGATTTCACCAACGGTACATATCAAGATCAAACCTCCCCCCCAAAACAAACATTGTGATCTAATTGGGGTAGGATCCCTATGGTTTTCCCAAGAAATGGGAGATTTGTCTCTAAAATTATGGCTCTTTGACTGAGGAAAATGATGACACACCAATTTTGCGCGCATCATTTTCCCGGAAACCCAAGTTGCTGGGAAATTTGCCATCCACTCCTTGACCCTCGCGAGGCGCACACCTACCAAGACGTGTTTGGTGCTCAGCTACGACTATCCAGTGGTTTTTTCGGAGGGAGCTGTGCCAGTCGCGCGGGTTGGGTATCAGTCTTCCCAACATTTCCCAACATTTCCGGTGGGGTGCCGGAGCTACGAATCGAGTTTTCCAAAGACATGATGAACTATGGCAATGGTTACTGAAGGCGAAGGCCCCCAGCCTTGGGCTATGGGCATCAGCTGTGCCCCTACTGGAACAAGAAGGCGGCTGGCGTGTGAAAAATGATGGGAAGATGGCGATAAAAGGTGTGTTTTGGAAGGTTGCAGCTGTGCTTGGGCTGATTCATGCTGATTTTGAACATTGTTCTTGAAGATTTTGGCTTGCCACTTCTGCAATCTCCGGGAAGGAGACGAGCTTGGCCTACGCCCAGAGATGTCCATTGGGTGGGCAGCCCAGACTGCTGGAAGACACGTATTGACACCGCCATTGATTTGAAAGCATAAAACCATTCGCATGCCTTTGGGTCAAACTTGTGAACCCGAACGCCGACAACAAAAGTTGATGGAGAAATGCAATCAAATGCATCATGCATTGGTGATCCCTAATATGGACCCTAACCATACTTACTGATGCCTAGCAGATAGACTCATTCGCCTCGGCTTTTCAATCGCTCTGAGGCCCACGCTGTCCGTTTGCGCATGGTGCCAAGGTGCCAACACAAAAGCATGGGTTGATTCTGTCGCTTTGTCGCAACCGAAGTCGCTTTAAACATCTTTAAACACTCTTTGGGCTTAATTCTTTCTTACCTTTACACTTACCTGGGATGATGAACCCCACATTCAATTTCAATGGGACATCCTAGGACCACCGCAGATAGACACTAATAGTATCTAATAGTAGCGTCTAATCGTATTTTATTTTGGGTGTGAGTGGCTTAGCATGGCTCAGCATGACTCAAGCCCACGTTATGTTTGCTGGCTTACAATCACATCAGACTATAGTTGGGATATATTTACCAGAACTCCAACAGTGCGTAAAATAACTATCACCACCCTATCCCAACTATAGTTGGCAGATATCACTGATATCACCTCTCGGGATGCCCCCAATTTACCCCAAAAAACTCTGGGCCGAGCAGCGATGGCAGGAGCAGCTCTACCACCCCAACTACTTTCGCACCTTGGTGTGTCGCGATCTCCAGCGACGCAGGTGGGGCTTCCGGTTCCCGCGCCACGAACTGCACCGTGGCTTGGGACAGTTCATGAGTTACCAACCATTAATCAACCATTAATCAACCATTAACCAACCATTAACCAACCATTAACCAACCATTAACCAACCATTAACCAACCATTAATCAACCAGTAACCAACCATTAACCAACCATTAACCAACCATTAACCAACCATTAACCAACCATTAACCAACCATTAACCAACCATTAACCAACCATTAACCAACCATTAACCAACCATTAACCAACCATTAACCAACCATTAACCAACCATTAATCAACCATTAACCAACCATTAACAACCATTAACCAACCATTAACCAACCATTAACCAACCATTAACCAACCATTAACCAACCATTAACAACCATTAACCAACCATTAACCAACCATTAACCAACCATTAACCAACCATTAACCAACCATTAACCAACCATTAACCAACCATTAACCAACCATTAACCAACCATTAACCAACCATTAACCAACCATTAACCAACCATTAACCAACCATTAACCAACCACTAACCAACCACTAACCAACCATTAACCAACCATTAACCAACCATTAACCAACATTAACCAACCATTAACCAACCATTAACCAACCATTAACCAACCATTAACCAACCATTAACCAACCATTAACCAACCATTAACCAACCATTAACCAACCATTAACCAACCATTAACCAACCATTAACCAACCATTAACCAACCATTAACCAACCATTAACCAACCATTAACCAACCATTAACCAACCATTAACCAACCATTAACCAACCATTAACCAACCATTAACCAACCAAACCAACCATTAACCAACCATCAACCAACCATTAACCAACCATTAACCAACCATTAACCAACCATTAACCAACCATTAACCAACCATTAACCAACCATTAACCAACCATTAACCAACCATTAACCAACCATTAACCAACCATTAACCAACCATTAACCAACCATTAACCAACCATTAACCAACCATTAACCAACCATTTAACCAACCATTAACCAACCATTAACCAACCATTAACCAACCATTAACCAACCATTAACCAACCAACCAACCATTAACCAACCATTAACCAACCATTAATCAACCAACCATTAACCAACCATTAACCAACCATTAACCAACCATTAACCAACCAACCATTAACCAACCATTAACCAACCATTAACCAACCATTAACCAACCATTAACCAACCATTAACCAACCATTAACCAACCATTAACCAACCATTAACAACCATTAATCAACCATTAACCAACCATTAACCAACCATTAACCACCATTCAACCATTAACCAACCATTAACCAACCATTAACCAACCATTAACCAACCATTAACCAACCATTAACAACCATTAACCAACCATTAACCAACCATTAATCAACCATTAACCAGCCATTAACCAACCATTAACCAACCATTAACCAACCATTAATCAACCATTAACCAACCATTAACCAACCATTAACCAACCATTAACCAACCATTAATCAATCATTAATCAACCATTAACCAACCATTAACCAACCATTAATCAACCATTAACCAGCCATTAACCAACCATTAACCAACCATTAACCAACCATTAATCAACCATTAACCAACCATTAACCAACCATTAACCAACCATTAACCAACCAAGAACCAACCATTCATCAACCATTAACCAACCATTAACCAACCATTAACCAACCATTAATCAACCATTAACCGATCATTAACCAACCATTAATCAACCATTAACCAACCATTAACCAACCATTAATCAACCATTAATCAACCATTAACCAACCATTAATCAACAATTAATCAACCATTAACCAACCATTAATCAACCATTAATCAACCATTAACCAACCATTAACCAACCATTAATCAACCACTAACCAACCATTAATCAACCATTAACCAACCAGTAATCAACCATTAACCAACCATTAACCAACCATTAACCAACCATTAACCAACCATTAGCCAACCATTTACCAACCATTAACCAACCATTAATCAACCATTAATCAACCATTAATCAACCATTAATCAACCATTAACCAACCATTAACCAACCATTAATCAACCATTAACCAACCATTAATCAACCATTAATCAACCATTAATCAACCATTAACCAACCAGTAATCAACCATTAATCAACCATTAATCAACCATTAATCAACCATTAACCAACCATTAACCAACCATTAATCAACCATTAACCAACCATTACCCAACCATTAACCAACCATTAACCAACCATTAATCAACCATTAATCAACCATTACCCAACCATTAACCAACCATTAACCAACCATTAATCAACCATTAATCAACCATTAATCAACCATCAACCAACCATCAACCAACCAACCATTAACCAACCATTAACCAACCATTAATCAACCATTAACCAACCATTAACCAACCATTAATCAACCATTAACCAACCATTAATCAACCATTAATCAACCATTAATCAACCATTAATCAACCATTAATCAACCATTAACCAACCATTAACCAGCCATTCATCAACCATTAATCAACCATTAATCAACCATTAATCAACCATTAATCAACCATTAACCAACCATTAATCAACCATTAATCAACCATTAATCAACCATTAACCAACCATTAACCAACCATTAATCAACCATTAATCAACCATTAACCAACCATTAATTACCAATATTTATGGTTGATTGGTTGATTCATGGTTGATGGGTTCAGTTGCTTATATTGATTGATTTGATGTGATTATCCACCACTAATCAACCATTAACCAACACCAAGGATTCATGAAATGGGTGATTGATGGTTGATTGGTTCAACTGTTATTTTATGGTTCAGTGCCTTTTTTGAATGCAAGTTTTAAAGGAACACGTACCGGGATTAGCAGTCAAGAAATGAAACGCTTAAAACCTGGTTGAAACCTGGTTGAAATCTGGCTGATTTGGGTGATTTGGCATGTTGATTATCAAAGTGGTTTAAACGGACTAATGATGATGATCCAAGAATAGGTGGTCCAACATCCTTATTTTGCTTATTCAAGTATATATGATTATACATATGTATATATACGTATATGTATGTAATATGTACATATGTATATATGTATATATATATACATGTATATATTTATATATGTACCAGTAGTACCGCACAAGGCGGTGGCGGAAGTTTCAAAAATAGGAAACCTATAGGAGAAGTTGGTTGTTGTGAATCAGGGATGGCAGAGCGAAGCCACTGATTGACTGAAAGGTGGTTGGAGTTGTGTTTGCTGGAATGGTTGCAATGGTTGCAGTGGTCACCTCACCCACAACTGCTGGATGTAGTGTGATGTACTGCAACTGTAGTTGTAGTTGTAGCGTAGTGGAGTTGTAGTTGGGGTGTAATGTAATTAGTGTAGTGTAGTTGCAGTCATATAGTTGTAGCTGTAGTTGTTTTGTAGTTGTAGTTGTAGTTGTTGTAGTTGTAGTTGTTGTGTGGTTGTAGTTGTTGTGTAGTGTAGTAGTAGTAGTTGTTAGTTGTAGTTGTTGTTGTTGTTGTTCTGTTGTTGTAGTTGTTGTAGTTGTAGTTGTAGTTGTTGTTGTTGTTGTTGTAGCTGTAGTTGTTGTAGTTGTAGTTCTAGTTGTAGTTGTTGTGTCGTTGTAGTAGTTGTAGTTGTAGTTGTGTTGTTGTTGCTGTTGTTGTTGTTGTTGCTGTTGTTGTTGTAGTTGTTGTAGTTGTAGTTCTAGTTCTAGTTGTAGTTGTTGTGTAGTTGTTGTAGTTGTAGTTGTAGTTGTTGCTGTTGTTGCTGTTGTTGTTGTAGTTGTTGTAGTTGTAGTTCTAGTTGTAGTTGTAGTTGTTGTGTAGTTGTTGTAGTTGTTGTTGTTGTTGTTGTGGTTGGTGTTGTTGTTGTTGTTGCTGTTGCTGTTGTCGTCGAAGTTAGGGTAGTTAAGTTAGTGAAGTTAGTTAAGTTAGTCAAGTTAGTTAAGTTAATCAGTGTCTACTTTTTCGACATCTTCACGTCAAAAAAGGCTCAAAACCCTCAGTTTTTTACACTTTTGACTTCGAAATGTGCTTCGCGCCACAACGGCGTGCACTTTTTCGACACTTTTTCGACATCTGAACCTCCAAAAGTGGTCCGAGACCGCCAGTTTTTAACACTTTTGACTTGGAAATGTGCTTCGCGCCACAACGGCGTGCACTTTTTCGACATCTCAACTTCCAAAAGTGGTCCGACACTGGTGTGTTTTGTACATTTTGACTTCGAAATGTGCTTCGCGCCACAACGGCGTGCACTTTTTCGACATCTCAACTTCCAAAAGTGGTCCGAGAATGGTGTGTTTTGTACATTTTGACTTCAAATGTGCTTCGCGCCACAACGGCGTGCACTTTTTCGACATCTCAACTTCCAAAAGTGGTCCGACGCTGAGGTGTTTTGTACATTTTGACTTGGAAATGTGCTTCGCGCCACAACGGCGTGCAATTTTTCATCGCTCCTGTGGCCAGCTGGCTCCGCACCCGCCGCTTTAGCGAGCCTACTTTTCGACCCTCCGGAGCCACAAATCATTGGAAAAACACAGTGTTTCGCGACTTTCCTACCTTTTCGCGCATCTGCATCTTCTTTCTTCTGATCTTTTCTCTTCTGACTCTTTTCACCTCTGCTTTTCAACTGTCCATATTGTCGGAAGTTTCACTTCTAAACTTCCTTCGATAAATGTATATATGTATATACAAATAAATATGTATATACAAATATACATACATGCAAACATACATACATGCGTATATACATACCTACCTACCTTTTAATTTACCTACCTACCTAGGACTTGCCTACCTACGTACGTACGTGCGTACGTACGTACGTACGTATGTACATACATATTACGCACAAACGCATATATATATATACTATACTATACTATATATTATATATACACATACGCCTGTGGCATCTAAACATTGTTTTGGGAGGGTTGAAATCTGAAAAGCTATGCTTTTCTGATTGTTATAAGAAACGCGCGCGTTTTTGTCCAAAAGCAGGTATGTCTTTATTGAAGTGATGTTTTCCCTGCAGCGAGATCAAACTATTGGCACTAAAAATGCCTGGCATGTTTGAGCACAGGTGCCCCCGGGCCCACTTGTGTGCCTTCTTCCATCGCGAGGGCCTCAATTTTTTGAGACAGGAATCTTTCGCACCTTTCGAATATGATCCCTGTGATCCCCCATCATTGAACAGGTTGTGGTATGACTCAACAAAATTCTGAAACACTATGATTTCCACGATTGAACATGGTTGAAATATGCTGAACTATTATTGAAGTTTGTCTGAAGGTAATGGGGAGAGAGAGAGAGACTATCGAATTTTGTAGTGAGTCAACATCAGACGATTTCTGAGGGCAGACTGACTGCCGCAAGATCAAACACGATCCCGTGAACTACTCGCGGCCCTTGTCCGAGAAGGTCGCAGCCCTGAGTTCATCGGAATTCAGTTGTGCCAGCAGCAACCGGCCCATTGGGTTGATTTGGCAGGCAGTTCCAACAGAATGGTTGCTGCACTTCTTGAACCCGCCCAAATTCCAGGAGGCCAAGGAATCGTGATCGAAGATTCTCTGGTTTTCCAATCTCCTGGCATATGCTAGGTTGAAGGTATGGATCACAGCCAGTTGCAGCAACTTGCATATGCACCTCAGCCATACCATGCTCAAGTCTGCCTATGCATCCTTTAGCGTTGCGCGGAATGGCAGGAACGGAGAGGTGGCGACAGAGCCAAGGCAAAGGGTGGGGTTGCGGAGCGCTACTTCGAGCCAGTGGTACAGTGCCGAGGAGCTCAGCTGCTTTGACGATGCCGTAGAGGTGGCATCTGTGGCGTCTGCGGCGGACTCCGTTGCAGGGCTTTCAGCTTCAGGCCTTTCCTTCTACGGCAAAGGTCCCCAACTCAGCAGGTTCAGCCCGCCCGAAGGCCGGCCAAAGCGCCGGGATGACCGGAACGACCGGGAGCGCGAGCTCCGAGAGGTCCGAGAGAGGGAGGCTGAGGATTTGGCCGAGCAAATGTCCTCGGGGCGCAACGTGTTCGTGATGCCAAAGAGGCCGCCGCGAAGCAATGAATGCTACGCGCTTGATAAAGACTTGGCTGCGGCCAGCACTCCGAACCAGGCGCTGGACATTGCAATGCAGCAGGCGCAGGTGATGGATGCGCCAAATTGGGCGAATCTGTTATATGCACTTGCTCATTGCAAAAAGAAAGGGGGTGGCTTGAACATCGCCTCCCTGCGAGCAGATCCAAGGTGGGTCAGGAGTTGTAAGGAATTACAATCGTCCTTAGACCACCTTACGGCACGAGACTCGGCTAATGTGATTTGGTCCCTTGCAACCCTGGATGCAAAGCAGGAACCTCTCTTCTTAGAAGCTGCCAGTTCCCTTTGCAACAACAAGCTTGCAGTCTGTGACCCAGTCAGTATTTCCAAAGCTGCCTGGGCACTGACTTCTGTTCCAAATCGGGATCGAAGGCTGGATCTCTATTCCAAGCTGGCAGTTCCTGTGGTTCTGCGGGCTGACTCCTTTCCCCTTGGATCACTGACCATGATTTCCTATTCGTTTGGGAAGGCCGATTTTCGGGAAGGGGATGCTTACGAGGCACTGTCTTCTGCACTGACTGGGCACATGAATGATGAGCTGCGGCCCATTGACGTTTGCAATGTGATTTGGTCTTTTTGCACAGTTGGCTTTAGAGACGACGAACTTTTTTCCAAGACACTCAAAGATTACAGGCAGCTTTTTTGATATATCTTATATAATTATTGCTGATTTTTGTGGGTATGATCTTGGCAACTCCTGAAGCCACTGAGTAGCAGTGCTGATAGTGCTGGTGATATTTTGCTCCTACGTCTCCGCAGACCTCAGGATTTGTGAGATGTATCTGACAAAGCCAGAAGTCCTGAAGGAGTTCAACCCACAGGACCTTACCAATACGACATGGGGATTTTGCAAAGTTGGTTTCATCCACAAAGCTGCAATGGATACTTTGGCGAGGGAATGCTACAACCAGCGCCAGAAGTTTCTGTTTGGTGGTTTCAGTTTTTACCCTCTGGTAAACTAACATAACTATGGAAAATCGCCATTTTTAATGGGACAACTCAATATAAATGGCCATTTTCAATAGCTATGTTAGTTTACCAGAGGGTAGTTCTTGTTGTTTGTCTACCCGGGTAGACACCCTGCCTGGGATGATGTTAAATCCCCAGTGACATCCATCGATCCTAAAAAGGGATCCACCCTGGCATGGATGAGGGGAGACTGGATGAGGAACCTGAGAAACCTCACTTCTTAATGCTTCAACAACCAAGGGCTTTAGCTGCTTTAGCTTCAACATTTGGGTATGGGTCAATACCTATAGATACATTTTTAGGGGGATGAACATCCATTTACCAGCTATTTTGATGTTCACCAGGGGTACAAGGTTTTGACACACTGCCATTTCTTGAAACTTCTTTCAAAAAGCTCCACCAGGTTTGATCCGATCCATTTCTCCAACTTGTTATACTCCTTTGCCACGCTGCGTCTGCCTGGCCCTCCTGGCATCCTCAGCAGCATCGCTGAAAGCGCTGCAGAGCACGTGCATCGTTTCGATGCTGGGAACCTGGCCATTGCATCGTGGGCCCTGGCGATGTTGGGCATGAAGGAGCAGCATTTGCTGGACCTGGCGATAGATCGGGTTGCTGGCTTGGTGGTTTATGATGGTTTATGGATGTTTATATCAGGATGTTTATAGCGGTTTCATATTTAAGTTGATGTTTCAAGATATGTCTTCGCTGCTGGGATGCTGGTTTCACTTCGACATATCTTTTATATTCGATATTTTCCAATATTTTTCACTTCTACCTGGGATGGTCACGATTGACGACATCATATATTTCTGTTTTTTCATTGCCCTCGCCGCTGGCCAGGTATGTTTGCCACAGGTCTGCCCCAATCTGGGTAGTCGCGCCTTGTCCATGATGGCTCTCGCCTGCTTCCGCACGGGACGGCCGCATCGCTTGGATGAGTTGCTGAACGCCACTAGGTTGGTGGGTCTGGGCATTGGCGCCTCAGGCTACTCAGCTGCGGTGATGGCTGCGGAACAAGGGGACGAGGCGGAGAGGGAGATCAGGATCCTTGAAGTCACCTGGATTTGCATAAGGTATCTTTAGGTTATTTTTTATTTCCAATGGGACATTTAAATTCAACATTTTGTTTTTTTGGTAAATTTTCCCAATGGGACGTTGAATTTAACAAATCCATAGGGAACATCAATTTCTTGGAAGCCGCCTCCCAGCAAATCCAAGGTCATGGCTGAAGAATCCGCTGACTGTCGAATGCAAGCTGCAGTGGCCAATTCTTTGGCCATCCGTTTGTGGAAAAGAGGCATGACTCAGCAGGCCTTTGGTGTTTTAAGGGCCTTGAAGGAGTGCCGTCCCCGACGTTGGTCGGTGGTCTCCTCCCTTCTGGTGGCACGCTTGGGAGCTGAATGTGGCGCCCTGCAGGAGGCTTCGGAGATTTTGGACTCCACAGGGGGGTTCGATAGCCAGGAGTGGGAAGCCCCAGTGGTTAGTGGAATTCACCCCATGGCAGCCACGAGGCAAAATGAAGGGTCACACGCTTACACGCGAGAAGCTGGGGTGTGGGTTTAGCGTCTATGTTTGGTTCTCTTTATTTTTCATTTGCCTGTGCTCTTTCTTGAGAATGATCCCAATTTTTTATTCTATTTCCATTTTGGATGATTATCCCCGTACGTAGGCCGATTTTCCGCCAAACTTTGGGATGGTGACTCAGACTGAATCTGATATGTTCCGGACATTTGCGGACTGTTTTCATGCGCCAGGAATTCATGACCCTTCATGCCGTGCTGTGTGGCGCCCCTCCCGGAGATCCCGACGCCTGCATGGCCGCCATCGAGCGCTTCGCCGAGTCGCGCTCACTCTGGCTGAAGATTACGGCGTGGGAGAAAGGAACGGTGGTACAGGAGGTGGCACGATTGACCAAGCCCAGGTGGGGATTGGTCTAAGATCGGATGTTTAGCACTATGGGATCTATGGGGGATGAGGATTGGTTGACTTTGTGGGTGCTTCAGTTGTTTTCAAGATATCCACCCACAAAACCGATCAGAACCGGGGATGATGATGATGATGATGATGATGATGATGATGATGATGCCGATGCCGATGCCGATGCTGATCGCACGTGGACTCCCCACCAACGGAAAGGCGGGACGAACAACATCGAAACACATCATTTTCCACCCCAGCCACCCCAGCTGCTCAGGTTGTCCGTGGAGATCGGGGCCTATGTAGGCTATTCCGCCATGAACGTGGCCCGCACCGTGCGGCACCACGGCGGCAAGGTGGCCAGCCTGGAGGTGGACCCGCTGCACGTGACGCTGGTGCGGAACATGTTGGAGTATGCGGGGCTGTCGGAGGTGGTGGATGTGTGGACCGGCCACTGGGAGCCAATTGGGATTTCATAGCATTTTATATGATTTTATATGTTTTTTATTTTTATTTTAAATCATATTTCATATTGGACCCTATTTTATTTTATCTTTCTATCTATCGATATATATATACATATCATATTTGATTCTTGACGATTTAGACTCTTCGGAATGATTGACGGTAAATAAATAGATCACATAAAAACGCAAGTCGAATCTTTTGGGAACATGCTTTAGAAGTAATCTACTATGGGATCCACTGCTTGGATGGTTTATTAGAGTGGATCCCCCGTCACAGAGGCTACTCCTTCGACAGCATTCCACATTTGCTGAAGAAGTATGGTCCGCGCTCGGTAGACCTGGTCTTCATGGACCAGAAGGCAGGGTTTTGAAATATATTCACCTATAGTTGCTATAGATACATGAAATACACTCCAAGTGTTCAAATGTTTGGTGCCTTCAAACCACCATTGTTCCCATCCATTGTGTGGCCGTTGATGGGGGCCTCATCCTGTCACCCAAACTGGTCCTGCAGGGAACCCGCTTTCACAGCGATCTGGCTTTGATGGAGGAGCTGAATCTGCTGTCCGACCGGGCAGTGATTCTGGCCGACAATGTGCTGAAGCCAGGCGCTCCGCTCTACATTTGGCACTTGGCCAAAGGAAGTTGCTTGGATATTTGTCATTCTATCTGTATCTGTATCCTTCTATCTATCTTTCTGTCTTTCTTTGACCATAAATATATATATATATAAATGATTATAAACACATTCATGCAATTATATATATATATGATTTGCTGAACTGTTTTTCTTTATTTCACCAGTTTCTAGTGGTGATATTCATAGGAATTCGACCAGCCCGCAAAGGGCGACCCCCCATCAATCCTGATTACAATCCTTACCTTACTGTACCAATATTATCCAACATTATCAATAGTGATAATTAGTGATAATGATAATGTTCAAGCAACCCTTATTGAGTGGTCATTGCTCAGCCCAAGCGTTTGAAGCTCTGAGACTGAGGTTACCACCACTGCACGGCCATTTCCGTGCGCGAATTTCTACTGCAGAGCGAGGATTGGATGGTCATGGCCTTCCGGGACGCCTCCAAAGCAGCTGCAGCCACACCGCCGCCTCAGCTACATCGCCTGGCGTTTGAGTCAGATAACTTCAGGAAGAAGTCGATGTTTGATGGGGTCGCACCTAGCAAGCAGGATCCTTGGAGTTGCTATTCGGTAATGTGATTTCTTTGAATTTCCCGGTTCACTCGAAAATAGGACACGCTAGGAACATGAATGGACATCATATGACATCATGCCCATTGAAATTCTTTGGGCTTCAGATCAGCGCAAGGATTGGTGGAAGTTCTCCCAAGGATTCGTAAATGGCTTGGAGCAGTGTGGCTGTAAGCCTGCCATCGTGGGCCTTCATGGCCGGGACAATCCCAAAATCACGCCCGAGGATGTGGCCAGGATATTCCGAAATGCTGGGGTTGACACCAACCCATCATAAGGAAAAAAATTGCCGGCCTCGCGAATCATGAGAGATCTCAGAGCAGGATTTGATGTATTTGCTCTGGATCCGAATGTTGAGACCCCCATAATTCATCTAAATTCCTGAAGAATGGATTAAATTTAATATGAACAACCTTAATTTTTGATAAACAAGAAACAATCAAAAAAAATAAGACATCAACAAAAATGAGCAACCACAGGTTATGATATCTGGTCCTGTGCTCTAGGCAACCGCAGATGGCTTCGGCCTGAAGACTTTCATGTGGGGGGCCACAGGAACTGGCACTCGCATCTCCCGGCTGTGGGACAGATCACTTTCCCCTAGACATTCTACTATACGTATGTCACTATCACTATGATAGTAATATATAGTAATCCTAGTAATGATAGGAATGATAGTAATGAAAGTCATCACTATCACTAACATTCACTTACTATCATTTCTGGTTATCACCATTTCTCACCCTTGATATATGGGGTATTCATTGCGAGGACATTTGAAAAGTGTAGGCCCTGTGGCCCACGAATTTGGATCGTCCGTTGTGATGTGCGACCGTCCATTGCGTTGGATCTGGCGACTGAGTCCGGATGCGATGCTTCCCATGCACCAGATCCCCCAGATCCCCCAGATGCCTGTGTATCTTGCAGCTCCTGCATTCTGCAAAGAGGACACCGGAAACCCATGGGAACTCCGCGTTGCGCCAATGATCATTTTGTGATTGGCACCGAGCAGATCTCGCAACAGGGGGTTACGAGTGGAGTTGAGTGGGAAAGTCTTTTGAATAGAAATGCAGGGATAAGCATAGCGGCCATCAACTTGGCTGGTCAGGACTGGGATTCTGGTACCGAGAGCACGGCGGAAGAGCTGCACGAGGCTGGGTTCTACAGTGGGCTATGACAATCAACATCTGTCCGCCATGTTCCATGAACATCCATGAACACTTTCACGACTTTCATCATCTCAGGGTTACTTTGCCAGATGATCATCATCTCAGCAGTGTTACTCACCTTTTCACAGCGAACATGCGGAGCATCCATCGCATCCACTCTGAGTGACCCCAAGCGCAGGTGGCGGGTATCACACAGCTGTTACTCACCTTTTCACCATCTCAAGGCTACTTAAAGTATCTTAAAGTCACTTAGCCAGATGGCTATGGGTTAAAACCCTGGCACCCTTCTGTTCACATCGTTTCACGTGCATCCTGTTTATATCTGTGTATCCCCCCAATTCAGATAGATCTTGATGAACACCCAAAGATATATTCCCCCCCCAAGGTGCATATGGATCTGAATGACTTGAAATAGTGACCTCGCTGTGACACCACTGGAGTGATGGTTAGGATTCGGGGAATCAGTTAGTTTACCCAGATGGATCATCTGTAGATGATCTTAGTGGCCATTTCAATAACCGATGAAAATTGGAGCTAGCTACCATATAAACACATACACACTGTATAATATATATATATATTAAAGGCATATGATGGCATATTTGTAAAGCGTATGGGAATATCCTCCATCATATGCCTTAATGGTACCTCCCACGAATGGTTCCTCCCATGGGAATATCCTGCCAGGATGCCGAGACGACTTCCAGCCAGGCAGCGACGCACGTCCCGCCGGGTCGGAGGCTTGTTTTGGACCTTGGAATTTTGGACCGTCCTTGAAGGGGCCGGTTTTCCATGGGAATTTCCATGGGAATCCTGGGATGATGATGATCGTCTCAATTTTCTAAGAGTTGTGGAGAGGGCTCTGAAGAGCCACCAGGTCACCAGCAGCATGGCCTGAGGTCTGACGGTCGGTGCTGAGGATGCATGGGCGTTACTACACTCAGGCAGGATGCGACAAGTCCCAACTGTGTGTCCAACTTGCAGCCTGGCCTTTTGTTGTGAGGCCACAAGGGTGAGTACTGGAACGAGGCCGCCGCCATGATACCAGGTGTTGGCATCACCAAAAGGTACCAAACGGCTGTTGCAGTTACTGATTGAACAACAGGGATCAACAGGGATGATTGGAGTTTTGTTGTGCTTGATGAGGGTAGACACTGGCCTTCTGTCAATGTTGCAGGCCATGCCGTATTTGAACCAGTACCCGGAGGTGCAGATGTGGATGCGTGGCATCGCTTCAGGGAATCAATGATTCTTGGCACCGAGGCATACGCCTCCTACATGGGCCTGCTGAACGCTGAAAGTGAAGGCGCAGTTTTTGTCAGTTCTGAAACTGAATCCTTCATGTTGGAACCAGCCGCTGAATGCACCAGAATAGCCGCAAATGATGGCAACTGAGCATTTGGCCCTCATAATGCCATGTTTGCATCCTTTCCGCCAAGGCTTCTCGCACACAGCATTCAGCTTCAAGCTATCATTTTTGATTTTAGCTTTAAACATAGTCTCTTGCCGTCACTGTTGAAAACAGATGGCGATGAGAACGCTGCGATGGATGGTGCTGGGTGGCCTTAGCACAGTCTGGGCGCTACAGCCCAAGGAGTTGGAGGAATGGTTCGCATCCTCCTCGGGCCTCGCCATGTCTCCCAGTGACGCACAGCAGGAAGCCACGCGCAGCTGGAACCCCCTGGCGAAATGTGGCGTGGAGATCAGCACCTTACAGGCCTTGAGGGATGCCCTGCATGACTCAAGCAGCCTGGATTTGTCCTTGGAGGTGATTCGGAAGCAGATCATTGAGCTGGCAGAACAGCACATCAAAGCGGACAAGCTGAAACTTGGATGTATCCGATGTGTTCCATCTCCATTTTGTGTTGGATGCGTTGATCTAATTATCTGCGTTCGCGGGCAGATCACATAGACTTTGAGCCACTGTTAGACTGTTTTCTTGTCACTTTGATACTCTTGCATACTTTTGCGCCAAAAAGCGGCAACTTTACATCTAGGTCTGGTTCCGTAAAAGTAGCATCAATATTTTTCAAATTCTTTCAAAGTGGCATGAATACCACAAAGTGACGTCAATATCCGCAGGATTTCCTACTCCCAGGTCCCAATACATTTCCAGTGACGATGAGAAAGGCACACAGTGGCGACTGAAATGATGGTACGCTATGTTTTCCAGGGCTGTTTAAGACTTTTCTCGACTACTTGATGTTCCCTTCATTTATTTTTGGTGCAAAAAATCCACCTTGAATGGGGAGTATCTACATTTGGAAGAGGTTTTGCAGAAGTTTTCGGCCCCCCCTTGTTTTCCAAATGGTTCACCCGGTCACTATTGGGAATTCTGCCACGCAGATTTCTCAATTTCTATCATAAATGTCCTGTTCTGACCCTAGACTTGGTTTGAGGCTAAACTGGCAGGACACCTCCACTTGTTCCAGGTATTTCACGACTTTCATGGTATTTCCACATTCATTTTCTTCATGGGTTTTTCCAAGTTTCCAGTGGATTTTGCTGGGATTTTCCGATATTTTCATATATCGAAACGTGGTGTGTTCTTTAAGGAAACAGCTCTATGGGGCCCTGTCGGGTGTCTACACCCTGAGCGGCGGCTTGCAGCTGCCGAAGGCCGAGGCCCAGGCCATGACGCACCTCTTGGCGCTGAAACGTGCGGAACCCGATGACCTCAAAGAACTCTACAAGGCCGTCGTGGAGACGTGGAGACGTGGAGATGTCGTGTATTGTCGTGTTATGAATTGTGTTATGTGTGGAATGTATACATATATTATATATAGTTATATATATATATACACATATGATATAGAGTAGCGCCCAAAAAGATTCAGAACAGGTATCATTATGTTTGAGTCTGCGTATTTCTATGCTCCAGTATTTAGGGGTAGTTAATTATTTATAAATTATTTGCCAAAATATGCCAAAATCAGTTTTGGATTCTAAAGGAACGACATTGCCCCCGCAGTGGTTCACAGCCAGCAATGCCAAGATTCCACAGGTTAACAAACCTACCATTGGCCATCATCTATACTGATCGCCAGCCATGTGTCCATATTTCATTTGGAATGTTCTTTTTTTGGGGGTTGCGGGGTAAATTACTATGTATTAGGTATACGTATATATAATATAATATGATATAATATATTGTAATATGAATGATATAATACAATACAACATAACAAAATATAATACTATATAAATACAACAAGCAAACACATACGCACATATATATATATATATAGAGAGAGAGAGATAGATGAATGTACATTTAGATAAGCAGACTAATATAGAGAAGGCAGGACCCCATGGTTGGTGCTTGCAGGGCTTTCGCGTCAGGTGATGTACGGCTACTACGGTTTGGGCTTCGATCGCGCGTTGGCGCAGGCACAGTCCATCCAGCTGGCGGAGGCTGGGGCTGATGCAGCCAGTTATAAGGAGACATTCTCGGCCACGGTGCAGAAGGGTCAGCAGGCACCACGGCGGCTTTTTGGGCTTCGGGGTTTGGAAGATGTTTCAAGAAAGGAATTATCAAGGGCACTGTTTCCAAGCTTCGTATTCTTGTTTTTGTTTTGGGAATCTAAAAGATCTAACAGGAAAACATCCAATGAAAGGGTTCAAGGCGACATGTCCTGAGAAGACATGACCAACGCGATTGCTGAATTGAACGCTCTTGTCCAGGCAGCTTTGATCGAGGCCAGCAAAGTGTCTGTTGCCAAGAACTTAAACGGCTTGGTGCGAAGGTATGCCCTTGATGGAAAAGCCTACACTGCTTCCGAGTTTCAGCAGTCGCCAGGCCTCAACAAATCACAACATATGATACATATGCACACTGACACATGCAGTGCCCTACTGTGACACAAACGTACATTATATAATTGTATATACATAATTACACACAGGTCTTCATCTTTACCAGTTAAGCTACGCACTGGAGTACTATGGTAGATTTGGATGCAAAAGAGGTGCGTAAATCATGATTGAAGCAGCATCTTCCATGTCTAGAATATTCTAGAATATGTTCAGAAGTGCTTCATGTGTACGAACACCTGTCTGTCTTGCGGTTGGTTCCTAATGCCTCACACAGGCTTTCCAAGTTTTTCTGCCGGAGTGGGGTTGCTTCTTTATCAACATTATCAATAATTATTTACTATCAATAAGTATCAATATTTATTTACTATTATTTTCCCATTGATGTTGATCCTTTGCCGGTGGGTGGCATTGCAGCAGAGTGACTAAGCCCTAAGCTTTTCTGCGCGTTAATTGATGGCTCCAACAATCTTTCAGACTCCAAATCACTCATTTTACCCTTGGTGAGTGGATGTGAGTGGTAGATGCTGAGTCCCTGAGATCAGATTTGGGGCACAAATGACCATAGCTTTCAGAGCTTCGACTCTGGAGAGCTGAAAAAATCTCAGCATATCCCAGCTAAACCTTCCGTCATCCGATTCAAATGGTTGGTTGATAGGGGCCCAACATTGGACCAGATTCCTCCCACACTTCCCCATATTTTCAACCAGAGGCCAGAGGGTGACTGTGACCCCATCCGCTGAGGTACTACGGTGAAGGTTGGCTCAGTGCTTGGATCGAGTCCCCAATGGAGAAGCGTCTGTCCACGGATCGCCGCGCCTACACCGCGGACCAGTTCTCCCGGCACTTCGGCCGCTCCTGGGCCTCACTGTACCAAAGTCGACCCGAAGCCACCCAGCTGCGGCTCGCGGAAGATGACCAGGTCTACAAGATGGCGGAGTACCAGAAGTACTATGGGGATCAATGGCATGAGAAGTGGAGTGCCTCACCCGAACTTGCGTGCCAAGAGTGCTCCCCATACACGACGAGAGTCTCGACGTCAGTCGTGGCCGTTTGAAGCAGCGGCACAGCGACCACTTTGGCCGATCAATTCTCACTCGCGACTGAGCCAAGGGGGCTGGTCGTTGGGGTCATTGCTTGGCATGCGAAGGGACCAGCTCTCGCAAGCAAAGCTAGCAAAAGCAGACCCAAGAAAAGCAGTGATGGCAAGAAGGTTTGCAATGCCAAGACATCATTGACCAGGCAAGTGGATGATAGCTAGTGAACCTTGAAGGGTAGGTTCCTGAGTCTTCTCTCATTCTTTCCAAACTGAAAGCATCACATGCTGCAGTCTTGTCAGATCTTGTCAGCCTGGAGGCATGTATGCAGCATCCGTACAGGCGGGGTGAAGCGATTCTCCTGTGCTCAAACTTTGAAACAGAGCCTGGATGTTGGTAAGTTTCCTCTCTTTGTTTCAAACATTTTCCCGGTTTGCATGATGCTCCAACGACTTGTCGGCATGGGGTGTGAATGTTTCTGCATGCGCATGCCCTTTTCTCATCTCCCAACTGTCTATTCTGACAATTTCTGACATATTCTGACCACTTCACCCAAACAATCATCACGAATCTTTGTTCCATGCAGCTTTGGCTCTTGTCTTGAACAGTTCCATGTTCTCAGGCTGTTGTGCCATGGCGGAAGCCGAAGCGCCCGAGGCTTCCCCGGAGGCTTCCCCGGAGGCTTCCCCGGCAACGGTGACGCTCGAGGCCGTGAAGTTGGGCGGCGAAGGCGTTTGGGGCCCCGAAGCCGTCCCCAGCGATCTGAGCTGCGACGAGCTGCGTCGCCTCGTGGCCAAGGCCTTGCAGCTGCGCTGGCGCGCCGTGCAGCTGGCATTCAAAGAGCAGGCCTTGGAGGGGCCGGAGAAGTTGGAGAAGAAGGGCTTGGTGGAAGGAAACTATGAACTTCAGGTGGTTTTACAGGACAGATCCGCGGAGATTCGAACAATTCAAAAGGCCATTACAAGTTGCGCGAAAAAAGGGAACGTTACTTTGACTGAGGGCCTGTCTGATGATGAGGTGGTGGCTTTGGAGAAGAGGTATGGCTTCACATTTCCCCCTGAGTTCCTGGAGTTTCTGCAGGCTGGCGTCCTTGTGGGTGGAGGGTGGCATGATTGGCACACCTTGGCCTCGGGATCGATTTTAGCTGGCAGCGAAATGGACTCGGTCGCCTCTCAAATCCGATGGCACTGCACTCCAGAAGAGGCTGATTACTGGAGCGAGGGTGAGTAGCTAGTTCATGCTTTGATTTTCTGTGCTTTCCTTTATTTATTTATAGTTGTATATGATATAGTTATTTTATGTTATTTTTAAATCTATTTTATAGTGTGTATGAGTTTCAGGCTTTGGGAAAAAAAGGTCCCTACCTGAAAGGATTAAAGTGATTAATATGATGTTACTTTTCACTTGTTTCGGGATTTTCGGGGAGCCACGAAGAAAAGACAACTCATTCACTGAGGTGGGCTCCTCCAGAAGAAAAGACGGTGGAAAAAGCCGTTGAGTTGGCCACCAAGACCTATCCACTAATTCCCATGCTTAGCCACCGCTGCACCGTGACCGTGCCACATGGCTATGGCCTACCGGTGATTTCTATGCACCAGTGCTCAGATAACATCCCGTATGGCAAGAACTTCTGGGATTGGGTGGCCAAGGATGCTAACCTCCCAGAGGGCACCGTGCCCACGGAATGGATCGAAGTCCCCTCGGTGCCCTGGGAGGAAGTGCCCTTTTGGCGCTATTGGAACGGATGACTGGAATGAAAGTCATGACTCGGCCATCTTGAAGAATCTTGAAGATCTTGAAAACAGACATGCGCTGACATGCACATCACGTATGATTATGCACCGAACTGATACCGTGGGGCGTTTCGCAGCACTGTCCAAGCCAGTCGCTGTCAATGTCTTGCAAACCCCGGTCGGCGCGCTTTGAAAACTGAAGATTTCTCACTCAGTCTTTGATAATGCCGACCCTGGATTAACACACCCCGTTTGATTGACCAAAGAGTGTTTCCGTGCCCCAAAAAGTGATTTCAGCAGGTCCCATTAAAGTAGCCCAGGGCGCCCCCTCCCACCCCTTGGTGTAGCTGATGGCATCACAGGCTGCTCATGTCGGTAGTCATCCTCAGAAGCCCCAGTCTCAGATTTTCAATGTTTCTTCGGAACAAAAAAGATCAAAAAAGGCTTCAACTGACACGTTTGCTACACAAGAGGTCCCAAATGGTCCCCCAAAAAAATCAAAATACTCAAAAGCTTGAAGTTTGCGGTCACCGAGGGGGATGCAGGACCTTGAAAATCTCGTTCCTGGGCTTGAAACTAGCTTGAAGCTTGAAGCTATGTGGATTCATGATGATTCATGTGGGTGTATCTGAACAAGGAGTGTACGGTATAACTGCACCCCCAATTTACTCGTACAATTTTGATCGGGAAAATATGGAAAATGAGGATTAACCGGCACATGTAGGGGTTTCCCATAATTTTCAGACATATGTTTTCATATTTTCATATATTTTCGACATGTGCCGACTTGTGCCGGACATATATCAGATGTGTATGACTCTCATATGATGTTCAAGTAGGTCTCCTATTTGCTAGTTGACTTGTCGTCACACAGTCACACCGCCATATGCCCATGACTTTGCGCGCACACACACACACACGACGGACCTCACAGCCACAACATGCCACAACATGCCACAACATAGATACAGAATGATACAGATACATTCTCAATTAGAAATATTTGCAGATGTATTTGGTAATAAGTAGTGGTCACTAACCACAACTGTGGTTCCACGTGCGTAGCTACATTATCCTACTTTTACATATGCTATTCTAATCTATTCTACTGAGTGCGTGCACACGCGCACACACACAGACACACACACACATTAGTGTTACACACTTGGATCCTCACGGACACATATACAAACAATAATCACAAATACGATATCTATCATTACCTATCATTACCTATCATTACCTATCATTACCTATCATTACCTATCATTACCTATCATTAGCTATCTAGCTATCTATCTGTCTATCTGTCTATCTGTCTATCTGTCTATCTGTCTATCTGTCTATCTGTCTATCTATCTATCTGTCTATCTATCTGTCTATCTGTCTATCTGTCTATCTATCTATCTATCTGTCTATCTATCTATCTGTCTATCTGTCTATCTATCTATCTATCTATATCTATCTATCTCTATCTATCTCTATCTATCTATCTATCTATCTATCTCTATCTATCTATCTATCTATCTCTATCTCTATCTATCTATCGCTATCTATCTCTATCTATCTCTATCTATCTCTATCAATCTCTATCTATCTCTATCTATCTCTATCTATCTCTATCTATCTCTATCTATCTCTATCTATCTCTATCTATCTCTATCTATCTATCCATCCATCTATCTACCTATCTATCTTATCTTATCTTATCTTATCTAATCTTATCTTATCTTATCTATCTATCTATCTATCTATCTATCTATCTATCTATCTATCTATCTATCTATCTATCTATCTCACATATTTTATTGCAGAACGATCTTTTCCAGATTCATAAAGGCAATTAAATTTAAGTACATGTTTGTTTTTTGTGTTTGATATCCATTCATATCCCAAAGACCTCGCAGGTGACCAGCAGCTTGCTGTCCCATTTGGGAGTTGACGTGTCTCCCAGCGAGCCAGCCCCAGCTTCTCTCTGGGATCCGCAGCGACAAAAAAGTGGGTGCCATGGTGGAAAAATCATGGACCAACCAATGGGAACATGATGGTCCCATGGAAGATCTTCAGGATCCAACAGATGGAGGTACGTTAGTACCATATAAGGCCATATTTTGGGGTGTATATTCTCTTACATAGGCCTGAAAAATAGGCCTTATATGTGGTAGATACCTCCAATTTAGGATCCTGAAATTCCCATTGATGATGGAACATGTGGACAATTCTGGAACAATGTGGCAAAATGATGGGAACATGTGGATGAGAGAAGGATGAAAAAATGATGAATGGTGGGCTTTCCAGATCTAAATTTACGGTATGATGCAGTATATATATAATTATACATATTATAGAGTATGTTCATTTACTGGAGGGTAATTATATGTTAAAATCAAGAACGACCTTTTTCACACCTTGAAAACCCATGGGCAGCATGATGGAATATGATGGACAGGGGAAGTTTGAAGAAGCGCCATACCATAGCTGACAGCAGTTTTCCTGTTCAGGTGACCGTTGACGTGCTCTGATTTGCTGACAGCAGTTTGTTGAGATTGAGAGTGTTTTGACGCAAGCATGTGTCTCAAAGAGGTTGGGGAGATAACTGAGACGGAATGGAAGAGATGGAGATGGAATGATGATGTTTTTGGATGTTTTTGGATGGTAGGCACTGAAAGGCAAGAGCATGAAGGTTTCACAATTTCATGCAATCCTCAACCTCTTAGTGGCCCACGTCGGCACAAATTTTGGGAACCTGCAGCGTCACCGTAAGACGGAGCATCAGGCAACCAGTGTCAGGCAAGGTTCTGTGATTGGAGCCTTCATGTTTTCCATAATTTTGGACATGCATCATTTTCCATGGTGCAAGCCTGGTGCTTGGTGACGCAGCAGGTCAAGGTCACTGTTTTCAACTGACAGTGTGCCTAACTTCAGTGGGCCTCGATTTCTTGTTTCGATCGATTTAAACTGCGCGGATTGTTTAAATCAGGGCAGTTCCTGATGACACCGCAGCACAACGCGACGCCGCGACGGAGAAGGCAGGTGAGCGCAGGCCGAGCATGAAACACCGGATCGGGGCACAGAGTTTTTTTTCATGGACATAACTGACATAACTGACATCACAAACATCAACTGACCAAATGAATGCATGGTTTCAGGATGTTTCAGGGCAAATCAGAGATGCGAGGGTGATTCCATGGAGCTCGTTCTTTGCAGCTCTACAATCCTGCGGTGCCTCCAAATTCCCAGTGGTGAACGGAAGACATGTGGGGTTTGGGCGTCTCGAGATGTGCCCGGTAAGCCTTATTTTAAGCCAGGAAGATAAGCCTGAAACCGGATCGTGCCGGGTTTTTTTCCGTGAATTTCACACTGGGATTGCTAATCTGCCCACCTTGTCTCTTGTCGGCAGAGCTCTAAGAGTGGCCAACTGCTGGCACAGACAGGTCATCAGATTTGCACAGACTGGATATCTCCGAACCTGTTCTGTATGCATTCTGCATGCTGTTCTCCGAAGAGTCCGTACTCCCCCGTGGATCTCGACACCTCCAGTCGCTTAGTCCTAGATGTTCTATGATGTTCTAAAGCTTCAGACCGGAATTCCTGTGGCCTTTCGATGTTCCTTTTTTGATCGTGTCAGTGTCAGATGTGTCAGTCGCCAGGGGTCGAGGTCAGAGCTGGTGAAGCAACCAGTCCCCAATATGCCTTGCATGTGGCATCGTTAAATTCAGTCTCGAAGAGGACTTGTGCACGTGGCGTTTCCAATGCTTGTGGGGCCAGGCCTTTCAATTGCCAATAAGTCCCTCCAGGAATGGCAAATTAGCCATGCTAGCGGTGTTCACGTGCCGAAGGATCCCGTTCGGAACCGTTCCGCGTGGGGTCAAATCTTCACTGGTTTTAGACGTGGTGTTGTAAGGTTCGGGACGTTCTGCACACGACACCACCTGGAATCATTTTGTTCGATTACCCACGGACAGCCGCATTTGGGGTGTGCAGAAAAATGCCTGAGTCAGCATGTCACACACTGTTGATTTTTGGAAGTGAACTGCAATGACGATGTGGTTGTACATGCCTGGTAGAATCCTGAGTCCATCATCCTTGATAAACAGGTGAAACCAGGTCCAAATCATTAATCGGCAAGGTGGTTCTTGGGTTAGCCACATCCCATCGCGGAAATGGAAAGACATGATTAGGCAGGTACGTCGATCCAGCGTCCCGGATCGATATCACAGAATGTCATAGCCGTCTTCGTTGGCTGCAGAACTATGACATTCCCTGCAGCCCCCTGCTGTTAAGTAGTCTTTGGCGCATGAATTCGGAAAACATAACATGCATAGTCTTTGGCTCATGAATTCGGAAAACATAACGTGCATAGTCATCAAATGTCCAGTTGTAGTTTTCTGCATGTGAATAGCAGTGTACACACACACAAAGGCCTTCACATGGAAGGCAAATTCTGAAAGACTGCCTAATGAAGCAAGCAGATCACGTCAATATAAGTAACGTTGAACTCATTCGAAAATGAAATTCATGCTTGGGATTAGGTGTATACGCACCTGCATCTTCATGGACAGGTCTTTCCAAAGAAGGCACTCTGAGGTAGCGGCGTGTAGAGCAAGTAGACCACGTAGATCAAAGAAATCGCGATAAATAAAGTCGAAATGGAAAGGACATGGTTAGATTAAAAGGTGTTAATTGTTATTGGCGAAATGATTGAATATGATGCAATCCAAAGTTTGTATTAGCGAAATAATTGAATATGATGCAATCCAAAGTTATCGTGCCCTTGTCCCTCACGAACATCAATTGTTTGTTGCAGATTGCGCAACACTTTGCGTGTGGAGAGCGGTATACACATATATACATATGTCTTCATAAGGAAGGTGACACTTCTGGGTTGCCGACGCGTGGAACAAATAGAGCAAGGACAGTATGACTTTGGAGTGTTAAAAAGTGAAGAGAACTGCACTTCAATTGAAACATGGATACCACGAAATGAAATGGACACAAATCGATTGTATTCTTGTTCTTCCACAAATCCGTTTAAAATGAACGTTTATTAGTTGTCTATGGACGAAGGGCAGAATTCGCCAAAAACTGAGATTCCGACGCGTAGAACACGTAGGTCAGGTGGTTGAGATAGAACGCAGTGATGAAAAACAGTAAATGGATTGATTAAATCACAGTTATATAACACTTAAGCCAGTGTGTTGCAGTACCGTGAACCATATAGAGTAGAACAACGGACGTAAACTAAGCTGGAGAACTGAATATAATCAATTACGGAAAAACAAATATCACACTGCGAGCCAGGCGTTTTGGGTGGGATGTTGCAGAAAAACGTTTGAACAGTTGCAACAGTTGCAAAGTTGCAATTGGAATGAAAAGCACAAAACCAAAATGCAGCTACAACGGCTTCTTTTCAGTCAAACGGTGTCAATTGTTGTCTGGTCCATTTGTGTCCAAAACTGCGGGCAATCGAAATGATCTGAGGAATGCATTCGCGGTATCTAGGTTTCTGAAGGGTATGAAGGGCGAGCAGGTCTTGAACTTGAGGAAGTTGAAGTTCACGAGGAAAAGTATTTTGTAAAATTAGACGTGTTCGAGCAATGAGACCTGTATACATGGAGCTTCTAGGTCCAAAACCAGCGGAAGTGCGTATCACTGTGTCCCAAGGCAATACCGATGTAATGGTACGTTGATGTGGATTGATGTTGAATCCAAGTGCATCAAAACCCTGTACTTCTTCCAAAAGAATGGGCGAGGTGTAGAAGTCTAAATTCCAAAAGCAAGTTTGTCGAAGGCGATCAGTGAGTTGTTGTGGACCCAAAAGCAGACGGTTGTCAACATAACGAAAGGAACTAAAAAGTTTTTCAGAAAAAATGGCTTGTCCAAAAAGCATGCTGTAGGTGTGCTCTCGATGTAGGGCAACTAGTGAACATACAACTGGGGCCCACTGTGAGCCCATAGATGCGCCTTGTATCTGTCGGTAGCTAACACATCCCAGTGAAAATAAGCTATGGCGAAGGAGGTACTTCACAAGACTATGGTCTCAATTATTGGATTGGTTTGAAGTGTTCGCTCAGTAGAAAACCTCGAAAACATGAATCAAGATCGTACACACATCTGCAGCGATAAGGTCCCTACCGTGTTTGACATTCTGCTTGGTTCGAGCATCACAAACTATGTGTGTCCGCACACTTTTGTGATAGGTCTTCCTATATTCTAGATCTCTTCAAATTGATCTCTTGTCCTCACAATTGTAAATTGATTTGAAAGAGAAGGTGAAAACTCATAAAATGACAGTAAGAAGTAGGGTTCCCGGCCAATAAAATCCTTCGGCACATGGCCACCTTCGCCCTATGGGCACCATTCGCCCGTTGGGCACCCCCTTCACATGGAAGGCAAATTCTGAAAGACTGCGTGTAGAGCAAGTAGACCACGTAGATCAAAGAAATCGCGATAAATAAAGTCGAAATGGAAAGGACATGGTTAGATTAAAGGGTGTTAATTGTTATTGGCGAAATGATTGAATATGATGCAATCCAAAGTTTGTATTAGCGAAATAATTGAATATGATGCAATCCAAAGTTATCGTGCCCTTGTCCCTCACGAACATCAATTGTTTGTTGCAGATTGCGCAACACTTTGCGTGTGGAGAGCGGTATACACATATATACATATGTCTTCATAAGGAAGGTGACACTTCTGGGTTGCCGACGCGTGGAACAAATAGAGCAAGGACAGTATGACTTTGGAGTGTTAAAAAGTGAAGAGAACTGCACTTCAATTGAAACATGGATACCACGAAATGAAATGGACACAAATCGATTGTATTCTTGTTCTTCCACAAATCCGTTTAAAATGAACGTTTATTAGTTGTCTATGGACGAAGGGCAGAATTCGCCAAAAACTGAGATTCCGACGCGTAGAACACGTAGGTCAGGTGGTTGAGATAGAACACAGTGATGAAAAACAGTAAATGGATTGATTAAATCACAGTTATATAACACTTAAGCCAGTGTGTTGCAGTACCGTGAACCATATAGAGTAGAACAACGGACGTAAACTAAGCTGGAGAACTGAATATAATCAATTACGAAAAAACAAATATCACACTGCGAGCCAGGCGTTTTTTGTTGGGATGTTGCAGAAAAACGTTTGAACAGTTGCAACAGTTGCAAAGTTGCAATTGGAATGAAAAGCACAAAACCAAAATGCAGCTACAACGGCTTCTTTTCAGTCAAACGGTGTCAATTGTTGTCTGGTCCATTTGTGTCCGAAACTGCGGGCCATCGAAATGATCTGAGGAATGCATTCGCGGTATCTAGGTTCCTGAAGGGTATGAAGGGCGAGCAGGTCTTGAACTTGAGGAAGTTGAAGTTCACGAGGAAAAGTATTTTGTAAAATTAGACGTGTTCGAGCAATGAGACCTGTATACATGGAGCTTCTAGGTCCAAAACCAGCGGAAGTGCGTATCACTGTGTCCCAAGGCAATACCGATGTAATGGTACGTTGATGTGGATTGATGTTGAATCCAAGTGCATCAAAACCCTGTACTTCTTCCAAAAGAATGGGCGAGGTGTAGAAGTCTAAATTCCAAAAGCAAGTTTGTCGAAGGCGATCAGTGAGTTGTTGTGGACCCAAAAGCAGACGGTTGTCAACATAACGAAAGGAACTAAAAAGTTTTTCAGAAAAAATGGCTTGTCCAAAAAGCATGCTGTAGGTGTGCTCTCGATGTAGGGCAACTAGTGAACATACAACTGGGGCCCACTGTGAGCCCATAGATGCGCCTTGTATCTGTCGGTAGCTAACACATCCCAGTGAAAATAAGCTATGGCGAAGGAGGTACTTCACAAGACTATGGTCTCAATTATTGGATTGGTTTGAAGTGTTCGCTCAGTAGAAAACCTCGAACACATGAATCAAGATCATACACACATCTGCAGCGATAAGGTCCCTACCATGTTTGACTTTCTGCTTGGTTCGAGCATCACAAACTATGTGTGTCCGCACACTTTTGTGATAGGTCTTCCTATATTCTAGATCTTCAAATTGATCTCTTGTCCTCACAATTGTAAATTGATTTGAAAGAGAAGGTGAAAACTCATAAAATGACAGTAAGAAGTAGGGTTCCCGGCCAATAAAATCCTTCGGCACATGGCCACCTTCGCCCTATGGGCACCATTCGCCCGTTGGGCACTCCTTCGGCTTATGCCACCCTTCAATTGTCCTTGACCCCCCTTCGGCTATTGCCATCACTTCTAGCAGCCCCTATGGCTACTCGCTCAACTTCTGCCTCCGTAGAGGGCGGATTCGGCACACTATGCCAAGATTGTTCTTCCCCATTAGGGATGATGAGGTCATGGTCTGTATAGGACACATGACTAATGCACACTGTTGATTTTTGGAAGTGAACTGCAATGACGAGGTGGTTGTACATGCCTGGTAGAATTTTGAGTCCATCATCCTTGATAAACAGGTGAAACCAGGTCCAAATCATTAATCGGCAAGGTGGTTCTTGGGTTAGCCACATCCCATCGCGGAAATGGAAAGACATGATTAGGCAGGTACGTCGATCCAGCGTCCCGGATCGATATCACAGAATGTCATAGCCGTCTTCGTTGGCTGCAGAACTATGACATTCCCTGCAGCCCCCTGCTGTTAAGTAGTCTTTGGCGCATGAATTCGGAAAACATAACATGCATAGTCTTTGGCTCATGAATTCGGAAAACATAACGTGCATAGTCATCAAATGTCCAGTTGTAGTTTTCTGCATGTGAATAGCAGTGTACACACACACACACAGTTCTGAAGACATTCGTCAAATTTGCTGTTCGACATGCTGATTTTGATGCCCTGCGTCATCGATGTGCTTTATGATTGCAGTCATTGGGCTCGTGTAGCGGGCGTAGCGGAGACACCTAGATGCTCCATTCTTTGGGTGCCGCCCTCAGAAAACACGGGTCCTGCCAAACACTGCAGCAACATACAAAAGTCGAACTTAATTAACGAATTGACAGACTTGAGCTTGAAGATTCTTCAAACAAATGCACCACATTTACGCATGACATCGCATGATTTTTCTGGCTCAACCTGCACAACTAGGGGCTCTTTATCTTTGGGTCAGCATGTCTGGTGTCCTTTTACCCATCCGGCTCTGTTCTCCCACAGTCCAAGAGTTGAAGCATCGGCGTGTCGTGGGACAAGCACTGGAAGTTGACAGCGACAGCGACACTTCGGAGTCCAGTGACGATTCGGCCGCGAACGAGTACGCGGAAGGCTTGGGATTCGCAGATCGCAGGAGGGAAGCAGTCAGCAACTTTGAATTTGATCATCATCCAAGGGAGGAATACTTTGAAGAGCCCTGGCTTTGCCATGCTTTGCCTTTGCTGCTGGTCAATTTCTCTCAATTTCTCAGTTTTCACCATTTTTCACCATTTTTTTTGGGGGGTAATCTGCTATTTTAGTGCTAGTTTGGGGAATCCACTGAGAAGATGCCTCTGATCACTGCTTTTTTCAAGGAGCCAAAGTCGTGGGACGGTGATGTTGGCAGATGCTCAATGCAGCCGGTGAGGGATTCGAAGCGTCCCATGTCATCTGTTTTGCGAGATTTGGAGGCAGCGGATTCTCCTTGAAACCCTTTGCCCCAAAAAATACCGCACAGGGGGTAACATAAGTATACATCTGGGTAATTTATAACGACCTCACTGCGACCTCACTGGAATCATGGTTAGTAAGGGGAATCATCCCCAAATGGCCTTAATTCAGGTTAGTGAAATATTATAATTTACCCAGATACATAAGTAACCCCCAGAAAGATAGAATAGAACAGTCATTTAGAATCATTTACAATCATTTACAAGAATTTTAATCAGTTTTATAGGATTTTATCTTTATTTTGCGGGGGGTGCTATGCATCAAATATGTCCTGTCGAAAAGTGAAATGACTAAGATGCAGCGGGGAACGCTGGAAGCTATAAAACTCACTGCTGTACCATCTGCTATGCCTACATTGGCATACTGTGTCTACAACTAGCATTACGGACTATGTAAAGTAGCTCACTATCTAGCCAACCAAAAAATGTTCTCAATGTAACATCATTTTGACAAACCACCACGCTATCTAAGCAATCACCAGCGTCACCAGCCGACATTCAGCCGACATTCAGCCGACTTCCTGACCTTTACCAGCTCCGGTACTGAACATGAATGGAGAAAAGAGAATCCATGAGGTCCATGAAGGAAGTGGAGGATATTGGACGATAGATTTTTTCACTTTTATGCTCGAATCCAAAAACAATACGCCAGCATAGACCCCAGATAAGAACATCTGTTTTTGGTGGCTACCAAGCCCTCGCCTTTTTTTTTTTGCTACGGCATCAATGTCATCTCCATCAGGGCCCAACGTCCAAACTGCCATAGACATCCCGCAGCCACCCCCTGCAGCAACACCAGCACTTTGACAGCAGCACCCTGAAGAAGCATTCTGCAGCGGCACCCTGCAGCGGTACCAACATGCCCGCATATGCCCGCTTCAAAACGCACATATCCAATTCATCCTATACTTGAAGTAAGAACCCTAATGAAATAAGAACATGTAAGAACATGTAAGAACCGTAATAGCTTCGCTATCTTGGGAACAATATGAAACATTATGAAACAACTCTGTGCGTCAAGCTTCCAGCGGCTTGTAATTTGGAATTCATGATGCAACACGCCGCAGTAAGTTGTCATTGTCATCAGTGGTTTACCTGCCTTCGCTGTTCCCAGGGGAGTTGGCATCGGGATCGGGGTGGAGCGCCAAAAGCCGTCTCACACACACAGACACACAACTTACAGTAGTGTGCCATCACGGCGCATCGTACATGGCTATGGATGAACACCCTACGTGTGATGAATCTCCATTTACAGGTGCCAGCTAATTTCATGTTCACCAGATGTTGGCCCATAGCTACATCATGGCATATCATGGCATATCATGGCACATCATGGCACATCATGATTGGCACGAAATGCAGCATTGGCCCACTTTTTATTTTGGCCTCCATCGACATGAGCAGGCACAAGAAGAGCGGGAACTGAAACGTGCACGGCAAAGTTCGCGTGGGCAAGCTGCGCAAGGACTGGAGTCAGAGTAACATGTGGGCCCTGCGAAGCCATCAGTTGTGTTGTGGGAAACTTCCCAAGAAGCCAGATGTTTTTACCATCAAATCTTAGTCACTGTTAGTGTCATGCAAAATTCCCATCAAACCGGCAGACTTGATGTGACAGGAGCCATGCCGCAGATGCAGACCTCGAGCCGAGGCATGTAACATGCAGCTTTCATCTCGACCTGGTTGTTGCATGTTGTTGCTATGTTGCTGTCACCGTTCCTGCAGTTCAAGCGGGCCAATAATTTCCGAGGGTGATCAATGCAGGATCCCAAGTCAGTATTTCCAGAAATTTGCCTCCAATATCCAATTGGATTGGCATGATCAACGTCCTAAATTCATCTAAATTTTACATAAATTTTACTTCCCGCAGTTCCCACGTATTCCCTTCCAGGCAACCAACACTCCCTGGCCGAACTTCGGGCCTATGGAGCCTGCTTGGCCCTTCTTCGACAACGTTTTCATCGGGAGGGGCTCAAGGAAGCTTGGGAGCTGGAAGCCTTGCGGGTGCTGAAGGCCCTGCGTAGCTTCAAGATTGGGGTTTTAGAGCTCCAGTCCACCGGCCTTGGAAGCTGGTCATGCAGGGGTCAAGAACTGATACTGGACATTTATGGATGAGTAGTGGATGATGAGTATACCCGAGGGTAAACTAATAATATAGATGTGAAAAAAAAACAATGTTTTCCCTACCTAGGACCTAGGAGAATTATTTACAACTGGTGGTTTTCCACATCTAATTAAGTTAGCTTGCAGGAGTGTAATTGTATAATTCCGGTGTGTATAATATATATATATATATATATAGTGGGTTATTTATTGACAATGAAGGGATGAAGAGCCACAACTGCAAACACACGCAAACCCATACGACAACTACTACTACTGTATTTGTTTTTCTCAAAGCCGGGTGGCATTGTTGGAGCAATTGTCCAAGGACGAGAGATGTCGAAATCAGTTTGGCAAAAGAATCGAAACTTGGCAGAATCAAGTGGCAGTTGCTCTGTCCTTTGGTCCGAGTACCGTTCGTACCATTCATGTATCATTCATGTATCATTATGTATCATTAATGTATCACTCATGTATGTTTCAATATATTTCATTAATTAAAAATCAACAGTTTCTCATTTGACTCATTTGTCTTCTGTCTTCTAGGGCTCTAGGGATGCTTTTGGCTCTGAATTGATCTAAGGATCCCGGGAAGTTTCAAGGCAGGGCAACTTTAGATCCACCTGTACCTGCTCAGCCACGATTCGTCTGTGTCTCAGCCACGTTGCAGGTTGGGCCGACGTCTCTTAAGAGATTGGCGGCGGAGTGCGGGCCTCCCGGGCCTGCGGTGCAGTGCGAATCCTGCGAATAGTGATCTTAGTATTTCATCAGTGCCAGGGGTCGGGCAAGAAACCTCTTGAATTCAAGGCTCTTGACCCATAGGCTGAGACTAGATACCACTAGAGGGTGCTTGATCAGGGCGCCAGCCCTTGCATGCCATTAAGGGCAATGTGAGGCTAACAACTGGGCTCTTCAGTAGCTGTTGCTAATTCACAGCCTGCTTCTGGGCCACTTGTGAGCCCAGACGGTTCCAGGAGAGTCCGTGCTGTGCAACTTAGATCAAGGTAGAACATGAGTTGCCCTCTGCAGTGTGTACAGCCGCCGGAGGCGCACGCGGGGAAGCAAAGGGGATGGCTGCCAGTTTCTGCTTGGAGGGTTGAAAGTTAACAACAATGGAACGACACACGGCCGTGGATCTCAGTTGCCGTGTTTGGATGGGCTTGCAAGGTTTCTGGGACCTGATGCAATCGGTATTGGATGATTGCATATATCACATATATAATCGGTGCGTATTTTTTGACCATCAACAGGGAACCACAATAGACGTTCCATGAGGCTTCCTCTAGGATGCGCTGTCCTTGCTGGATTCCCATCGCCCTTGCCCGGAAGCTCAGTGGAACTGCTTCAGCAACGCTAAAAAAGCAGATAGAAACATTGGACACCTGCAGAACCTGGAAATTGTGAGCTGACATTATGATCAAAGGAAGTTTAGGGGGAGAAACTTCCGTGTTACGGACTTTTAGAATGTCAGGGAAAGAGTTAGTCAAAGAAAGAGTTAGCAAAGAAAGAGTTAGTCAAAGAAAGAGTTAGTCAAAGAAAAGCTTAAGAAAAAGTTAAGAAAAGAGTTAGCAAAGAAAAGGAGTAGCCAACAGAAAGAGTTATCAAAGAAAGAGTTATCAAAGGAAAAGAGTTCGTCAACGAAAGAGCAGTCAAATGAGGAAAAACAGTTAGTCAGGGAAAGAGTAGTCAAAGGAAAGGAGTTAGCAAAAGGAAAAAGAGTTCGTCAGAAAGGAATGTTAGTGGAGGGGAAGAGTGGAACGAGTAGTCAAAAGAAAGAGTTAGAAAGAGTTAGCAAAGAAAGAGTTAGTCAAAGAAAGAGTCAGTCAAAGAAACAGTTAGTCAGGGAAAGAGTTAGTCAAAGAAAGAGTTAGTGAGGGAAAGAGTTAGTCAAAGAAAGAGTTAGCAAAGAAAAAGAGTTAGTCAAAGAAAGAGTTAGCAAAGAAAAAGAGTTAGTCAAAGAAAGAGTTAGTGAGGAAAAGAGTTAGTCAAAGAAAGAGTTAGCAAAGAAAAAGAGTTAGTCAAAGAAAGAGTTAGCAAAGAAAGAGTTAGCAAAGAAAAAGAGTTAGTCAAAGAAAGAGTTAGCAAAGAAAAAGAGTTAGTCAAAGAAAGAGTTAGTGAGGGAAAGAGTTAGTCAAAGAAAGAGTTAGCAAAGAAAAAGAGTTAGTCAAAGAAAGAGTTAGCAAAGAAAGAGTTAGTCAAAGAAAGAGTTAGCAAAGAAAAAGAGTTAGTCAAAGAAAGAGTTAGTGAGGGAAAGAGTTAGTCAAAGAAAGAGTTAGCAAAGAAAAAGAGTTAGTCAAAGAAAGAGTTAGCAAAGAAAAAGAGTTAGTCAAAGAAAGAGTTAGTGAGGGGAAGAGTTAGTCAAAGAAAGAGTTAGTCAGGATATATGAGGTAGTGAAAGAAAGAGTTAGCAAAGAAACAAGTTAGCCAAAGAAAGAGTTAGTGAGGAAAAGAGTTAGTCACAGAAAGAGTTAGCAAAGAAATTGTTCCCTCACTGTAAATGGGATTGCAAGTGGTGGAGGAGTTGCCGATGGAGTTGTGGAGGAAGTCTCGCACGAAATGCGTTTTTGAGAGATAGCAGATGCACGAAACCCTATGTTTTTCCATACAAAGTTCGTCCCCGAACCTCGATGATCTACCTCTGCGGTGCGACGGGTGCGAGACGGTCTCGTGTGTGGTCGGATCATGGGCGGATCATGTTCGGATCGGTTCCGCATTGTAAATGGGGGTTTCACCTGTGTTTCGTGCATGTGCGGTCGACAGAATTCCATTGTGATTTGCAACTGTAGGATCGTTCCCGCAATGTAAATGGGATTGCAAGTTGTGCTGGTGGATGAGTTGCCGATGGAATTCCATTGTGATTTGCAACTCTAGGATCGTTCCCTCACTGCAAATGGGATTGCATGCAAGTGGTGCTGGTGGAGGAGTTGCCGATGGAGTTTTGGAGGAAGTCTCGCACGAAATGCGTTTTTGAGAGATAGGAGATGCACGAAACCCTATGTTTTTCCCATACAAAGTCCGTCCCCGAACCTCGATGATCTACCTCTGCGGTGCGACGGTTGCGAGACGGTCTCGTGTGTGGTCGGATCATGCTCGGATCATGGGCGGATCATTCTCGGATCGGTTCCGCATTGTAAATGGGGTGTCACCTGTTTTTCGTGCATGTGCGGTCGACGGAATTCCATTGTGATTTGCAACTGTAGGATCGTTCCCGCATTGTAAATGGGGTTGCAAGTGGTGCTGGTGGATGAGTTGCTGATAGAATTCCATTGTGATTTGCAACTCTAGGATCGTTCCCTCACTGTAAATGGGATTGCAAGTGGTGCTGGTGGAGGAGTTGCCGATAGAGTTTTGGAGGAAGTCTCGCACGAAATGCGTTTTTGAGAGATAGCAGATGCACGAAACCCTATGTTTTTCCATACAAAGTCCGTCCCCGAACCTCGATGATCTACCTCTGCGGTGCGACGGTTGCGAGACGGTCTCGTGTGTGGTCGGATCATGCTCGGATCATGGGCGGATCATGCTCGGATTGGTTCCGCATTGTAAATGGGGTGTCACCTGTTTTTCGTGCATGTGCGGTCGACAGAATTCCATTGTGATTTGCAACTGTAGGATCGTTCCCGCATTGTAAATGGGGTTGCAAGTGGTGGTGCTGGTGGATGAGTTGCTGATGGAATTCCATTGTGATTTGCAACTCTAGGATCGTTCCCTCACTGTAAATGGGATTGCAAGTGGTGCTGGTGGAGGAGTTGCAGATGGAATTCCATTGTGATTTGCAACTCTAGGATCGTTCCCGCAATGTAAATGGGATTGCAAGTGTTGCTGGTGGATGAGTTGCCGATGGAATTCCATTGTGCTTTGCAACTGTAGGATCGTTCCCGCAGTGTAAATGGCTGTGTCCAGGTTGCTTCTTTCTGTGGCTGCATTGGGAATACTATTGTCTTTTGGAGCTGGACTTCGTAAATCGTATTGGAGTGGCTGCATGAAGGCTGCGACAGCGACTTGTCAGCAGATTTTCTCCATTTTGGCGCTAGTGATTTGCCTTCTAAAAATCCTTTTAAAAAGTGCTTCAAAATCGTCTTTTTTTCGCTCTGGCGTCGAGATCCGGTTTTGGAGCTACAATTTCCGACGCCGTTGCGCGTAGTTCTATTGTGTTTTGCAACTCAGTCTCTGCAGATCGCATTGTAATGGCTGCGTCAAGGTTGCTTCGTGCTGTGGCTGCATTCGTAATACTATTGTCTTTTGCAGCTGGATCTCGGAAATCGTCTTGGAGTGGCTGCATGAAAGTTGCGACCGGATTTGTTAGCAGATTTTCTCCATTTTGGCACTAGTGTTTTTCTGTTGCACATAGGTTTAGAGCAGTGTGAAGTGTGGGGCGTGAAGAGTGCAGTGTGAAGTGTGAAGTGTGAAGGAAGCAGTGGGAAGTGAGAAGTGTGAAGTGTGGAATGTGAAGTGTGAAGTGTGGAGTGTGAACTTTAAGTTTGGAGTGCGAAGAGCGCAGTGTGAAGTGTGAAGTGTGAAGTGTGAAGTGCGAGGTTTGGAGTGTGAAGGAAGCAGTGAGAAGTGAGAAGTGTGAAGTGTGGACTGTGAAGTGTGAAGTGTGGAGTGTGAAGTGTGAAGTGTGGAGTGTGAAGTGTGAAGTGTGCATGGAGTGTGAAGTTTGAAGTTTGGAGTGCGAAGAGCGCAGTGTGAAGTGTGGAGTGTGGAGTGTGAAGACTTTGCTTCGTCTCTCGCTGAAAAAAAAACGGTTGTCGAGGGAAGGACACGGTCGGGACAGGTTGTCTTTGAACTATAGGTCATTTATTTTTGGGAAACTTCCGCCGCCGGCTTGCCCGGGTCTATGTTATATAATTATAATATATATATATATTGAATACCTACATACCTACATACCTACATACCTACATACCTACATACCTACATACCTACATACCTACATACCTACATACCTACCTACCTACCTACCTACCTACATACATACATACATACATATATACATACATACATACATACATACACACATACATACATACATACATACATAATCATACATATGTATAGTTATGTTTCAGAGGCCTTTCTGTACTATTTGACATACTGCTTTAACAGAAGGGGAAACATGACTCAAGTCCAGGTGGATTGGTCCAAGATAAGATTTCGAGCCCCAAATGAATTCAAGTGCAGAACAGGATCAAGGGCAGAACAAAAACAGAGTCACCGTTGGTGAAACCGCACTGCGCTGGTATTTTTTTGAGGTGGCACGGTGGAACAGAAACATGCAGAGAGATAACTGACCGCAAGTGACAGTTGCAAATGTCCAATCTCAGGCAATTAAAAGCGGCTTTGGGCTCTTTTGAACATTCTATCATTTCATTAAATGCATTGCACGAACGAAAGCGCCTTTTTTGCAGCCAGTGTGCATTACATGAAATGTGCATACACACATGCCAGTTTCTCTGCATGTTCACTCCTCCATGCATTCACTAACATACGCACAAGTACACATTATGCACAGAAGTAGACAAAGAAAGTGTGTGGTGACGCAACGTGTGAGGGGATTGGATTTGACTCCATGCTAATCTGTTACAGTAAGTGTGCCGTATGTTTCCAAAAGATCCAAAACCAAACCTGAGATGAACTTTTTGCCATACGTGTGTATTAACTACAAAAACTCAGCTTTTCTGGAAGGACATTTACATGCCGTTTCTGGAGCGGGAAATCCGGATCGAAGCTCGTTGCAGCTCTGGTCCTGTGCTTATCAAGGGATGCCGCGAATCGGAATCATCCCGAATCATCCCTTTCAAAATCTTTCAAAATCTTTCGGCTGTGTTTCATTCTGGGAAGTTCCTCCCCTCCAAACTCAGGATGGAGGTCTTGGTTCGAAGAGCAGCCAAAGGCCTTCCCAGTCAACGTGTCCTTATTAATTTCATAAGTCCTAGTGCAAAGTTGTATGGAAAGATCAGTTGTCAAAGTCCAGCAGCTTTAGGTTGCTTTGAACTTTGAAATATGTTGAACATGTTTGAAGGCAGTGAACATGTCAAACTACTTAAACATGCTCGAAATAGACCT